AGTGTTCTTTTTCTTGTGTATCATATGCAAAATAAAAACACGTTACCGTCGTCACAATAACTTTTCTTTCGTTATCTCTTTCCCTGTCGTCGCAATAAGTAAACCCCATAAAAATAAGCCCTCAACGATTATGCTATAGACAAACACACAAGCATCAATTGGTAAACGATTTATTTACCTCTGACATGTTTCAATAGTTAAGTCTCCAAAGTATGATACAACACATGTACATATAAAATTCGGGACATACGCTGTAATAATTCATAAATATAAATATTTTAAGAAACAAAAGTAAATGTAGATTTAACATGTGAGATAAGAAATGCCGATATTTATTAATATAGACTTAGCTAGGTAATTAAAAATTAAAAACAAAACAACATGAAACAATAAGTGAATAAATATAATTATGAAGAAATAAAGTGAAATTCAGCAAGAAAATAAAAATACTACATGTATACATAAACAAATATAAAATAAGATAAGAAGATAAAAAAAAACATAATCTACTCTTCAGGCAGTCTTTGCTGATGATATATATGCACTTAAGTTGCATCTTTGTATTTCTCTTAAATACATACCTTCAATACATACATGTCCTGTTAGACCCACCACGACACACACATAACTCGAAACAACGAAAACACGAAAATGCGATGGTGAAAAGTCAAAAATAACGACAACCACGATGGTGAAAAAGTCGAAGTCGTATTTGTCTTCAATACCTTTAATACATGTGCATCAATTTTCTTTATCTGTGTAGTTATGATAGTCGTTATCAGTTGACCTTTTCGGAAATAAACGATACAGTTAAATCCAAATTTTATGTTGACACGTGAACATAAACTTTATATGAGCCATGTCACGACAAAACCAACATAGTGAGTTTGCGATCAGCATGGATCCAGACTAGCCTGCACATCCGTGCAGTCTGATCAGGATCCATGCTGTTCGCTTACAAACCCTATAACAAGTAGAGAAACTGATAGCGAACAGCATGGATCCTGATCAGACTGCGCGGATGCGCAGGCTGGTCTGGACCTATGCTGGTCGCAAACTCACTATGTTGGTTTTATCGTGACACGGCTCATATACAAAATGTACTTTATTATGATGAGAAAAGGCAGAAATTCCACATTATATTTTAAAAAAAAACATAATCCTCATATTTGTCATTCGGGAAAAAATATTTTTGTATCGAATCAGGGAAACCGATGAAAATTTAAAACAAAAAGATAATGCGTTCCGTATATATGAAATGATAAAAATAACGTTCTAAATTAAATCAATAATTATTGTAAAATGACTGAGCAAATGAAAGAATAATAGAAGCAAGGCCGGTGACACGAAAGCATGGTATTGTATTTGATTTCTAGTGCGTAAGGCCACATCAAGCTCGAGCAGAATATAGTTATCCGAAGTTAAATCTGAAAATCTGCTAAATTTTGACTGGCATATTTTATATGATTATGATTAATGGTACATATTCACAGCGTGTTACTGTATTTTTGTAATAGGCATGTCCTACTTTTTTTCGAATGTAAAATGTTTAAGTTTAAACAAGGTCATGAAACGTCCTCGACAAAGTGTACACAAATGGGATAAAAATGGATGCACAAAAATTGCAGTCACTGTCGGATTTGACAAAATGCGACATAGATGAAGTAAAAACTTTATATAATTTTTATCTTTTTTTATTTTTACATATTTATTAAATAGTTATTTAAGCATAGTAAAAACTCATGGTACTTGGTATTTATTTAGACGGTTTTTCTTTTACTATGGATCATTATATAATTCAAAACACCACATTTGTTACAATTCGACGATAGACAAATTAATTTTCAACCTTTTACAAATAAAAGGCTTTTTAAAAATATATATTATTATGTGTCTCTTTCCAATTAAAAGGCATTCAAGAAAACGGTTGATCAAGTAAAACTTCCAGCTGGCATCAGATTGGCTCTAGTCACCGAGGATATGTACAAGAAAATCCTTGATATTCCAAAAGAATGTTTTATAAATGATGAACCGACCGGAAAATCCATTGGGCTTGAGTGGAGTGACGAGCTTGAAAATTTTTGGCTGTCTACTTTCAAGGCAAATCTATCAATCGTCCTAATTAAAGAAGACGACGGTGATATTATAGGATTTAGGGCAACAAAACTGATAAAGAAGGAAGCCAAAATTGACATCAGCACAATCAAAGATGAAAAATTAAAAACAATTGTAGAGTTTATGTCAAAAGGGGTTACAGAGTTTTTCGACAAATATGGTATCAAAGAGGCGTTCCATTTCCTAGGACTAGGCGTGGCAAAGAAATATAGAAGGCGTGGTCTAGGAACTATTTTAATGCAAACAGCTATAATTTTTCTAGGACATTTAGGAATTAGTCCGTATTTTGTCAAAGGAGAAGGTACGTCAAATTTCTCAAAGAGAATATATGAGAATTGTGGGTTTGATATAGTGGAGGATTTTCCATATGAACAATATAAGAAAAATGATAAAGTTGTTTTTGATAATACAGGTGAGCATAAATCAATGAGAATATATGGAATAAGGAAACAAACACTCCAGTAAACTATTAGAATAGTTCTCTTCATGTTTTGTGTGAAACGAAAATTGAATAAAAAGATTATGAGATTGTTTTATTTATGTGCAATTCCTTTAGCTAAATCACCATATAGACTGCAAGATGAATTCTTTCATATCATCATTCTTATCATCATCATTTATGTCATCATCATTCTTATCATCATCATTCTTATCATTATAATCATGATCACTATCATTATCATCTGCATATTGTTCATCATCATCCTCATCATCATCATCTTCATCATTGTTGTTATCATCATCGTCATCATCATCGTCGTCATCATCATCATCATCATCATCATTGTTATCATCATCATTGCTATCATCATCATCATTATTATTCACACCGAATATTTTCAGTGATGTCAAAACAACGCTTGGTTGGGTGTAAGATGGGCTGCTTGTAAGTTTCCTGTTATTATATATTATATTATATATTACATTATTATGTATTTAGTAAAATAGATAACAATATTAATTAATACACTAAACTTGCAAATAAATTGAAACTAACAAAATGAAAGACAATGCATCAAATTACTCAATGAGATGTAAAATGTATCCATATGTTTAGTCTGGATCATGTTTTTTGTTTGAGTATTCATAAAATAATCGTTTCTGCGTATTCAAATGGCGGATAGTTAAGCGCTTTCCTTTGACGTCACGTGTATTTCAACGCGTAATAATATTTAGATGCCTTAGTCTGTCGAGAAAAATCATTTTGTTTCGTTTAAATTTATAGGTATTTCACTGAAAGTATATGTACATGTGTATGTAACAGATGGAAAATTACACGCTTGTGCTATTCTGATTGATTGTTTTGCTCTCTTTTCTTTGCTTTAAAGGCCCAACAACCTTCAGAAATGCTCTTAATTTTATTTCTTAAAAGCTTTTGAATTTTGGTGTACTATTATTGTATCAAAAAGTTACTCATTGGCAAATTACCTAAGCCATCTTTTTCAGCTGTACACTTATAGTTAGTACACTTATAGTTAATAAGCATTTTGCTATCTTTAAGAAAATATTATATAATACTTAACACTACATTCTACTGCTGTAGCAAGCATCTAACATTTCTCAAAAACCATTATTTAAACATTATGAAAAAAATTATATGCAAAATAAATAAACTTCAACTATAAAATTCATGTTTGCCCTTTATAAAGAAGTAAACATTTATTGGTTTCTAAGGCTTAATGTGACTTTAACTCGTGAAAATACAATTTTATACAAACAACTCAAGCGATATATTGCATGAGAAAAGCACACATTCATGCAACATGTCTTATGTATCACTCATTACTTCAGTTTTACTACCAAAGATAAAATCTGTTTACGCCGCAACACAAGTTTTGCGACGATTTTATTTTTACTTGGTTGAATTTGAATGTTCATTTTAGATCTATGAATAATGATTTATGCATATACTCGGGAGTATAATTAAAAATGTATGTAATTCTGATGAACAAATTAGCCCTTTACAGATAGGTTTATCAAAATGGCACTTTGAATGTACGTTTTTGTGGTGTTTTTACCCTCTCTTTCTTCATGCAAACTCTATGCAAAATATGTATCTTTATATACTGTGGCTGATTAAATATATCATATGCTCAAATTTGATATTTCAAAATATTGATAACTGCTTCGCAGTCTGTGTTTAAATATAAAATAAACATGTTTCGAATGAACAAGAAGTAGATAAGAACAAGAAGTTATATTTAAAACTCTACACACTATGGGTTATCACAATATGAAAACAGTGTCACTAAAAACTGGCAGTTTTATAAGAAATGACGAACTTTACTTTACTTTTAATAGGGAACACAACTTCCCATACTTAGTTTTTTTATTCTTTTATTCAAATAAGGCATATTCAGGAAGAATTTAATAGATTTGATCAATTTCTTTGACCCCGTAATTACCGTGAAATGACATATAACAAAAGTTTAATAAATATGCGCACTTGTAAAAAAAGATGCTGAGAAACAGAATTGCGAAAAGGTGAAAACCCAACATTTCGACTACGCAACAATCTAAACAAAAGTACAATTGCATTGGATGAAAAACGTCAAAATAGGAAAAGGGAATATGCAAACATTTAAATACACGACAAATAAGAGGAGAACATACGACAAATTTTACGTATTGTTCTTTTTGCATAAATTAGCCGTTTTTCACCTCAAGAATGCGATAATGCGAAGGCACGAAGATTTATAACAAAGTCAAACTTTGAAGTAGTTTTGTGTTTTCGCATTTTCGTTTCGATAATACGACTTGGCGTAAATCACCCACCATAATTAATTGACATAAATTTGATATAATCATGTTTCAGCACTTGATTGTAGGGATAGAAAACCTTACGCAAGTGCAACATATATATTCAAAATAGCGTACGACTGGCCATTTAACTCATAAGACTGATTATTTACAATCTTAAAAGGTAACAATTTCGAAACGAGGTTATAAAATAGCAGAGCTTGGTGTGATGATTTACAATTTTAAACGATAACAATTTCGAAATGCTCGAGGTCATAAAATAGAAGAGCTCTTAGATACTTCAGTGTAATAATATGCTAGAAGAAACATGGACGATATAACGGAGCAGGATATCTTTAAGGTAAAGTAGCACTTGTTTTGTTTCATTATGTGTTTTGAGTTTGTTCTTTTGTTAATATAACAACCTTTGTTTATGATATGTCGAGACAGATTGTAGTCAAACAGTTACGGAGAGATTCATGATAAGTGACCTAGTTAAGTTATATTTTTATTCGCATATATTTAGACAGCCGTGCTTGCATGCAAGAAACACTTATATCTGATACTTATCAAATATGCACATAAAGATGCATGCCTGAAGGAGAGCACAATATTTCAAGAAAATTATACTTAACAAAAATGAGATGTTATGAAGTGTTTAAAAAGTTCAAGTATTGGTTTTCATTTTATGTGCGATTGGTGACTAATTTTGCAGTACATTGTATTTGTCGGAGTATTTCAAATTTCTAATTACACAGTAGCGGCTACTTTAAAATGTGCATATTTTGATCTGTTTTTTTGTTTTTTTTTTTTTTGTTTTTTTGTTTTTTTTGTTAATTTTTGTCGGTTGTGATTATTATTTGCATTTTTTATGTGGAAATTCCTCATTTTGCCATTCACAATACTTCGCTTAAAAACATTTTCAAATTTTTCATGATATTAGCATGAACCTGGAAGCATGCTGCTTTAATGGGTAAACTGCAATCTCACGTTCATAAATCAAATTGAGTTAATTGTTGTTGTTTTCTCTATTTCATAGCATTTATTTTATATTGTTAAAGCAGCGATAATGTAAAAAGAAATTATTCACTAGCTAACAATCAAAAACAAAAATAAATAAATAAAATACCCACACAAACAGAGAAATGTTGAATTTAAATACTAACAATATTGAATTCAAACACTGGCAGTGTTTAATTCAATTAATAGTAATGTTTAACCTCAATTACTAACAATTTTTAATTCAAATAGAAGCAATGTTGAATCCAAAATACTAGAAATTTTGAATTCAAGGAACAACAAAGTTGAAAGTCAAATACTATTTAATTAAATGTTGGATTCAAATACTTACAATGTTGATTTAAATACAAGCAATGTTAAACAATATAATACTAACAATGTTTTAACAATGTTTTGGTTAAAGTTAGATGCAAATAAGAAAAGACAAGGAGTGACAATGGGGGATGTATCTGTTTGGTGCGATATGCAATCATTTGTACTCGTACGCCTCATGTAAAAAAATCAAAGTAACTTTGTTTTATATGTCCATTTTAAATTTATAGTCTTCGTAGTTCTGTCATTGCTGGTAATAGTAAGCATATATTCATTAGTTTGTGTCTAGTCATACAATTTACATGAATTGTATTGAATTGAATTTCTTTACACCTAACCTATGAAAGTGTTAGCACTTATTTCCAGTAGCTAGGGTCCTTACTTTTTCAGACTCTAGAGACAGCTATGAGATACAAGGGAATCCGGGAACCAGTCCCTAGCTCTAATTGAATAGACTCCTTGGTTCTTATACATGCCCAGAGTATAGCACTGACATGTACGTGTATGTTAATCGTAGATTTTTTTTTCTTTTGTGTGTAGGCTTTCAAGAAAACTCAAGAAGAGTTTCGTTTTCCAGGAGGTAAACTAGAACTTCTAACTGAAGAACGTTTTCCAGAAATATTTGATGTCATTAAAAAGTGTTTCCTGACCGACGAACCGCTTGAAAAGTCATTAAAACTGGAATGGAGTTCGGAAGTGGAAGAGATGTGGATGTCTGCACTTACGTCCAAACTTTCCTTAATGATAGTTGATGAGAATACCAAGAAGATCATAGGCATGCGAGCGATACGTGTCACCAAGAAATCAGATCATACGGACGTTAGTCTAATAAAAGATGAGTCAGTTAAGAAGTTGTTGGAATTTTTCGAATTCACTTCAGAACATTCGAATGTATTTGAAAAATATGGCATTACCGAATACTTTGAATTTTTCGGCCTTGCTGTTTTACCAGAGTATAGACAACGAGGAATAGGGACTGTTCTGATGCAAGCCGGAGTAAATTTCCTAGGTCATCTTAAAAGACCTTCATACCTCAAAGGAACGTGTTCGTCCAACTTCTCTAAGAAAATATACGATAAGTTTGATTTTGAGGCAGTAGGAGATTATGCATTTGAAGATTATAAAGTTGATGGCAAAGTTGTTTTTGATAACACTGGTGAACATAAGTCCATGAAATTGTATGTTATGTTTCTACAATAGAAATCAAATGTCATCAATTTTACGCCATGTCTTTGATGTTACGTCATATTTTGATTTTGTTATACACATGTATAAAACAAAATGTAAAATAAAAGAGTTTGTGTTTCTAAATGATCTGTGTCGTCTGCATTATAGTAATGTCATGGTTGTATAGTTATGGGTGAAATAGTTTGCCTTAATTTACTTTTCATCATTGTATCTAATTACGTCCTACAAAATAGTGTTGATCTACCTGTAAATAACTTAAATGGGTCATAGTATCTTGAGGTAATCAGGCCGAATTCTGTTAAATATGTTTACACGATCATGTATAACTTGAAACACGACATACATGTACATGTAAATAGTTATCATTGTTCCTTAACTTTATCTTATTTTATCCAATTATATGTTCATATTTGTTATTATTTTATTCCCAAAGAGGATGGTATTATGTCTTGCCCATGGGGTTCTGCTGTTCGTCCGTATGATGAGAGCACATTGAGTTGTGTTTAGGTATTCATTCTGTAATCAATATTGTCTATCTGAATACCCTTAATGGAATTTTTCATAAAATAAATAAGGCCTTTGATACAGTCTGGCATGAAGGAATGTTATATAAACTTTTAACAGAAACCTGTATTGATTCAACTACATTTTTAGCGCTCAAATCTATGTATACCAACATGCTGAGTTGTGTAAAATATCAGGGTAAATTCTCAGAATGGTTCAGAGTACTACAAGGCACAAGACAAGGGGGTAAAACCTCCCCGATGTTGTATCTTCTATACATAAATGGGCTTATAGATGAGCTAGAGAAAAGTGTATTTGGTATCTGTGTTTGTAATGTTAGAGTTAGCTCCCCTACCGTAGCAAACGATATGCTCTTAGTGTCTTATTCTGTAAATGGACTAAATGGTATGCTTGATATATGTAGTGAATACTCAAAGCGGTGGCGCTAAAGTTATAATGCAGAAAAATGCGCTGTATTGGTTTTTAATGAACGTACAAATAATGGTCGTGACAGAGACTTCTATCTTGGTAATACAAAAATCTGTGAAACATCGAACTATGTACATCTTGGTATCAACTGTGATCCGTTTCTGACAACAAGATAAATGGTTGAGGACGCATGTACTAAACTTAGAGGTACCTACCTCAGTATAATTAATAGTAGAATCAGTCCACAGTGTTTAAATAGAAAATATACGATGCAACAATTATCCCAAAAGCGCTATACGGTAGCGAGTTGTGGTCTTCTATCACTTCTACTGATATTATGCAACTCGAAAGGTCTCATAGATTTTGTATTAAAAACATGCAGTCATTTCCAAATGGTACATCAACTGAATTTGCATTGAGTGCATTAGACGCCGTTCCTATTGACATTATCGTTGAACATAGAAAATTGCAATTCCTTGGACAATGTAGACTTTCTGATGTATATCTTGCTAAACATATTTTCAACAGTCGCCTTGTTTGTTACCTTAATTATGATAAGCAGTCTTCTGGTTTTATTCCTACTATATGTGCAATTCTACAAAAGTACGGATTATATGATGTTATTAATACATACATAAGGGAAGGTACATTTCCGTCCAAAATAGCTTGGAAGTGGATTCTTAATCAACAAGTTTTAAGCCAAGGAAGGGTCAATGTGAGTTTGAATGCAATGCCCTTGATGTCGTTATTACAACAGGGGGCGCAACCTTGTATTATATGGACTCTATCGAAAAGAAAACCACGATTATCGCGCCTATGTTTCAAACTGATGAATATTTTAGCGCGGTACTTGTCCAGAAAATACATTTGTAGATGCTTTAAGTGTGATCGGTTGACTGAAGACATTGTACAACATTTGATTTGTTATTGTGAGGTTAATTCACATATACGTGAACGTTTGTGGAATTTGATGATAGAAATTAATGGTCACTGTGATTACATGTCATTCGTTTTGTTAACACCGTCTGAACAGTGTGATTATTTGCTAAGGTTAGCTGTTACAATTGATGGGGACATGTTTAAACATATACATTATACTATATGTGTTTGCAAAATGTTCGATTAGTGTGATATAGAACAAACTCACTTTATATCAGATACTTTGAAATATTCAAATTACATATGTAATGTAGCTATGTATTTTCGTCATGGTTTCTATTTATAGCTTTATAACTTAATTATACTTAAATATGCGTGAACAAATTCCATTGTAAATTGACTAGCCTCTCGTTTTCGTATCTAGTTAATTTTGAACCAGTGGACATTGTTTTTGTCAGTTGTTTATACTTAATAATTGTTACTATGAATAACGCTTTTGTCTGACATTTTCGATCTTCATTTCTTCATTAAGACAACTGTGAGATTCTTAAGGACGCATATACTATTTTTGATTCTGATTGATTTGTACATATATCTCTATTTACTGTCTGTAAAATATTATTAATTTGTTACATGTATTATGCTCTTCAATATTGGAGGAATAAAAGATATTATTATTATTATCTTACCGTGTTAACGGAGATATGTACTTATAATTGGTTTAATTGTTTAAAATTATCTTTCCGTGATAACTGAGATATGTACTTATAATTGGTTTTATTGTTAACAAATATTTTATCGTGATAACGGAGATATGTACTTATAATTGGTTTAATTGTTTACAAGTATTTTATCGTGATAACGGAGATATGTACTTATAATGGGAAAAGGGAATATGCATAAATTTAAAGACACGACAAATAAGAGTATAAAATATGACACATTTAATAAAAGTATTGTTCTTTTTTTGCATGATTTCGCCGTTCTTTCACCTAAAGAATGCAATAATGCGAAGGCACAAAAATATCACAAAACCAAACTTTGAAGTAGTTTTGTGTTTTCGCATTTTCGTTGCGATTATGTGTCTTGGCGTAAATCATCCACCATAATTGATTGACATAAATTTGATATAATCATGTTTCAGCACTTGATTGTAGGCACAAGTACAGCGTATATATTTGAAATAGCGTTCGACTGGCTATTCAGCTCAAAACTCTGATTATTTACAATCTTAAAAGATAACAATTTCGAAACTAGGTTATAAAATAGAAGAGCGTGGTGTGATGATTTACAATTTAAACGATACAATTTCGAAATGTTCGAGGTCATAAAATAGATGAGCTCTTAGATACTTCAGTGTAATAATATGCTAGAAGAAATATGGACGATATAACGGAGCAGGATATCTTTAAGGTAAAGTAGCACTTGTTTTGTTCCATTGTGTGTTTTGAGTTTGTTCTTTTGTTAAAATACCATTTTTTATTATATGTCGAGACAGACTGTAGTCAAACAGTTACGGGGAGATTCATGATAAGTGACCTAGTTAAATTATACTTTAATGTACGTTTATTTAGACAGCCGTGCTTGCATGCAAGAAGCACTTATATCTGATACTTAACAAATATGCACCTAAAGCAGCATGCCTGAAGAAGAGCAAACTATTTCAAGAAATCTATCTGAAGAAAAAATGTGCTAAGGTGTTCTGAAGTGTTTAAAAGATTCAAGTATTGATTTTCATTTTATGTGCGATTGATGACTAATTTTGCAGTATTTGTCGCCGTACTTCTACTTACACAGTATAACGGCTACTTTAAAATGTGCATATTTTGAGATGCTTTTTTTTGGTAATTTTCGTAGCTTGTGACTATTATTTGCAATTTTTATATGTAAATCACTTTCTTTATTCCATTCACAATATTTCGCTTTAAAAACATTTTCAATGTTTCATATATAAGCATGGAGTGAGACTAAAAAAGGATTGGAGCACCAAGCTAAATAGTAAATACCATATTCCGGTATATACCGAACAAGGCGCTTGAATTATAATATGCTAAAATCTTGCCTTTTTACCCAACGGAATGAACTTTAAAAGGTCTAATTCATCTTTTCACACCGATTTATGTATGATAATGAATGAAAACTGTAATAATCGGCGAAAAAAAAACGATATTTGTCTATTTTGTGATCATGATTTCTGCTGGCGTCTAGAGGTACTGCTCCAATTCTGTACAGTAATGACTTAAATCAATAAGCATGAACCTGGAAGCATCTGCTTTAATGCAATCTCATGTTCATAAATCAAATTGAGTTATTTGTTGTTTTTTTCTCTATTTCATAGAATTTATTTTATACATGTATTGTTAAAGCAGGGATAATATAAAAAGAAATTATTCACTAGCTAACAATCAAAAACCAAAAATAGATAAATGAAATACCCACACAATCAGAGCAATGTTGAATTTAAATACTAACATTATTGAATTCAAACAATGTTTATTTCAACTACTAACAATGTAGTATTCAAATAAAAGTAATGTTTAAAGTCAATTACAAACAATTTTGAATTCAAATAAAAGCAATGTTGAATTCAATAACTAGGATTGTTGAAAACGTTGAATACAAATAACAACAATGTTGAAAGTCAAATTCTATTTAATTAAATGCTGAATTCAAATATTTGCAATGTTGACTTCAAATACTAGCAATGTTGCATTAATATACTAGCATATTGAATTCAAATATTGGCAATGCTGATTTCAAATACATGTACTAATAATGTTGAATTCAAATACTAACCATGTTTGACATGATGAATTCAAATTCTTACAATGTTTACTTTAAATACTAGCCATGTTGAGTTCAAGTACTAGTAATGTTGAACTCAATACTAACAATGTTGGACAACATAAAACTAAAATTGTTGAATTCAAATTCTAATAATGTTAAACAACATAATACTAACTATGTTATGGTAAAAGTTAGGTGCAAATAATAAAAAAATATTCAAACAGCTCAAAGGGAATGATATTGGAGGAATGTAGCTGTTTGTGCGACATGCAATCCTATCATTTGTACTTGGATCTACGCGTCATGTAAAAAGAGTCAAAGTCTCTTGTTTAATATGACAATTTGCATACATTTCAAATTTGTAGTCTTCATTGTTCTGTCATTGTTGGTAATATAGTAAGCATATATTCATCATTTTGTGTCTAGTCATACAATTTACATGAATTGCATTGAAAAGAATTTCTTTAGACCGAGCGGTCACGGATAACCTACGAAAGTGCAAGCACTTTTTTTCCAGTAGGGTCCTTACTTCAGCAGACTCCAAATACAGCTATGAGATACAAGGGAATCCGGGAACCAGTCCCTAGATCTTGTGAATACATGAAGATCCCTTCGTTTTTATACATACCCAGTGTATAGCACTGGTACCTACGTGTATGTTAATCTTATAATAGAATATATTTTCTTTTGTGTGTAGGCTTTCAAGAAAACTCAAGGAGAGCTAAGTTTCCCGGGCGGTAAATTAGAACTTCCAACTGAAGAACGTTTTCCAGAAATATTTGATGTCATTAAAAAGTGTTTCCTGACCGACGAACCGCTTGAAAAATCATTACAGCTTGAGTGGAGTTCGGAGGTGGAAGAGATTTGGATGTCTGCACTGAGGTCCAAACTTTCCTTAATAATAGTTGATGAGAACACCAAGAAGATCATAGGCATGCGAGCGATACGTGTCACCAAAAAATCAGATCATACGGACGTTAGTCTAATTAAAGATGAGTCAGTTAAGAAGTTGTTGGAATTTTTCGAATACACTTCAGAACATCCAAATGTATTTGAAAAATATGGCATTACAGAACACTTTGAATTTTTCGGCCTTGCTGTTTTACCAGAGTATAGACAACGAGGAATGGGAACAGTTCTGATGCAAGCCGGAGTAAGTTTCCTAGGTCATCTTAAAAGACCTTCATACATCAAAGGATCGGCTTCGTCCAACTTCTCTAAGAAAATATACGATAAGTTTGATTTTGAGGCAATAGGAGATTATGTATTTGAAGATTATAAAGTTGACGGCAAAGTTGTTTTTGATAACACTGGTGAACATAAGTCCATGAAATTGTATGTTATGTTTCTACAATAGAAATCAAACGTCATCAATTTTACGTCATGCCATCAATGTTACGTCATATTTTGATTTTTTTTTATTGAAAACAAAATGTAAAATAAAAGAGTTTGTGTTTATTAATGATCTTTGTTGTCTGTATTATGGTAATGTCATGGTTGTATAGTTATGGGTGAAATAGTTTGCCTTAATTTACTTTTCATCATTGTATCTAATTTTGTCTTACAACATAGTGTTGATCAACCTGTACCTGTAAATAACTTTAATAGGTCATAGTATCTGAATTTTATTCATAACGCTATCTTGAGGTAATCAGGGCGAATTCTGTTTAATATGTATACACGATCATGTATAAATTGAAACACGACATACATGTACAAGTAAATAGCTATCATTGTCCCTTTACTTTATCTAATTTTATCCAATTATATGTTCATATTTGTTACTATTTTATTCCAAAAGAGGATGGTATTATGCCTTGCCCATAGGGTTCAGCTGTTCGTCCGTATGATAAGAGCACATGCATTGAGTTGTGTTTAGCTATTCATTCTGTAATCAATATTGTCTACTAGCTGAATGCCCTTAATGGATTTTTTTTAATAAAATAAGTTACACACATTGTAGGCGCCCAGTTCAAGATAAATATGAACCCGTAAATTTGTGTCCCTTCTTTTAATTTTGAATGTTCTTGTATTAACAATTTTGGTAAAATTGTTTAAAAGTATCTTACCGTGTAAACGGAGATATGTACTTATATAATTGGTTTAATTGTTTACCAGTATCTTATCGTGATAAAGGAGATATGTACTTATAATTTGTTTAATTGTTAAGAAGTATTTTATCGTGATAACGAATTATGTACTTATAATTGGTTTAATTGTTAACAAGTATTTTATCGTGATAACGGAGATATATACTTATAATTGGTTTAATTGTTAACAAGTATTTTATAGTGATAACGGAAGTATGTACTTATAATTGGTTTAATTGTTAACAAGTATTTTATAGTGATAACGGAAGTATGTACTTATAATTGGTTTAATTGTTTACTAGTATCTTATCGTGATAGATAGTCTTATACTTTGTACAAATCTTTGTTAATATCTTTTCTTTTTTGTGTGATGAAGAACAGATTTTCTAATATTTGGTTTAATCATTTTAAATTTTCTTAAACTTTTTTCAATTTTTTAAAAATATCTTATTGTGATCACGCACAGATGTACTTATATTTGGCTTAATTGTTTACTAATATTACTGACAGACGTTCGTATACTTGGTAAATTGTTTACTAATATATTATTGTGATTACGGAGAGAATTAATAATTCTATGTGTAACCCAGAAATTTCTTTTGCTCTGCCTAAGTGACCTTTTTAATACATAGGTCAAATGTAAAACTCTCACAGATACTCTGTATAATGCATTGATCCTGATTGGTTGGTTGTTTCTGTTTTGTTGGTCCATCGATCGGTCTTGTCCACTAATTTTGCTCAATGGAGAGAGCATCGGATCTGTAATCCAGGGGTGGCTGGTTCGATTCCCGGGCGGTGCAAAATTTCTCCGAGACCCGAGGGACCGTCACACCATTATGTTCTGGTGAGCGTTCTATCACGTATGATGAAACGTTGGTAGTCTCCCATTGTTGCTGGAATAGCGCCAGAAGAACGAACGTTGTTTGAACGCCAGTGAACGTCGGTAATCGCCGGGAAAAAGGATTTGAACATGCACCAAAGTTCTCACTCAGACCAGCGTTCTTCACCGTTTAATTTCCTAACGCTAAAGAACGTTCATGGAGCGTTTTACTAACTTTCACCGAGCGTTGCACACGTTCGGCTTTCGTAAGTCAGCCGTTACTCAATCGCTTCTTGGTTGTTGCTAATCGTTTACTTTGCAGTGAACGACTCATCGGCGACCTGTCAACGACCGCTGAACGGATTTCAATTGCACAAAACGTGTGACTAAAATGAAACGAACGTCCTTTAGACGTTCATTGAGCGTCATTTGAGCGTTGCACAAACCTCCATGCATATGTAAAAAGCAAGGTTCATTTAATTTTGGACTACCGTACAGAACATCTATTATAGAAGATCCTGAAAAATGAAGTAAGCTATATATTCTTGCTATAGCCAAGCAACAAGTAGATGTACTGAACTTAAACATAGCTAAAAACATCGAGGGAATTCACCCGCAGAGAAGAAGACCCAAACAAAGACGACTACATTGTAGACCTTAATGATTAATATAAAAATGTCAAGGGTTTATCAGTAGCTAGTAGAAAAATCCCACATCCCACATTTGTTTTGTCTTGCCGTCATGATGCTGACAAATCAAACTCACAAGAACAACTAAATTCACTATGGAATTTCGAGGACAGCGTATTGTATCCGTGCGGCCGTAAAAAATAACACGCAAGCAAGACGCTATTATGTCGTTATTCAGACGCTAGTTACACGCTAACAAGCTAACAACGTTCGTCTGACGTTGACAAATAGTTCGTCCCGCGCCAGTGGCACATTAGCACACGCTTATGGGTTTCAGGGGTATCTAACTTTGTCAATGTTACACGCTTCTCGTGCGTTAGACATACGCTATTTAAGCGTTAAACACACATGTGTCAACCTCATTCTAGAACGCTCAAAAATTGAACGCTTGAAAAATTCAGAGAGCGTTGACCAGAACGTCATAGAGTGACGGCCCCACCATCCAGGAAAATATGTAGGCGGACCGACCGCCAAGATGTGACCAAAACATCGGCGTACAAATAAAAAAACTAACATAGATTTACCCTGCTTTAATCAGTTATTTATCAGCTCTTATTAACCACTTGAAGGATATAAGTATGATTCATCTTAGTTAGCTGTGATATTGAACTGGCTTTTCGGGTACTCATTGCCAGGTCAAGGTCATATAGTTACCTGTTCGTCGTTTATCTCAAACTGACTCACATACATGTTTCACGCAAACATATTTCAATAAAAATGAATGGACTTTTCTGCCTATTGAAATGTCATGTTTCTCCTAAACATGCATTTAGTATTACGAGTTCCATTGTTTTCATTCAACACTATATTAAAAGGTCTGCGTTGCTTCAAGTCTTAGTTTATACAAATTTATTTTTAGTTCGATTGTGTTGGAAGCTATAAGCTTATTGAAACACTATCGAATCCGTTCCTGGAACCAACAAGTACTAAGCAATGGATGTAAAGTTTCTTGCTCAAGGAAACAACGGCTTGTCCCTGACAGGGTTTGAACCCACGCGGTCAGCAATCCTTAGGTTACTAGTCCGACGCGTTAACACGCGCCACGCTTCAAGTCTTGGCAGTATACCGAGATAATTGTTGTTTTTATTGTGCTGTGCTGTGCTGTGTGCTGTGCTGTGCTGTGCTGTTCTGTACTATGCTCTGCTTTGCTGTGCTGTGTTGCGCTGTGCTGCGTTATGCTGTGCTGAGTTTATTTGTGTGTTTATTTGTCTGTCTTATCTATGTGTTTGTTTGTATGTTTGTTTCTTTTATTGAAATCTGAAGGTTTTCGACATTTCTTAAACACACACTTAACTATATTTAGCATAAACGCAAATAATATCGAACCGTCAAATCTGTCTATACTGTGGCGTACGTAGAGTTGAATAAATATCTCAAACATTTTTTGTACATGTTCATAATCACATTTAAACCAGATTAAAAAACATAATTACGGATAAGGAGATTTTTAAATAGTTTGCGTTATACTTCAAGGAAAAAGCTTCGTACCTATGATTCAGACGAATTGCTAAAACAAACAAATATACCATGCGAATTATTTGGTAGGGTTTAAATAGAATAGGACAAATATCTGCCATCAATTTATTTATTTTTATTCTTAATTCATTTACATGTACATGTAAATTCATAAATGTAAATGACTCATATATAGCCTGTCAATCTCGTTATTATCTATATTTAAACTATTTACGTTAAAAGCTGTTAGTCGATGCGATCCAATGTCGCTTTTTATCATTTAGATGAAATTTTATAATTATATGACGGAAAGTGGCGACAAATATCGGAAATTTACGAACAAGAGTTGGTTGTTTTTTCGCTAATGTCGTGCCAAATGAACTTGCTTTAATCAGATTAATGTTATGTTAATATTTAAAAACATTATTTGTTAAAGAAGTATTTATTTTCAGTATACTATAAATACTAGGATTGGTCAGATTTTCTTTTCAAACATACACCAGGATTGTTTGAATCTATAAAAATAACAATTTCATTTCATAAAAATATATACAGGAATCTAACAATGAATCCGGAGGAAAGGCTAAAAAACATTTCACAATCCGATATTCGAAAGGTTTGTATAACTTTCTTTTCTCACGCTTAATTTGAAATATGAGCCGCGTCACGACAAAACCAACATAATGCGTTTGCGACCAGCATGGATCCAGACCAGTGTGCGCATCCGCGAAGTCTGATCAGGATCCATGCTATTCGCTTACAAACCCTTTAACAAGTAGAGAAACTGATAGCGATCAACATGGATCCTGATCAGACTGCGCGGATGCGCAGGCTGGTCTGGATCCATGCTGGTCGCAAACCCATTATGTTGGTTTTGTCGTCGCGCGGCTCATATGTTTATTAGCTCATTATTTTTCATGTGCTGATAATGAGAAGAGATATAGGGCAAAGTTGTGATCGTCACTTGTTGATCATGCACATTTGCACGTTCGTATTTTACCAACTCGTTACAGATTTAAATCAATCTTGTTTATAAATTTGTAATGTCATACATTTTATGCTCGTTTTTTTTTGCCTTACCTTGACTTATAAAATAGCTTGTCTAACTATGCGCAGTCTACTTCTGTTGCAAATTAGTTAAGATCTTCAATTTTGGAGATGACATAACAAATTCACATACATTTTACTGAGCATTACATTTACCATTAGCGAAAATGATAACGAAACATTTTCAAAATGCTTTTACAAGTAAAATGAAACAAAATGGACGGGCTTTTCATTACATACACGGTTTGAAAGAGCTGTTTGAAAGGAAGATGAAAAAAATGAAAATAAACGTTCCAGATGCGTGTAAAGATACACATTCACTTGCGAGAGTTTACGCGAGTACGTGGATCTCTCGGAAGCGTTTCTTTAATCAATCTGCAACTCTTCTTAAACATTCAGAGAATGTTTCGTTAATTTTGTTGGCGTCTGATGCGAGTTTGATTTTTTTTCAGTATGAAATTAGTAAGAGAAATTTGTAAATAACCTTGACTTATTTTAACGGGAAATTATGATGATTATCATGAATATGCCTTTAAAGCTGTATGCTTCATGCTAAATAGTTCAAGCATACTGATTTTGAGAAAAAATATACTAGATTTTAACAGAGACATGTAAATACAGGGATAAGCAAAAATGTAAAAAGGTAATAACTAAAATACGCTACGCGCAATAAATGACTGATCATAATTTTACAGCATTTATCACCATATTGCTACTGCATAAGTAAAGTAGTAATTAAGTGTTATTTTCCTATATTTTGACCTACTTTGTAATTTACGTGGATTGTATGTGCCGTTTGCTTTTTTTTTTTTTTTTGTTCACATTACAATATTTCACTTTTACATCCATTTTCGAAAATTTCATGAAAATTAGCATGAATCTGGAAGCATGCTGCTTTAAAAAGTATTTATACTAAACCAGAAAGACTTAACCAGTAAACAAAAGATATAAGTATAACGTGTTTACATATATCTACATTATAATAGTGTTTATTATACATAAAAACAAGTCAACAACCAACAGTGTCAGGGGCGTGAGGGGTGTTGCACTTTTTCATAATCCCTCATGTACAGGCTCAATTAAACCGAGTCTGCAATTTTCATGTAATTTTGTTGTAATTGATGCTTCCGATGGATCACCCTTCTTCCTCAATTTTAAAAGTGTAATTGATTTGAATATTACGATTGAAATATTTAACAATGATCTTGGTTATGATTTTCAGGCATTTGACAAAACATGCGAGGATATAGGTCTTACAGAAACAAAGTTAGAACTTGTCACTGAAGATCGTTATCCAGAGGTACTTGAAATACTGAGGGATTGTTTTATCAATGACGAACCATTAGAGAAATCTTTACAACTACAATGGAGTTCGGAAATGGCAGGCGTATGGCTAAATGCGCTACAACATAACATGTCTATCCTGCTTGTAAATAACGAAAATAATGAAATTATTGGCGTTCGTGTAATTCGGGTGACCCGTAAAACTGACCAGTTTGAAAAAGACAAATGCAAAGACGAGCAAGTATTAAAGCTTCTCAATTTCTTTGACTACACGACGGACACATTTGATTTTTTCAGGAAGTACAACGTTTCAGAAATATTCGAATTCTTTGGTTTAGGCGTAGTTTCGAAATACAGGAGACGTGGCTATGGGACGTTACTTATGGAAGCTGGTGTTAAATTAATAAACAACCTTGAGATTAAACCTTGCTTTATAAGAGGGTCTGCTTCGTCGAATTTTGCAAAGACTATATTTGAAAAGTGTGAATTCGAAACTGTGGCTGACTTTCCGTACTGTGACTATAATGTAGAAGATTGTATCGTGTTTGATGACACGGGGGAACATAAATCTATGACAGTCTACTCTAAATGTCTGGAGTAAATAAAAGGGGGTGTGAGATATTTGTTGTAATGGTGAAATAATAGCCAAACATTGTATGTGTATAATAAAATCCGTTCTATATGATTTCGTTTTGTATTAGGATATTTCGTCAATCCATATATCAAACACTTTGCAAACTTCAAGTGCCAAGTGCTGAGTGGCAAATATCTGGGGTATAATTTTGATCCCAGCAAATATAATAAATTATAAAGTTGCCCAAAACTTCACTTCTGTGTTATTATTTTTCTGATCCATCGGAATTATCGAGTGTTAAAAATTAAATTCAGCATATTGCAAGAGGACGTGAGGGATATTGCACTTTTAAATTATATTTCTCATTAACTGACTCTCAATCAACCAAGCAGAGTCTGTCGTATTCAGTGACATACAATATTGTTATATTATCAGCCTTTTCCAGATGTTCATAACTTTCAAACATTAATATTCATTTTGGAGTATTGTTATAACAAAATAAAGCACAAACAAACAACCTTAAGCTTTGTGTATATTGGTCATTCATATACGTTAGTCGCTCTGTTATAAAGTGCAGATTGTTGTTATTGCGCAGTCTAACAGCCGAAGAAAACACGATTGTAAATAGCATACACCGTTCGTTTCCTTCACTTTTGTATGGAGAAAGTACTAGCTATACATGTACTATTTTTAAAGAAGTATTCCAATGGTGTCCCCTCTATAACTAATAAGTAGGATTTTTTTCTCACTATAAAAGCGATGCGAATACGAGATTGTATAAACGTTTTAGCTTGTAAAATTAATACGTTTCAGAGAAAGGATACGATATAAACCCATTTTAGAGAGGGGTTTAGAGATAAAAACCATTATAGATTAAGAGATATAATCGTTTTGAGAGGAGTTTAGAGATAAAACCGTTATAGATATATAACCATTTTAGAGAGGGATTTAGAGATAAAACCATTATAGATTTAGAGATATAATCGTTTTAGAGAGGAATTTTAAGGTGTTACCGTTTTAGAGAGGGAATCAGAGATATAAACGTTACAGAGACTTTTAGAGATATGACCGTTTTAGAGAGGGAATCAGAGATACAACAGTTTTAGAGAGGTGGGAATGATTACTTAAAATTCTAAGAAAATTCGTCATATTATTTACATTTATTTATAGGTTTCTTGTTATTGAATTATAAATCTATATTTGAACTTTTATGCAGATCCCTTGTTGTTTTTTACTACAATTTGGGGAAGTAAATTCCAAAAATCGACCTCGACCAACAAGGTGACTCTTACTAATATACTTTGTTAACAAAGTATATTATTCAAGAATAGGTAGAGCGTTTGACTAAAAATCCTGCGACCCTGGTTTGATTCCCGGACTGCGCAGGTCACTTTCGTTGTGATTGATCATGAAATCCTATCTACGATTATTCGTACTGTACCTCTGCTCTGGCATGTACAGAAGTTATCAGTTCCTTGAGAAAGTAAAGGCACCTAGTACTGGTAAACTGCTTGACAGTATGCCTAAGAACGATGCAGTGGCTGAACTGTGCTCTGGTAAATTCAATGTGGCTTACTGCAGTGATCGGAGTGAAAACTTCCAACACTACCACCACCAACAGGTAATGGGTTAAACACAAAACATTAGGACAAACAACTTAACATTTTAGCGATTGCAATAATTAAAAATAGGCCCTACCATCAGGCCAAGGTCAATATAGCCGACACATCTTCTGAGTGACTCAGATGTGTCAGGTGCTAAACATTATGAGCAAGTGTATTTATAATTAATATCTGAATAAACATAACTAAGACACATCTAGTTCCTTTATAGCTGTATATGTTTATTGCAAATACAATTCAGAAGTAACAAAATTTAAAGTGACATTATGCCCATTTTTTTCATAGTCAAGTTGAGTTGAATTGACTATATATTTCAAAAGATTGACTGTTATAATGGTGATTGACCAACAGTTGATATTGGAAAATGTTTTAAGATTAAACATAAATCTATCTTATATATATATATATATAAAAGATTATAGCCATATTTTTTATAAAATTAACATTAAAGGTAAATTTCGGTGAATTTACAGAATTTTTTTTTGATCATCTGATTTTATTTATCCTTCCTGCAAAGTAAATTATAAAATTATGTCAAAATGTAAACTTATTTTGACTTTCACCTGTTTATTTACTATATACCCTTGGATGGGCATAATGTCACTTAAATAAAGGAGGAAAATTATCCCTAAAATCATATAATGGGCTGTACATATTTCTCTAAGATTTTTTTTATACATAATTATGTTTCTAGAACAAAACAAAACTAAAAAATAGAAAAATTAATATGACCACTATACAAAACCTTGAACCTGCTAAATAAGTTAAATGGACTTATCCAAATTGCATTTATTAACCATTAAAAATCTATTTTAGAACTTTTCATTATCTTTTTTGGTGGATTTTGATGAAAATTTAAGATACATGTATCTGCCATCAGCTGTTGTCCAGAAACAGTATAAAGCCTGATCAGATTAAACAGATTATCACCTTAGTGCAATAACTGATTAACTCCTTATGGATTTAGTAGGACCACGGATTTGTAATATAAATCCGTGGTAGGACTTACTCCATTACTGCACTAAGGTAGGCCTGGCTTGGCTCTATACTGGTTGCAATAAGGCTTATCAATTTTGGTTATTGCTGGTTAAATAAGTGTACAAAATGTATCTAAAATCAAAACGATTTTTTTTATTTCAAATATTAATCATTAATAAAACAAGTTAAAGAATACCATTAGAAATAAATTACTTATTCAATCACATGATTTGAAAACAGATGATTGTATAACAGTTATCATTTGGGATATCAATTTAACAGCTAAAATTCATTTACATCATGGGGTAAAAAGGTTATTTTACAAAAGGTAACAAAATTTATGGTCATTTCTGAAATGATTTTTATCAACTTTGTATATTTGTCCACATGCATAAACAATCTTAAGTAAGATGGTATAGAATGAAATTTCACGAAATAAATAAGAAATACAAATGAATCTTTTAATCCTGAAAGAAATACCAGATAAATTTTACTTATACTAAAAACAAGTGCATCAAGTAAAAAAGAAGAGCTGTCGGTAGGACAGTGTACTCAACTTTTCTCAGTGCTTGATAGTAAAACAAGAGCCTGGATAATTTAAGATTTTTTTAAGTTCACAATTGGATTTTTTTTACAAGGGGAATTTTTTTGTCAAAACCCATGTTAAAGTAATGGACAGTGATGTCCTTTTATGCTCTCAAAAAGTGTGTGAAGTTTACACCCATTCGAACTTGCACACAACAAACTTAACCAAAGTGTGACACCAATGTCAGGGCGAGTACAACAGCTCTCCCTATTCATCCAATAGTTGAGCTAAAAACTATAAACAATAACGAGTAAAATCTGCTTACAATCTGTATAACTAACTAAGTAAAATTGTAAATAAAATTTTACAATATATTATTTTAACAACAGCATTGCTGACAACATTAAGCATTTACATGTATCTAGGTGTGAGGTCAGTAAGTTGAGAATAACTGAGAAGAAATGATATAATTTTATTAATATTTTATTAACAATGACGTCATGAACCTGGGATTTTTTGATCACATTTTGCTTCTGGTCCTGTCAAAAAAAATGTTCAATTATGTGTGAATGAAACTTCTGAAATGGATTTTTCCGGTATTTCCGGCCTTTTTCTGTATCAAAAAATATATAAATAAACAAACAGGCACAATTTTAAAAGTTTTATTAAGATTAACTACAGGTCTAGCTTGTAAGATTATAACCTACAATCAAAATGTATCGAATGGAAACCCTTCACTTTTTATTGAAGGTTCATTAAGCCTCAGAAATGCTTTTTTTAAATTTCTCATAACATTTTTAATTTTGGTGTATTTTTTATTTAAATATCCAAAGAGTTACTCGTTGGCCAATTACCTGAACCATCATTTTCATCAGTTACTTTTTGGCAATAAGAACAGTGTAGTGTATAAGTACTTTGTATGGAAGTCAAAATACTACTTTGTTTACATTTTGCTACATTTATGACAAACTGTTTTACATTTATCGCTACCTTTTCATGAAACAATTATCTTACATTTTCGAAAAACCATTATAAAATTCATGCTTGCCGTTTAGTAAAAATATATTTGTTTCTGAGGCATAATACGACTTTCACTCGGTTTATAGAAAATTGATAACTCGGATGCCAGAAATCGATGAAATATAGCCTGGTTAATACGAACCTGAATGTTTAGTAATAACACAATTACATAATTCCTTAAAATTTGTTTTAAAATAATATAATAGTGGCTAACAGTACCCAGTAGAGAATTAATTATGCACTAATTAAAATTATAGAAAGACCTAAACTTTAAAATACATACATTATTATAATACAGCAGTGCAGTTTGCTTCGTATACGTCTCTGACCTTTATAAACCCAGACCCTTTCATATAACCCACGCTTTTATCTATAAATATCACAGTTATACTTTTAAAATGGTCATTTTCGCTTCTTTATATCTCTAGTGGCTTTCAACAGGTATCCTTTAGCTTTAACTATGCCGCGACATTTTACCAGTACTGAATAACGAAGTACCCATAATGCATCCCAGTTCTCACTGTCTTTTTCTGTACTGTTTTCCCGAATCACCCCTTGGAGAGTCTCTGACGAAAATACAGCTAAAATAATAAAACAATATATTTATATTAACGTAGACTTACAATAAAATACTCCTGCCAGCAAAATATTTATATGTATTAATCTTAGCCAGTTACTCTTGTTTTGACTCACACTGTCAGTCTGTCACACTATTAATTTGTATTATGAAATGCAGAATTTTACACACACACCCCCCCCCCCCCCCCCCGGAAAAAAAGAAAGAAAAACAAACTGTGTACATTACATTAATTTGACCATCAAGGTCATTTACAAGTCAAGGTCAAATTGGTCTGACCTGTTTATCTATTTTTGACATTGTCCTTATTATAGATGTGCTACAGTCATTCCATTTATAAATAAAATAAGTTATAACCATTATAACAAGAGGGGCCATGATGGCCCTGAGGTCGCTCACCTGTATATAGCCCCCCCCCCCCCCCCCCCCCCCCCCCGGGCCAATTTTTACCCAAGGGCTATTATTTGTTTATTTGAACAGACTTGGTAGACACCCATAAGAAGATGTTTCATGCTAAACATCTAAGTTCTAGCTCATTGGGTTTTTTTTAAAAGAAGATTTTTTAAGTTTTTACTATACACATATAGTTAAAAACAATGACACCCCTGGGGCAGGGCCAGTTTTGACCCCCGGGCTTTAATTTGTAGATATTTACTTATAGATGTTTCATGCTTAATATCTAAACTAAAGCTATTTGGGTTTTTCAAAGAAGATTTTTAAGTTTTTTGCTATACACATATAAGGAAAATCAATGACCCCCGGGGCGGGGCAGTTTTGACCCCAGGGCTTTTATTTGAACATACTTGGTAGACACCCATTAGAACATGTTTCATGCCAAATATCTTAGCTCTAGCTCTTTGGGTTCTTTAAAAGAAGATTTTTTAAGTTTTTACTATATGCATATAGGGAAAATCAATGACCCCCTGGGGCGGGGCCAATTTTGACCCCAGGGCTTTTATTTGAACAAACTTGGAAGACATTCACAAGAAGATGTTTCATGCCAAATATCTAAACTCTAGCTCTTACGGTTCTTTAAAAGAAATTTTTTAAGTTTTTACTATATGCATATAGGGAAAATCAATGACCCCCCAGGGCGGGGCCAATTTTGACCCCAGGGCTTTTATTTGAACAAACTTGGTAGACACTCACTAGAAGATGTTTCATGCCAAATATCTTAGCTCTAGCTCTTTGGGTTCTTTAAAAGAAGATTTTTTAAGTTTTTACTATATGCATATAGGGAAAATCAATGACCCCCTGGGGCGGGGCCAATTTTGACCCCAGGGCTTTTATTTGAACAAACTTGGTAGACATTCACTAGAAGATGTTTCATGCCAAATATCTAAGCTCTAGCTCTTACAGTTCTTTAAAAGAAGATTTTTTAAGTTTTTACTATATGCATATAGGGAAAATCAATGACCCCCCTGGGCGGGGCCAATTTTGACCCCAGGGCTTTTATTTGAACAAACTTGGTAGACACTCACTAGAAGATGTTTCATGCCAAATATCTAAGCTCTAGCTCTTACAGTTCTTTAAAAGAAGATATTTAAAGATTTTTCTTTCGGTTGCCATGGCAACCAGAGTTCTGCATGGAATTAAATTCTTTGAACAATTTTTAAAGGTGACCACCAAAGGAACATTCCTGTGAAGTTTGGATGAAATTGGCTCAGTGGTTTATGAGGAGATGTCATTTAAAGCAAAAGTTTACGGACGGACGGACGCCGGACGGACGGACGCCGGACGAAAAGCGATCACAAAAGCTCACCCTGTCACTTTGTGACAGGTGAGCTAATAAAAATCAAGCAAAATTCAATGAAGAATTTTTACTTAATAAGGAAATTCATTATCAGTAACCTTATCAACCCAACTAAGAATAAAATTTGAAGAACTATTCAGGACATACTTCTAGGATCATTGTGTGTGAGGAGCTGTATGTCATTAAGTTTGGCATATTCTACAAGGTCTTTTGGCATCACACAGCAGGAATCCAGGTTCACCTGATTGATCACTGGCTTTACCTGAAATTTACATGATATTTATCTGAAATTTACATGAAATTTACATATTTATCTAAAATTTACATGAAATTTACATGAAATTAGATAAACAGAAAATTGGACAAAGAAAGAAAACATTTGTTTCCGCAGTTAATTTCAACTGGCAAATAACAACAAAACTGTTTTAAGTAAATACAAAATTATGAAGATACATATAAACTCCATTGTAAAGGTGACCATAAAAGTTATATTTGGCACATTTACAATCAAAAAAGGATAGTGCTAAGCAAAGACTTCAAATTCAAGATCAAATTATTTTTGATATTGTACTTTGGCACACTTACTTCATGATATGAGCCGCATCACAACAAAACCAACATAGTGGGTTTGCGACCAGCATGGGTCCAGACCAGCCTGCGCATCCGCCCAGTCTGTTCAGGATCCATGCTGTTCGCTATCAGTTTCTTAACTTGTTACAGGGCCTGTAAGCGAACAGCATGGATCCTGAACAGACTGCGCGGATGCGCAGGCTGGTCTGGATCCACGCTGGTCGCAAACCCATTATGTTGGTTTTGTCGTGATGCGGCTCATATCCTGCAGAAAAATAACTCAAATGAGATAAGTATCATTAAATATATAAAATTGTCTATTTATCCATGTAACTGGAAGGATTTGTTAAGAAGTCATGAATACAATAATTTATACCACCTGTGGTTTCCTAACTACAAGACAATATTTTATCAACTTAGTGCAGTAACGGGTTAACTCCTTGTAAAACTTAATAGGAGTCATCCCATTACTGCACTACGGTAACAATTTAAGGTCATATTGACACCTTAGTGCAGTAACTGGTTAACTCCTTTTATAACTTAATCCAAGTTAACTCATTATTGCACTAAGGTAGCGATTTAAATCACAGACAATTTATCATTAAACTAGAGGATGCTTTTGTAAAAAAGCGCATGTCTCCCCCACTGCTGAGAATAACTGTGAATGGAAACAGGAATGGAAATGGAGATAAGATAATGTAAATACCCGGTAGTCACTTCAATGAAGGCTGTCTATGGATGGTTTCTATTGTTAAGGTTGTATGAGAAGATGCTTCCTAAACTGTTTGTTTTTAACCAGGTATTCAATTTTGAAAATCCTGGTTATTCAATCAGCGTATGGCAGGCGGGCGTCAAACGAAATTGCACTTGATGGTCATATCATATATAGTTTCACAAATGAAATTAAATGAAATTGTGTCTGCTCCATAATTCTTCAAACCTTTAAAGGATTTTGATGATACTTGAAACAAACGTTCATATTGTCAGATTTTTTTACACTATTGAAAGACAACTCAAATTACAATGTATGTAAATTGACCAACGGTCACTGTGACCTTGACCTTTGACCTACTGACCCCAAAAACAATAGGGATCATCTGCTCTATAAGACCAATCATCCTATGAAGTTTGAGGGCTGTAGGTCAAAAGGAACTCTAGTTATCATCCGGAAACGAGAAATTGACCAACGGTCACTGTGACCTTGACCTTTGAACTACTGACCCCAAAAACAATAGGGATCATCTGCTCAATAAGACCAATCATCCTATGAAGTTTGAGGTCTGTAGGTCTAAAGGAACTCTAGTTATCATCCGGAAACGAGAAATTGACCAACGGTCAGTGTGACCTTGACCTTTGACCTACTGACCCCAAAAACAATAGGGATCATCAGCTCTATAAGACCAATCATCCTATGAAGTTTGAGGAACTCTAGCTATCGTCCGGAAACGAAGAATGGACGGACGGACTGACGGACTGACGGACGGACGGACGGACTGACGGACGGACAGGGCAAAAACAATATGTCTCCCCCCGAGGTGGGGGAGACATAATAACATCAATTTGTATATTCTACCTTTTGTACAGTACTTAGACAAAAAACTTCAACAAATAATATGACACCTACTTCTGCCCATTCATACAGCTCCTCTAATAAATTCTTATCCAAATCAGCAATGCCAATTGCCCAGACGAGCTCCCTGTGGACTAAACCCTCTAAAACTTTCCAAAATGGTTGAATTATTTCCAGTGTGATGTCCTCATTCTCAATCTCTGGGAATGCAATCAAAGCTGTCTCTATGAACGCTACGTCCAACTCTCCCAGTGCTGCAATATGTAACAGCAAAATAGAAGTATCCTGTCTTGTCAAGATTTTTATTTCATGTATATCAAACCAGTCATCTTCATGTGGTTATCAAACCAGTCATCTTTCATGTGGTTATCAAACCAGTCATATTTTATGTGGTTATCAAACCAGTCATCTTTCATGAGGTATCAAACCAGTCATATTTCATGTGGTTATCAAACCAGTCATCTTTTATGTGGTTATCAAACCAGTCATCTTTCATGTGGTTATCAAACCAGTCATATTTTATGTATATCAAACCAGTCATCTTTCATGTGGTTATCAAACCAGTCATCTTTCATGTGGTTATCAAACCAGTCATCTTTCATGTGGTTATCAAACCAGTCATCTTTCATGTGGTTATCAAACCAGTCATCGTTCATGTGGTTAACAAACCAGTCATCTTTCATGTGGCTATCAAACCAGTCATCTTTCATGTGGTTATCAAACCAGTCATCTTTCATGTGGTTATCAAACCAGTCATATTTCATGTGGTTATCAAACCAGTCATCTTTCATGTGGTTATCAAACAAGTCATCTTTCATGTGGTTATCAAACAAGTCATCTTTCATGTGGTTATTAAACCAGTCATCTTCCATGTGGTTATCAAACCAGTCATCTTCCATGTCGTTATCAAACCAGTCATATTTCATGTGGTTATCAAACCAGTCATATTTCATGTGGTTATCAAACCAGTCATATTTCATGTGGTTTTCAAACCAGTCATATTTCATGTGGTTATCAAACCAATCATTATTATTCAAATTTTGATTAAAGTCACAATACCAGTCTTCGGACATATTAGGTCTATCCTGGTATATTAGAGGAGGAAGACCTTAACAGCTTATCCATGCTTTGCTTCAAGCAAAAAACATGCAACTGACATAATTATGTAGAGCTTGCACTAGAAGCTGACAATGAACAAATTGGCAGCAAAAAATAAATCAAAATGGCAAAGAGAAAAATAACATTGGTGAAAACAATTAAAAAAGAAAATCTTTAAATGGGAATAAGATTTTTACATCAAATTTACATAAAACAGTCTTAACATTTGACCTTCAAGTGTGACTTCGACATTGAGCCTGTATAGTGATGGCATGGGTTCTGCACATCGCCTTGTTGAGATAAAAATTTGAGTAAAGTTATAAAATAATCCTCTGAAGAGTATTAGATTTAACTAGAACTGTGTCCAAAGGACACGGATGCCCCCACTGACAACATATTTATGGTATATAGTGAAAAAATCAACAAAGGGCCATAATTCTTTTAAATTTGGTTGCAGCAAAGATTCCTTCCTTTACTACCATCTACACATTAAGGTTGTTCATCCCTGGAAGTTTAAGCAAAATCTGCCATCCGGTTTAAGAGGAGTTGCGTTCACAAGATTTCGGGACAGACGGACGGACGGAAGCTCTTACCAGAGCTACATTATGGGGTTTTCTTTTGTTATTTCTTTTGTTCTTTTTAACCCCACAATACAGAAAATAACCCCACAAGAGAAACGGAATGAATGACATCAAAGACATCTATTGTTATGAGAACAATAGACCAAACCCCATAATGTAGCTCTGGTTTGTACAGACAGACGTACGGACGGACGGACGGACAAGTGCAACGCTATATGCTCCCACTTTGTGGGGGCATAAAAAGCTGACAGGAAATTGTCTATCACTGACCTTTAAGTGTGACCTTGACCTTGTGCTGGCACAATGTGGAATAGCCACTGCACATCATCCTGGTGACGTCAACATTTAAGCAAAGATTGGAGAAAATCTTTAAAGAATATCACTTATAGAGTGGATACTAAATACTTGGTTGTCAAGGTGACAGCATGAAGTATCTAGTGAAAATGTAAAATATTCATATAAATATTACAATAAATTCGTTTTACCTTTTTCAACTGCCTCTTTGATTGAATCTGGTGACACATGTTGTAGAGAACAAATAAATATCTTCACTGCAAAAAATAAAATCAACTTGATATTAATACAGATATCTAAAAAAGTTTATTATAAGTCACATACTAAAGTTATCAATCATAATTTTCAACATTACATAGACTATCAATAGGTGAGATATTTCCATTATACAAACAGAAAAGATTAAGCTCTCAAAATGACAGTATTGTATTTTTCTGTTGTTGGGTTTTACATTGCACTTAAACAGTATAGGTCATTATGGCGACTTTCCTGCTTTACTGGTGGAGGAAGACCTCATGCGCCTTTCCTTGCTTAATTTCAAGCGTAAATAGGCAACTGAGTAGAACTGGTGATGTTGTATAGTAAAAAAGTTATTCCAAAGATGGAAGATATGACTTACAAGAAATGGAGTCATAGGAGAAAACAATCTTGTGTTAGCAGTAGAAATTGCATTAATGACTTCTCGGGACAGAGGCCCATGCATTATTTTTTGCAGATATTTCCAGACAGAATTACCTTAATTTCAGCACCTGTATGGTAAAGTTGAGAATAATCTTTACATGATGTCATTTTAATATTTCCAGCAACAATGTTTTATCAAGATCCTTACTGTCATCAGAACAAACAACTCCTAATGATGGGCCATCCACTCTTTCAGGCACTGACAGTAACAGACCCCATAACAACAACAACAACATACCTGTAAGTTTTAAATCCCCTCTATCATCTTTAGGAATGGTCTCTTTATATTTTTCATGAACACAACTTAGGTCAGTTACATACTACAATAAACAAACAACTTTCATAGTTAGTCAAATAAACAACACATTATCGCCAACACCAACATTAACAAAAATTATTATTTACTTTTTCAGTTTGACCAGATAGTCCTTGATTTAAGATATTTGAGGAAATAATGTATAAGAGATATAATGGTTAAGAGAAAAATTACAAAGAAAGAAGTAATGGTTCAAATGTGAATGGCTTGATACAGTTAAGAATGTGATAGTTTAAAGGTAACCATGTTACCATAACATTTCGTTTCATCTGGAGGCATGCAGCCGTAAGTTATTTAATAAACAACTTGAAATTTGTAATCAAATTATAAACTATAATATCAGTTATAATTCGCACATAACATGTAAAGCATTTATTCAATTTTTACACTTTTCTTTAAATCTTAGTACAGTTTTCTCAAGTTTGATTTTCTTCAAATGTTTTGGCTAATCCAGAGGGCATGCACCTTTAAAAGCAAAGGGTACAGTCTACATCTTAGATATTAAAGCTGCATGCCTCCAGATGAGCCAAAATATTTCAAGAAATTCAAATTTAAGAATAATGTACTTTAAGTTTAAGAAAAGTGAAAAAAAAATCCAAGACTAAAGTAAAAACTTACATGCTACATGTATGTACGATTAATGACTGATATTGCAGTATTTATCACCATATTTCTACTTCGTAACTAAAGCAGTAAGGTCTATTTTTTCATATTTTGACCTATTTTTGGTAATTACATTGGTAACAAGTGCCGTTTGCAATTTAGAAAGTATTTTCTTTGTTCACTAAATACAATACATGTACATGTATTTTACTTTTTCATACATTTTCAAAATTTTCATGAAAATTAGCAGAAATCTGTGGTGTGCTGCTTTAAAGTCTGGTCAGGATTTACACAGTGTCAAGTCTGAAACTGAAGAAGGAAAACGAACCAACCTGTAATTCATTTTTATCAGCAGACGACAGGAACGACTGTAGGGTTGAACTTACACATTCACTGATCTATAAATAAATCATAATCATATATAATGTAATATACTTTTGTACATTAATACATGTGCATTTATGATCATTTCTTTACTATTATAAGTTTAACTCTAAATTAACTTGCTGGAAAACTTAAAAGTGTTTATATTTTGATATTGAAATCCCTTAAAGGAACTTAACTGAGATCCAAAAACCTAAATAAATATTTCAATTTTAAAATTCTTACATAGATCAGCTGGGTCATTAAAACAGAGCGATAAGCAAATTTCATTGGTAATTTATTTTAAAGAAATGTGCCCAGTAAAAATGGTATTTTTGTGTTATTTTTAGGTCATTTTTCACAGTTAGAAAAATGATTCTGGAAAAACAGTGTGAGCCAGCGAATGATCTGAAAATTTGCTAACTTGTTATTGGTCTAGACCTACATCAAATGGAACATTAATCTCGAAAAATTATGTTCAGTACCTGCATGTCAAAAAACCTAAGTGAAGATCAACACTTTGAACTGTTTCAAAATCAAAGCCTATCAAATTTTCCATTTAATTTACATAAATTCAGTAGCTCAAGGGTTACTTAAAAGGATGCCACTGAGCTTGACTATATTTATGTACCAATTGATGGTGTCCTGGTGGACAAATAACTTGTGTGCAAAATTTCAGATTCAAACACTCTATTTTTCTTTTTTTTTAAACAAACAACTAAATAACAAATATGATTTTCACTTAACTAAATGAAAAGAGTTTATTATATAAATGTTTTTAATTCAAGTTAGCCTAGAAGAATAGCAAGATTTTCTATTTAATTTTGAGTATATATTTCTTCAACAACTTTTGTAAATTTTCTTTTCAAGTGCACTATTTGATCTATATATAGAAAGTGAGAAATGATTTTTTTCATCTTTAGGCTCTTAAACCTCCGTGAGTATTAAAGAAGGCAATAAATCTGGTAGTTTGAAGTACTAGTAATTTAAAATATTACAAGATACATCAACAAGAACTGAAGAAGCAACGATATATCAGAAAAAATAACTCTATGGTATCTCTTTGAAAATGTGATCCATTAGGCAATAATTATTGCTTTATTAAGTACATGTGACCATTCTAACAACTAGAGTGCAACATTTAATTTAACTGTTTTGAAAAGAAACTGATCCAAAGTTACCATTTATAACATCATTCCCAAACACGTATTATAGTTGACAAAGTAATCTATAATCAATCTGTTTACATCTTTTATGTATATTGAAACTTACATAACAATAATACAACTAATTATCCAATGGTTAAGTGATTAGTGACAAAGACATTATTGTTCTCAACATGATGTAAAATTATTACATTATTCAGGGCACTTCATTTTGTTGATACATGTATAAATATATTGTCATAGCATTTATAAATCCATATGAAAACTGCCATTTATTTCACACTGTTAAATAGCTTAATCATTAAAAGGAGGCCTTACACATCAGTAATCTGGTATAATTTTCTAACTTTATTCAATAGCATTAATAATTCTATATAACAATTTAACAATATTACACAACAAAATAGGAATAATTAGAGCACTACTCTTTTACTACATGTATTTAATAAAGCATTTTAACTAACTTAGGCTTGATTGTTGCATCTTATAACAAGTTACAAATTCTAAAGTTTATTCACACACTTCCCATGATATTGTACTTTCAAATACTTCACAACACAACAATTTAGAACATAAAAAACAACAACAACAAAGCCTTATCCATATAGAATACATGTAATTTATCTTGTAACACTGTGACTGCACCATTATTTTCACTAATAACCTTTTGTAGATAAGCATGATTTCTCAAATCTGTTTTAAATATGCTTGACAAAGAGCTTTATGTCAGTGACTATGAGATTTGTGTCTGTGACTATGAGTTTCATGTCAGTGACTGAGATTTATGTCAGTGACTACATGTACGAGTTTTGTCAATGACTACCAGTTTTATGTCAGTGACTACGGGTTTTATGTCCGTGACTATGAGTTTTATGTCAGTGACTATGAGTGTTATGTCAGTGACTATGAGTTTTATGTCAGTGACTATGAGTTTTATGTCAGTGACTATGATTGTTATGTCAGTGACTATGGGTTTTATGTCAGTGACTATGAGTGTTATGTCAGTGACTATGAGTGTTATGTCAGTGACTATGGGTTTAATGTCAGTGACTATGAGTTTTATGTCAGTGACTATGGGTTTTATGTCAGTGACTATTGGTGTTATGTCAGTGACTATGAGTTTTATGTCAGTGACTGAGTGTTATGTCAAATTGACAATTCCAATATTATACATTTTCAAGCACATGGAAATTAAACCTGTACCATCATCAAAACAACATTACCATAACCATTTAGAATGATAACTTTTTTTAATTTATTTTACCTGTTTTTAAATTACATCCTGTTCATAAATGAGTTAATAGCAATAAACAATTTGTTTTTTCATTTTGTGTCAAAAATACAACAGTCTTATATACCAATAAGGATAAAGTGGCTGGGGTGGATTGTTCCCATCCTACTCTAAAAAATATGATTCCTACTGAATGGAGAGTGGGTAATGAGTGTATCTGTAGCTGGAGCATTTGTAACAACCATCAAAATACATGTATATCTCTTTTTCCACCAATGGTGTAGCAAAACTTCCCATTTTATTTGTGCCAGTTTACCCAGTCATACATATTATAGACCTACATATAGTTTGGCATACACTTAGTTTTACTAAAACTTTTGGTCTCTGACTACATGTATTATCTAAAAATTAACTACACTTTTATAAAATCAGTAAGGGATTACAACTGATTAAAATATATAAAAATAAATTACTGTCAAAATATTATTTAAAATACGAGGAACTATAATGTACATATCAAATACATGTATATACTGCAAAATCATTTTTAATCGTGGGGCATTAATTTTCGTGGTTTAGTTTGCATCAAATTATTTACATTTTGCCTTTTGGAAAAATAAACAGTCCACATATTGAAGAACCCATGAAAATGTTCTTTTTTGAAAACCACGAAATTTCATGTCCATTCACAGTAAAAAATTTGTATTGTTGCCATTTTTTGCAATGTTGCATTTCCAAGCAGTGATTGATCATAATTATTAGCATTAACAAGTGCTGTTTGTAAGCCAATGTGCTTGACTTTCCTCAGTGCTTAACAGTAAGAGGCATAATTCTAAAAAGGCAACAAGGGCTTCCATTAATAATGTTCCAAAATTTGAAAGTAATAGACTGCAAAATGTCTGACATTAGAAGTCACATTTTAATATATAGGTAAAGCAGGAAAAGCATTATATTTTGGAAATCACAAGCCAAAATCTAGAGTGACTCCCAAAGTTCCACTTACAACTGAGAATTACAAGCCTGTGCCCTTTATGAGAACAAATGTGAAAGAGAATTTTATAAGTGTTTGAAATTTTAACCCGTTCCCTTCAGTAGTTTTGGTTGCATGCCATACCCATGTGTGGCTCAGATGCAAAGGTGATTAAAATAGCTCTCCCTATTCTTTGAGTAGTCGAGCTAAAAAATCTTGGGTGTTTTTGAGAATAAATGAAAAACAATATAATCAAAAATTGCAGACAATTTATTATATGAAGCCTAGCTAAACTTCAAAATTATTTAGAAAAGAATCTTTGAGAATCCATACCATCTTTTAACAGATGTAAATAAAAAGCAAAAAGTTTGTTCAAGTCAACATCTATTGTTACATATCTATAACTTATAAATACTATTGTGAAATTATGTTACATGTAGACTCAAATAAAATATTTTAAACAATTGAAATGCAGTTTAACCGCGGGAAAATGGACAGGCTTGCTGTTAATTTTTCTTATTACCTTTAATCTAGCTAAGTCACTGATCTACTATTCATAGGTGGCATATAGTAAACATGTATCCAGATAGGAACCACAGGGGATTCTGTCATTTTTTTTCCTTTCCCACTATATATATAATATAACAAGGGATACAACTCAAAATTGCTCAATTCATGAAAAAGTAAATTCAACGCAGTATACAACAGTTTTTTTTCTTCTGATTGTAGGACATTGATAAAATAATAGATAATTTTAAAAAAATGACTCACTTTGTTACATGGACAAGATATTATTAAAAATAACTTTTCATGTTTCATTTTTACACACGTTCGTAAAATTTTGGTTTGTAAAATTACACGTGTAAAAGTTAAAACGACATCTAATGCAAACGTATGCTCATATAAGAAAGTTTAATCATGTAATCGGTTAAATAACAATTATCCACCACCATCTATGATGAAATCATTAACTTCTGGTACAAATTATTGTAACAATTTATGTTTGTTTTGATGATTTCTATCCTCGGCTTCCATTTTGATGTTGCCCGTATGTTCCAATGCGTAAATCCAACTTCTGTTAGTAACTGTCAATTTCATTGGCTAATGTCAGAATAATAATAATCCGGATAATAACAGCATATAGCTGCGACGAATAGCGGTCTTTTCATCAGCCAATGAAAATACTTGGAACATAAACACACCTGCAAAATGGACGACAACTTGACAGCCAATGTAAATATTGAAATGTAAGCTATTTCCTGCAATGTTACAGATTTTAATGAAGTGTTTGTAGTAGAACTTGGGTAATGACTCGTTCATATATTAACTTCTACAATAACTTTGATGGAATAGAGGATATTTTATACAGTTTACACGTGTAAATGCATTTTACGAACCCGTGCTGGTAGTGCGAGGCCACGACTTGTATCCCTTGTTTATATTATATAGATATAGATTTAATAAAATAATGACAGATTTCCCTGTGATAGGAACTACATGTATAGAAATAATGAAGACACTGACTTAAGGATGCTTTTTAATTGGAAAGTGTTTCTTATTAATCTTAACACCAGTTTTTTTTCTTATTGAGATGGACATTTAACTTGTATTTTCATTTAATAAAATAAACATTTCATTCGAACATTTTGTCAAAAATATAAAATCAACTGAACCATAAAAACTGCCGTGTCATTTTCCCACAAAAAGTTATTTGCACCGTCATTGTTTACTATTTTGATTATCTCCCTTTAAATGATATGTATATAATAGCAACAAACGATGCTAGATCTTTATGATAAATAGAAACATTAACTAAGCTGGTGGAAAAGAAACCTATGTACGAGACATGACAAAAAATGTTTATACCAAATCTTAAGCAGTATACTTTATTACACATTTATCTTGCATAATTAATCTTAATTGGAACAGGTGCTCGGTTTCGCACTCTGCTGTCAGTGTATTTTCAACAAGTTTTATTGATTAACAAAATTCTGTCACTTTTCGTAACAAAAATCATGAATGCAAAATTACCTCATCTGTTGGTGTCTGTGATGGTTTTCTTTTCAACCGGTTCCAATTTACAATATTCCCACTATTAATCAATAAAGATCCTGCTTTCGGTATCATTGGGATTTCGTCCGCCATTTTGTGTTGTTACGGAGGTCGATATCTTGCTTACTAAATCCTGTAAACTTTATTTATGGTACCTTATCCGAAACAATTTGGTACGAAACCAAATATAAAAACTTTCTGTTACGAAATCGATATCCAGTGAGTGAACTTATTCGTACATAATAAATTCAAAGAGACATCACACAGAATAATCGTTCTAAATTGAAGAACTATTTGATACGTACAGTTATACAAAAAATTACACTGAAATATCTTAAACCGTTTGAATAAAATTTATTCAGTAGTGAATGAATACCTAAATTTCAGTAACCCCTGTTCGTTTTACATAAAATTAAATAAAGTTTAACTTTATAAGCAATTTTCATCAATTTACTTATCCAAGATTTATATTACATATAAATCTGTATTTAAACTTAACAAATATAATAATGTCATTAGTTCTAAATGGTGTCCTGATTTTTGACTTCAATAAATTTTAGTGGAACCTTAAATATATACAAACTTCAATATAAGTATGGTTTAGATATGAACATATTCATCCGAATTATGCGTGGGCTGTCACCAAAATTGTTCTAGAAATTCTTCCCAATTTACCAAGCAAAATGATGATAATTCAATATCCTATATAATCATTAATTTCGTTAAATTAAGAACAGTAAAATTACACATTTAATCTACGTCGGGGTTTACTCAATCAGCCCTATCTTGTACTTAAACCTGCATTATAATTATGTGAATTTCCGCTCACAACTATTTTACTCGATATGTGAACATATGAAGAAAATAGGCCAATCACAGGGTAGGTTTTAAATTTTTTAAACATTTATATAAACTTCAAAGGGTGTTTTTTAAAGAAAATTTTAATGTGATTCTACCCACCTGACTTTCCTCTATATTTACCCATTGTTGTTCCGAATTTTTATGCAGTCTTCATCAAGATATTCTTTCCGTCGTGGGTTCTGGTGTGCACAAAACATGCAATGCGTACGAAGAAAATGTCGCTAAACGTACTCCAAACACAGTGTTTTCACAAAATCATCCCATCGAACGATATGCTAAAACAATCGAACAATCCTAATTGAAACAGTCATAGAGATTTGGCCCAAAATAAACGTTACTATGTTACAAATGTATTTAGACTGCATCATTGAAGAGTTTAATTCGCATTTCATACATTTTTAGGCCTCAAAAATGTTTTCTAATTCATAAAGAAAGCCTAGCTACATTCTTGCAAAAAAAAGAGTGTATCATTACTAAATTAAAGCTTGTTGCACCCGATTTGCCTTTAGGAACGCATTCACTGTGAGCAAGAAGGTATTTCCGATAGATAGCGACATGCACGGAAATCTGATTTAGCAAAAGACGGATATACAGTATAAATAATTCTTTAGAGAAGAAACTTTTTAAGTGATACCAAAAAGTTAAAATTGTAATTGTTTGCTGTATAAGCTTATATTGTTAAGAATAATTTGAATTTGATTATCTTCCTTTCTAACATTTGTATACGTTCTATGGTATATATACGCCTTGCCCATTGCAAAACTGTGTTTGTGTTTTGTAGACTAAAAAGTACAACTCGATTGGACATACAAAAATAGTTCACAAAATTGCACGAGATACGGACAAAGTTGAATTGTCTCGGACGTATCCATGAGTTTCCGCTTATAAGCGTACATTACGGAACCATCTTATCCAATTCAATAGCAGACGATAACAGACGCGGAAACAAACGACAATCTACGCATGCGCGGACATTTAGTATAATTTTCCCGCGTCAAACTGGCAAACAGTGCACGGCAAAATGAACAATTAACGTAACAAATAAATCGAACTATACTTCTGTCCACGTGCTTGCTTCTCACTGCTATGGGTTCGAATCCAACCAGGGACTTGGTTATTCTTTCACATGAAAAAGATACCTCAGCTAGTTTGTTCTATTCAGGTTTCCGTTCGTGCCTGAAATAACTAACACAGGAGCATATGAGGTCTTTCTTCACCAGCAAAGCTGGAAAGTCACAATGTGACCTTACTTTGTTGTTGCGACGTAAAATCCAATACGTAATCTATTTGTATCAGACTACTTATTTTGTATATATTGCTGTAAGAACTAAATATCAACTTATGTTTACAGAAGTCACATTTATAATCCTTTAAAGATAACTTAACAGGCACATTCAATGTTTTCGATGACTTAAAGACCCAATAAATACAATAGATAATTATAAGTCGGTCATATACGGTACTTGTACTCTTGTGTGTGCGTGTATGTATATTTTGAGTTTTATTTAAATTCCATTGTAAGCAGCAAAACATCTGAGATCACTTATTTCTGTAGGATTTGAGCTGTGCCATGACAAAACCAACATAATGGGTTTGCGACCAGCATGGATCCAGACCAGCCTGCGTATCCGCGCAGTCTGATCAGGATCCATGCTGTGCGCTTGCAAACCCTATAACAAGTAAATAAACTGATAGTTGTTTTCTTTCAAGATGATGAACTACTTACTAGCTGTAGTATGATTAGATAAGCCTTAGAGTCTTCATATAAGACATCAATGTTGACAATAATTTGAATAATGTCAAAAGGGAAGAATATCTTAGAAAATATATAAGAGTGACCGTCCTTGCTTATTGCAAATGGCATAAGTGGGCAAAAAGGAAGTTATCGTTAGAAAATTTATAAGGTAGATGATAGTGACCTCCCTCGTTTATTGCAAATGGCGTAGGTATCCAAAAAGGGAAGTAATTCTTAGAAAATAAATTAAGTTGCCGAGATTGACTTGCCTTGCTTATTTCAAATAGCGTTAGTGGGCAAAAGGGAAGTAACACTTAGGAAATAAATCAAGTTTGTTAGAGTGACCTCCCTTGCTTATTGCAAGTGGGAAATATGGAAGTAAGTCTTAGCAAATAATTTTAGTTGTTAAGATGAACTCTTTGCCTTTTGCTATTGGCGTTAGTGGGAAATAGGGAAGTAACTCTTAGCAAATAAATTAAGTTGTTACGATGAACTCCCTTGCATATTGCTATTGGCGTTAGTGGGAAATAGGGAAGTAACTCTTAGCAAATAAATTAAGTTGTTAAGATGAACTCCCTTGCATACTGCTATTGGCGTTTTGGATATAGTGACCTCCCTTGCTTATTGCAAATGGTGTAAGTGGGCAAAAGGGAAGTAACTCTTAGCAAATAAATTAAGTTGACTGAAAGTGACCTCCCTTGCATATTGCAAATGGCGTTAGTGGGCAAAGGGGAAGTAACTCTTAGAAAATAAATTAAAGTGGATAGAGTGACCTCCCTTGCGTATTGCAAATGGCGTTAGTGGGCAAAAAGGAAGTTATCGTTAGAAAATTTATAAGGTAGATGATAGTTAGTGGGAAATAGGGAAGTAACTCTTAGCAAATAAATTAAGTTGTTACGATGAACTCCCTTGTATATTGCTATTGGCGTTAGTGGGAAATAGGGAAGTAACTCTTAGAAAATAAATTAAAGTGGATAGAGTGACCTCCCTTGCATATTGCAAATGACGTTTTAAAGTGTCTTTCGGTTGACATGGCAACCAGAGTTTCACATTCAAATTCTTTGAACAGTTTTTAAAGTTGACTACCAAAGGAACATTCCTGTGAAGATTGGATGAAATTGGCTTAATGGTTTATGAGGAGATGTCGTTTGAAGTAAAAGTTAACAGACCCCAGACAAATTGTAATCAGAAAAGCTCACCTTGTCACTTTGAGGCAAATGGAAATGAGCTTAAATCATTTCTGGGCTAGTGGGGGTTTAATAGTGTAAAGTTAACCTGTTGATAAACAAGATTTGTTTTTATTTTGACCATTCAATTTGACCAACTGAAATCAGAAATCATTATAAAAGACAAAACCAATGATATTAGCTGGCATTTTACAAAATATTTAGTTTGTATCAATAACCAAAGAGAAATCAATAAACACAATTAACAATATTTTGAAATAGACATGAATATCAATATGTACAATCACATTTACAATTAGCTTTCATTTGATTTATTACAATGTACAAGATAATCAGTAAGCCTCTCTGTTAACCAAAGAAGGTCCATAATGCCTCAGAAATGCTTATTATTTTTATATATCAAATGCTTTTTTAATTTTGGTATATAATATCTAAAAAAATATTCACTGGCCATTTACCAGTACTATGTCATAACTGATTATAATTAATAAATACAGTTATAGTGAATAAGTTTTTTCTATGGTAGTCAAAATACTTTTTTGTTTACATTTTGCCACTTTAATGACTAACTATTTCATATTTATTGCTACTTTTTCCAGGTAACAAACATGTAACATTTCTCAAAAACCATTATTCACGCCCGTTTAATTAACTCACAACGAGTGTAAAATGTCCATCGGTAAAAATGTTGTGAGCAACTTCCGTTCCGTGCACGAAAGGTCTGTCAAGTCACACTTGTTTTGTCCAAGTATGTATCATTGCCATAGATAAACAACAAAGTTAAGAAAATAGAAACAAAATTCAATCATCTGACCTTGACTGTCAAGGACATTTAAAGGTCATATATAAATTATTCAGCATGTCTGTTTGGATACACATATGAATCAAATACAAATGTACAAACATAGATAAATAACAAAATTATGACAACTTAACTAAAATTCAATAATTTGACCTTGAGGGTCAAGGTCATTGAACGCTGATGTAAATGTTGAACTAATTGCTTAATCTGAATATCTAGAAACTATGGTATGTTTATTGAGCATAATAATACTCAAGTGGCCGTCTGATTACTGGCGTCCAAAAACTGGCATACTGTCAGCGAGCACTAACAACCAAAAGGGAAGTAACTCTGAATTTTTAAACCAAAATCATATTGTAAGCCACAAATTTTATTCTTAGGATAAGGTAGGTTAGGGATCTATGCTTAAAATCAAACTATAATAAGTGTGACTCAGTGAGCAATGTAAAAGCTGCTTATTGCAATGATGGTTATATTATCTATAACATAACTAATAAATGACAGCGCACTTACATTGTACACAAGAGTTGAAAAATTAATACATTAATACTGTTTACTAGTTATCAATATAATGCCACCTTAACAGTCTATATATAACTGTTGACATTAATAGTGTTGACTTATTTAACAGAACGACAACAATTCAATAAATATTTTAAATGTCAGGAACACAAATTAATGAACACAAGAACTATGTGCTACAGTGGGCTTTAAAAGACCTCATTTTTGTGAATGTAATAATTTTTGCACAGAATATGGTTACCTCGTCATACTGCAGTCACGTTTTGTATATTTTCTCAAGTGGGATTACTGGGTACATGTAACTATCTAATCTCCTTTTGAGATTTCCTAAGGTATACTGGATATATTTGGATCAAACGTTCTTTTCTGGCTGTGTTTTTTGTGAAACGGCATTGCAACTTCTGTTTTGTATCGCTCAAGATTTTCATTACCAAGTAAACTGTGAAAATTTGCTTTGTAATTTTTGATCTCGTCAATCAGGCCAGTGCCAAACAGTTTGTAATTCAAAACTAACCAAAGAACCAATATAATCCTGATATAAACATCCTCGTCTTCAAACAGGTCCATTGCACGAGATCCGAGAAGAACATCATTTTCGCAGTCGTACATAAACACTATTAACTTTTCATTAATGATTCCTATGCCAGGAATCAAATTATTTCGTAATTTTCCAGCATTCTGCTTATTCTGTAAAAATAAAAAAACAATAGTTTCTGCAATCATCTGAGGGCACAAATCACTCACAAGTTTTTCACTTGACTTTACTTCCACTGAGGATCCTGAAATATCATCTTCAGTTGGCTCTCCAATGAAAACAGGAAGTTCTTGTTTATTCTTGCTCATGATAAGAATGTCAACTTTTCCATGCCATCCATCTTGTACACCTAAACAGGAAAAATTAAAAGTATTAAAGACCCAGTATGCCTCAGAAATGCTATCATTTGTTCATATTTTGCTTCCTTTACAATATTTTCATGCATTCAGCACACCTTTCCTCAGTTTTAAATGTCTAATATCCCCTAAATCCATTGTCAGAACATTATTTGAAACATGTTTGACATTGCTAAAGGATTAATACAATATGGATTTCCAAGGCATAACTCACTACTACATGTACTGTTAAATTACAATCTGACTTATAAAATAATTTAGTAACTGACAATCCTTTGTTTTATCAGAGCTGTGATTGAATATCACAGTCATCAAGGCAATATTTATAAAAATTATATTCAACATTCGATACAATATCAATTCTCAATTCAGAATAGTGATGCATTATTAAGCCCATCTATCCCGTCTTGTGAACTTCATGTATTAGTATGCAGACAATCCATTTTCTGATTACTGACAAAATTATAGCCAATTATAGCAGAAAACTTTGAAATTACAATATTTTGACCTTCAAGGTCAAAGTCATTTATGTGTCAAGTAAACATTGGGTTTAAGTTTTTTTTTAAAACTTTGTCATTAAGGTGCTTGTTGTCAAGTATCATTATCAAGACAATCAACTCATAAATAACAAAGTTAAAGTCAAATATGAAAACAATCAATTCATAAATAACAAAGTTAAAGACAATTTTAGCAAAATCAAGCAAGGTCAAGGTCATCGATGATTAAAGATCACAATTAATTTGGTACACTTTCAGGTCTTGTCCATAGGATTCTTGTGTCTAAGTATGAAGACAACCCATTGATAAATAACAAAGTTATAGCCAATTATAGCAAAAATTCAAATATTTGAAATTGTAGGTAAAGGTCATTTATGAGTCAATGTCAAGATCAGTCTGTTTTGCCTAATGGGTTGTTGTCACAAAGTATGGGAACTATTCATTGAGAAATAAATAAAAAATATGGCCTAGTTTTTTTGACAGCAACAGGAGCAACAACCCGACTGTAGCAAAGCTTGAAATTTTTCTACAAAAGTCCTGCTGAAAATTGAAAGTAATAATCTTCAAATCTTGCCCAATGAAGTGTCTCCAGAATTTCCACTCAAAGGGTGTTCCACATCACAACATTTTACAAGCGTTACTCCTGGGTATGTATCAATTATGTATGTCATCTCATCAACAAGAAGCATCAGTAAATGCTCAGCATATCGTCTTGCTATGACAGCTTTACATTCTGTTTCAGATCTCCTTAACAGTACAGAATGATCTATCAATAGAAAACAATAACTACAAGCTAAAAGGAAAAAGACTTTCAATATATCAAGAGATTAATACACTGCAGAGCACGGCCGGAACCTGCAAAATAAATAATGGCCCCCAAAGGCTTCAGTTAAGGTCATTATTCATTATATGGCCGATTATTACTTTCTGGCCCATCTATGTACAGTAGTTATGTTTTTATATACTTAAAAGATCTAGTAGAAACATATTTTTTTTAATTACTTTGATTTTTCTTTTCTCTGTACTGTACAGTAACTTCTAGAGAATTGCTTCCCTCATGTGTATAGTATACAAAGTACACTACTGTATTTAAAATCAAGAAGCAAGATTTATTTTTTAGGAATGAAATTGGAGTATTATTTTCTTTAAATTTCAATGAAACTTTGCACAAATTACTCTTAAGTTCTCATCTAAAATCAAGTGAATTGTGCTTAAAACCACAGGTGCTAGTGGCATTGATTTGACCTAAAATGTGTTTGACCTTGTTATTTATACAATAAAATATCAATATATTAAAAAAAAAATTTTTTTTTCACTGTTATATTATTATAGTAATGATAATATAACAGTGAAAAAAAATAATTTTTTTTTAATTTTTTTTTAATATATTGATATTTTATTGTGACCCTGATTTAATGCATCTACAAAGTACATGTAGATCATTAATTTGATAGATTAGTTTACAGATGATTAAGTCCCGTATATTTTTTCACCAGAGATAATTCTTTTTATAATTATCAAAGTTTTTAATGTAAATAAATAAATCGCTCAAAAGTAACTTATACGCGAGGGTGGCAGGGACCACATGACCGCTATAAGAATGGTTTATTATAATGGAAAAAATGGAAGGGGCCTTAATTAGTTTTTATAGAAAATGTTAAATAAGTAATCACTATATATATACAGTAAATATTTTCATTTACTATAGCAGTACAGTTAATATAATGTACGTGTTACAGTCATTACTATTTATTACTTGCAGAAAGAACATTCGTTATGTTTTTTTTTCTGTAAAATGTGTGTTTCCATAAAGGAGAAATCCCTCCATAAATAGACTTATTTTATGTCATGCCGTTGATTTAAAAAGTAGGAGAAATGTTGTTTTTTTGTTGTTGTTTTTTTAATGTTTGAAGTAAACAAAGAGATTTCTTTTGTACACATAGACACTCATCACTTGGAGTCCGAGACGAGCAATTCAAATATCAACTCAGTGTATCTTTCTTTCAAATATTAATGAGCCCGGCCGAAGACAAACTGCAGCCGTTGCAGGCAGAAACGTATTTTTGAGGTCGCCATGCAATAAAAGCAGAAACGTTCTAAAAGTGGCCAAAGCATTTATAACACACATATATGATTCATTATTCATGTACCACATACATGTATCTTTTGCTGTTTATTATCACATGTATGTCATATTTTGATCTGGCAAAGTAGTAGACTTCGGTTGATATCTTAGATTAGAAACGTTTTTCGCGTGCAATGATGATCTCTATATGGCCATAATCTGCCCGGTTGAATCGAATGATCAGATAAGTGGATTTCAATAAGAATTTCATAACATAATTGTTCATCTAAAGTCTATTTTAATAATGAGAAGGTCACATTTATAGCTTTTTTCCGTAGTTCGGCGGAAAATAACGAAATAACAATTTTTTTCCGCGCCGCAGATTACCATCCACGACGATGTGATCATTTGAGATAATATGAAAAACCAACGGAAAAGATCATTTTTTGAGGAAAAGTCGCACAGAAATGATGTTCCCTGTTGGTAAAGGAAGTTTGCTGATATTTCAATAGTTGCCATTTCAATTCCTCCTTTATTTATCGTCTACAAGCCTGTGTCATATGCCTGTTTGATTCAGCTTTAATGATTTGTAGCCACTAACTTCTATACATAATTGCACGTGATAATTGATAGAGGTCTCAGATGACGGACTGTTTTATATCCATTAGAAATTATGTGCTATTTTAGCAGTTAGTGAAGTCACGCACTTTCCCTGGTTAGGTCCATTAATTTTTATATATTATAACATATGTGTAATTTCAGTTGATATGTTGAGAATTGAAAAGGGGATTTGAGGAGGGTCTACACTTGTAGATGTTAATTTGATTCTGACCAGGCTGGCCAGCCGCGCGACTTGCTCGTGCGCCCTTTTTAATGGCTTCTTGATGGTGGTCCTGTGTTTTGGGGGATGCGTTCATTGAATGCTGCCCTTCCTTGTTGAAATTGTATGTTCATATTTTTACTATAGATCGGCGTTTTTGACGACCAAACACATTTGACTGAGTTCAACGACCACGGTGAAAGACAAAACATCTTAAGAATGTCAAGTTAAGCTGTTGATACTTTTGACCCAAACTAGATATTTATTTTGATCAATTTATTAAGCGAATAAAATCAGATAACCTTTCTAAAAAGACAAAACTAATAACATTATCTGGCATTTACAAAATATTTATTTTGTATCAATAACAAGGCAGAAGTCAATATACACAAATTAACAATATTTTAAAATAAACATCAATGGCATCGACACAATCACATGAACAGAAAGCTTTCACATTCATATATTACTATATACAAGAAATCCAGTAAGTCAAATGTTAAAAAATCTTGTGTAAATTTCAACATACAGGATATTCAAGGTTTTTTTTCTCTCAATAAATACAGGTATTTCAATATTTTATATGTTTGACTTTAAACTGCATTTATCTTCAAACAAAACAACAGTTTAATATTTAACAGTTCTATGTTTTAGAAACCTATGTTTTTAAACTTCCTACTGACTATGTCATCATAATGCATTATATATATATATATACAAAAATAATTTCCTAAACTGGCATGTTGATCATTTATAACATTTATAGCATAATATTCTTGTTTTTATTTAATGTAATTACACATTTAGCAAATATTAAATGCTCTTCGCATCACATCCACCCTGGCATCTCACAAGCTAACTGAATTCTGTCATACTATTCAATAAAGCATATAATTATGTAAATGTGGAGTTTCAAAGTCAAACACAACTTTCTTAATTCTTTTACCTGCTGAAATTTCAAGAATGGATCTGCCCTGCTTAAATTAAGAACAGTCCATTTAAATTTTAAAGCTACATGCCTCCATGGAATTGGGAATTTCAGCGATGTTTTGTTTAAAATTGGGTATTAATGCATGACTGAAATTTTGCAGTGATTAAATAAATGCAAACATTCACTGACTAGGATAGCATCTTTATTTAATGAATGCAAAAATCATTTTAGATTTTTTTTTATTCAATATTATTTTGTAAGTTTCAATTTGGAATTTTCCCCTGTGGATTGGGAAAATAATATACTATTTTCAATTGGAAATATGAACCAATATCAGCAATAAAATAAGCCAAAACAAATCCCTAACATACCGGTAACAAAGGCTTATCATTTTCAGTTTCAGCAGGTAAAGTGTTAACCCATTGCTTCATGAGCATTTTGTGAAAAATGGCTGTTTTCATTGAAAAGTCTCCCGTTACAAGTTCAAATTGCTATAATACTATAAAAACTGCTTCAACACTAATCAAACTTGGCACAAATGTTGACTGGACCATTGTCCTTGCAACAACATGCTCAGACTTAAATTTTCTGTTACCATGGCAACGAGGGGACATCTCAAAATTGCCAAAAATCACTATTTTGCGTTGATTTTTTCCATCAAAATTGATTTCAAAGTGCTGCAACTTATCAATGGATTGAGATAGAGTCAAATGCTTTTCAGCGTTGGTTACACGTTACCTTATGATCAATCTGGGGTCATTTACAGCCTCTCACAAGTCCAAAATTTTCTTGGCGATGAGGGGGACTCCGCCCCCCTTCAAACCCCCCAAAACAGAAGGGGGCACATCCCCCTTCTGGCAACCCCCTGATGTATCTTTTGGTTGGGGGGCCGCGCCGAAAAAGAGGTCAATTTTTTTAACAACATTTCTTAAACAAAAACAAGTGTTTAGGGCCTAAATAAGGCATTTTTTCATCATTTGAGACAACAAAAAGGGGGGGGGTGAAAAAGGCGTTAAAAGGCGTGTATATGAAGTAATGGGTTAAAGCAGCATGCCTCCAGATTAATGCCAATTTTCATGAAAATTGTGAAAATATATGTAAATGTAAAACATTGTGAATTGAACAAAGAAAGTAATTTCCACATTGCCAACAGCGCTAATACATGTACAAACAACATAAATTACAACAAAGAAAGAGGTCCAAATATGCAAAAATAACCCTTACTGTGTTTGTAATGCAGTAGAAATATGGTGATAAATACTGCAAAATCAGTCATTAATCACACAAGTCACATAAATAATTACTTAAATCTTGAATCTTTTTACTTAAAATCGTAGAAAATTTTCTCAAGTTATTTTTTCTTGAAATATTTTGGCTCATCTGGAGTCATGCAGCTTTAATGTAATGAATGTCTTCATTTTAAAAGTACAAAGCTTACACCTTTTATAACATTTTCTATATACACACATATCATAATAATTTGTAACAATACATATATACCACAAATATAAATCTATTTTCTTGTTTAAGAGTCACTGAACATAATGTAGTATACATTCCCACACTGAAAAAAAAACAACAACAACCTAGTCTCACACCAAACAAACTCAAACATTACTCAACAAAGTTGATAATAAGCTTAAAGCCATTCAAACTATACAGGAAGTAATATACTACATTGACTTTTTTCTATAGTAAAGAGATGATTAAATAAAGCCTTTCTAACCTTTAATAACATTGATATAATTGTCCCATCCAATGAGTAAAGATATATATATTATAGCACAAATGTGTAAAAGATTTTTATCAGCTTTCATGAAAATGATAGAAGTAGGGGAGAATTTTTATCTTATCTAATATAATATAATATATATGACTCAATAGATAAAATTAGCATTTTTGGGTATCTGAAAATCTTGAAGTCTTAAATAACCCATTAACATTCATCAATTCATCGAACAAAGATTATACTAAAAAAAACCTCCCATGTTTTTAACACAAGTCTTCAAAGCACTAAGATATACATGTATATTTCTATATCTAGCACATGTAATGTATGTGTCATATTGCACAATAATATACATAAACATAAAAACAAAACAATAAACTTAAAGAAAATTGCAAGCGTAAGGTAAAATCACTATGAAAAATCTACATTTATTTGCTAAATTTATTTCGATTTCTATATAAATATAGATTTATATATGTACCGTAAATGCAAATTTTCTGAAGTGTTAAAACTTGAAAATATTCAAAGTTTTTTACTTTATTTAAAGGAGAATTAGCAGTATATGGTAAACAGCACATTGATTAGCTTAAATAAATATGACTCGGACAATAAACCCATAAAATCCTCAGGCAGTAACACTTCATACTTTGTACATATTCAGTGACCCTGATTAAAACATAAAAATACATACATAATGTATATTTCATCTGGTTTTTTATATTGTACCAAAAAAACCTTTAAATTAAATATCTCTTACAAGACCTATAAATCAATTTAGTTTATACAAATTAGTTTTAGTTCCATTGTGTTAGAAGCTATAATGCTGATTGAAACACTCTCGAATTTGTTACTGGAACAAAACAGTACTAAGCAATGAGTGAATAGTTTCTTGCTCAAAGAAACAACAGCTAGCCTCTGATGGTGTTGAATCCACTCAGTCAGCAATCTTTAGTTTACTAACCCAACATGTTAACCACTCGGCCACTTTGCCATCAATAAATTAATTTGGAAGATAATACAAATTTACACTTAAAAGATTACTCATGACTAGTCTTAATATAAATAATTTTCCATCAAATATACACTTATTTTCTACAAAGTAGGCAAGAATGACTTAACGGTTAAATCAGATATAGGTTGACCTGGCTCTATACTGGTGGCCAAGATTTATCAGTTTTCACCCAGTATGTAAAGGTATGAATACAAATGAAAGGTAAACAATACAAATGAAAATTATACTTGTTTATGACTTTAAACATTCAGTTTTTCCATTACGAAATTAAACAAGAGGGCCATGATGGCCCTGAGGTCGCTCACCTGTATATAGGCACCCCCCCACCCCCAGGCCAATTTTTACCCAAGGGCTTTTATTTGTTTATTTGAACAGACTTGGTAGACACCCATAAGAAGATGTTTCATGCTAAACATCTAAGTTCTAGCTCATTGGGTTTTTTAAAAGAAGATTTTTAAAGTTTTTACTATACACATATAGTTAAAAACAATGACACCCCTGGGGCAGGGCCAGTTTTGACCCCCGGGCTTTTATTTGAACAAACTTTGTAGATATTTACTTAAAGATGTTTCATGCTTAATATCTAAACTCTAGCTATTTGGGTTTTTTCAAAGAAGATTTTTAAGTTTTTGCTATACACATATAAGGAAAATCAATGACCCCCCCCCCCCCGGGCGGGGCCAGTTTTGACCCCAGGGCTTTTATTTGAACATATTTGGTAGACACCCATTAGAACATGTTTCATGCTAAATATCTTAGCTCTAGCTCTTTGAGTTCTTTAAAAGAAGAATTTTTAAGTTTTTACTATATGCATATAGGGAAAATCAATGACCCCCTGGGGCGGGGCCAATTTTGACCCCAGGGCTTTTATTTGAACAAACTTGGTAGACACTCATTAGAAGATGTTTCATGCTAAATATCTTAGCTCTAGCTCTTTGGGTTCTTTAAAAGAAGATTTTTTAAGTTTTTACTATATGCATATAGGGAAAATCAATGACCCCCTGGGGCGGGGCCAATTTTGACCCCAGGGCTTTTATTTGAACAAACTTGGTAGACATTCACTAGAAGATGTTTCATGCTTAATATCTAAGCTCTAGCTCTTATGGTTCTTTAAAAGAAGATTTTTTAAGTTTTTACTATATGCATAAAGGGAAAATCAATGAACCCCGGGGCGGGGCCAATTTTGACCCAAGGGCTTTTATTTGAACAAACTTGGTAGACACTCACTAGAAGATGTTTCATGCCAAATATCTTAGCTCTAGCTCTTATGGTTCTTTAAAAGAAGATTTTTTATGTTTTTACTATATGCATATAGGGAAAATCAATGACCCCCCGGGGCGGGGCCAATTTTGACCCAAGGGCTTTTATTTGAACAAACTTGGTAGACACTCACTAGAAGATGTTTCATGCCAAATATCTAAGCTCTAGCTCTTAGGGTTGTTTAAAAGAAGATATTTAAAGATTTTTCTTTCGGTTGCCATGGCAACCAGAGTTCTGCATGGAATTAAATTCTTTGAACAATTTTTAAAGGTGACCACCAAAGGAACATTCCTGTGAAGTTTGGATGAAATTGGCTCAGTGGTTTATGAGGAGATGTCATTTAAAGCAAAAGTTTACGGACGGACGACGGACGGACGGACGACGGACGGACGCCGGACGAAAAGCGATCACAAAAGCTCACCCTGTCACTTTGTGACAGGTGAGCTAAAAAATAAATCAAATAAAACAATTCAAAAGGCACAAAAAGTCATTCTTTTACACAATATGTTCACAAAAAAAAATGAAATAAAAAAGAACAAAATGTAAATATTGTTAATATACGAATCGAATCAAGATCTTTTATTCAAAAATGAATACAGTCATAAAATGTGAATATCAAAAAATTATCAAAAAAAAACAAAAAAAACATTATAAAAAAAAAAACAAGAGCTGTCCGTAAGACAGCGCGCTCGACTTTTTTATTGCTTGCCAATAAAAAAAGTTTTTGCAGTAAAAGGCAATACAAGAATCTCTGTATTTTTAAAGTGAACAATGGCCATGAGCATTAAGATATTTAGTGAAGAATTATTTTACTGAATTGTGTGATACCCTTGAACACTGCAGCAAAGTTTGAAATGTTTAAGTCAAAAGAGGGCTGGTAAGAAAGAAAAAAAAACTAGTTGTTTGATACCCTTGAATATTACAGCAATGTTTATATGACATAATTTATGGTAAAGTGAACAAGTGGATAGGAATGAATTTTTTTAGATTTTTTAAGTTTTTTAGTGCTTGCCTATAATACAAAACATTGACAGTTAAGGGCCATAATTCAAATAAAATCTTTGACAGAATTACCTTCTCCTGGACATGTTTGGGAATCATGATTGTAAACAAGTATTCCAACTTTCAAATTAATATCTCAAACAGTTCAGTCAAAAAGTGGACTGGTACTAAAAACTTAACCAAGATTCTAAGTCGATAAAAGGCCTTAATTTTTAAAACAAATCCTTGACAGAGTTACCTTCTCTTGCGTACAGATGGGGGTAATGATGTGAAATAGCATTAAAAGTTTCAAAGCAATATCTCAAAGGGTTAAGGCAATAAGTGGATTTTACCCATATTCAATGTATTTTCTAAGTCAAAAAGGGGCATAATTCTGTCAAAAACCTTGACAGAGTTATGTCCTCTTGTCTGTTGATGAAGGTCGTGATGGTAAACAAGTATGGTCAGTTTCAAAGCAATACCTCCAATGGTTTTGAAATAAAGTGAGGTGGTACAAAAAACTTAACCAAGCTCAATACACTTTCTAAGTCAAAAAAGGGCCATAATTCTGTCAAAAACCTTGACAGAGTTATGTACTCTTGTCTGTAGATGGAGGTTATGATGGTGAACAAGTATGGTAAGTTTCAAAGCCATACTTGTAATACTTCTGAAATAAAGTGGGGTGGTACGAAAAACTTAACCAAGGTGTGACGCCGACGCCGGGGCGAGTAGGATAGCTCCCCTTTTCATAGAAAAGTCGAGCTAACAAGTTATTAAAAAAATTTTAAATTGAAATTGATTTTTCTCAGTATTTTAAATTGGAGGATAACATTTTATTAAATTTAATATATATTATTCATTATTATTCACAACACTTGAAATAATAAAACTTCATCAATTAATTACCCATTTTAAAATGCCTTTGAAATTATTCACTATTGTATGTAAAATCCTTAATTGAACACTAAAATAAGACATACATGTTATGATGTATATGAAAATTTCCTTAATATCATAAAAACTTTTGGAATGGAATGATAATGTATTTTTCTCTCAATGATTTTAAATGGAATTAAGAGGTGCATCATATATATATAAGTGTACCAATACCAATATATTTCAACACAGCAAGGCTTACATACCAGAGTGGAATCTAATTCCTTACAATACAATTAAGTCCATTCATATCTTTGATCATCTTTATATTTATTTTTATTATAAGTCACACCCATAATATAAAGGTCATATGGTGACATTCCAGCTTTACTGGTGGTGGAGGAAGAGGTCAGTTGACCACCTGCGTATTTCAGTTTCAAGCTTGTTGGGATTCAAACCTTTACCATTGAGGGGTCAGTGATTTTAAGTCAGCAACCATTACCAATTGGCTACAGACACCCTATTTTAACTCAAAGAGTAACTTTACTTTACAGGAATGTAACGGATTGCTGAACATTGTATTCTGTGAATGATGGAGATTAGGTCATAATATAAACTTATTAAGATTTACCATTGGTAAAGCTATATCGGACCACTGTGTTTGCTTGAAAAATCAATATTCTACACTGACCTTATAATATTGTACTAAAAAAAGATCAGTTTTCATTAAAGCTTTGCAATACATTCCATATCATATAATAAATATGTCTTACTCATCATCTATATTTATTAATAATGAAAACATTATATTAATACAAAAAATATTGTACAGACCACTTCAAAATCAAATTGAATTTTGGCTTTTCTTTTGGTGTTTTTCAGACACTGTTTCAGTCATACAGTGGCTCTACAGCTTTACTAGTGCAGGAATACTTGAGGCATAATTACTTTGTAATAATTTTGACACCAGTGTAGAACCACCAACCAGTTGTAAGCTAGCTAGATTGCTTCCTCACAAGAAAGATTCTTAAGTCCAAAGCCAAACTCAAACACAGTTGTGACAGGCAAGTGATTAAAGAGTCATTGAACATAACCCAGTCAGCAATGATACCCCCTCAGACTTGATGCTTCTTATACACAGTTAAATGTCACATCAGTTTATCGCAGATGTTAAATCAAAATTGATAAAACTGTATTCTATTTCATTATAACCTTGACCTTGACTGTAATGCAATATACCCGTATCCTTGCACCCCCCAAACATTCAAGCTTCCTGCATATTAAATGACATGGCGCTGTATTTTTAATACAATACTGTAAACAAAATATTCCTTTGTATCTACTTGTAATGTCCATTAGAACGCCTCGTACGTCTCTCCTGACTTGTCATCGGCCAAGAATTTCTCTAAATCATCATCCATCCCTTCACCCTCCTCCTCTAGTGTTTTCTTCTTCTTTTTCTTGTCCTTTTTCTGAGCATCGGAATCTTTGATACTTTCTTTCTCACTTTTTGACCGTTCCTTTTTCTTGGTCTTTTTCTCAGGCCTTTCTTCATCCTAAAAAGTCAAAATAAACTTTTGTCATGGCAAAGAAATATATTCTTTTTTTTTTCAATGATTAAAGTGGTTTGTGCCAATACCTTTATAGGCGTGGGGTTGACATAAACTACCCGCATGTACATATAAGCAAAGACTTCTTGAAAGTGACATTATGTCTATCCAAATGAACATGTAAAAATAACATTTTGCCATTATTGTGTTCAATCATATATTTTGCTGTCACTAATCACATGAAAGGCGGAAATCTCTATATATATAACTTAGAATGAATTGATAACATTCAATTCTTAAAAAGAGTGGGGCAGTCTTTTTTATAATTCAAGTTATTTTCATATGGTACCATAAACATTATCAAATATTGGTCAATCAACATTATAAAAGCCAATCTTTTGAAATACTTTACTTATTCAACTAAACTTGACTCAAATTGTATATGTTTACATATACATAATAAAACTATAATCAATTTATATGTAGGACACACTGAACAATTAAATATATGGCTTAGAAAAAATAAAAAAAATAACAAGAGGGCCATGATGGCCCTGAGGTAGCTCACCTGTATATAGCCCCCCCCCCACCCCCAGGCCAATTTTTACCCAAGGGCTTTTATTTGTTTATTTGAATAAGAAGATGTTTCCTGCTAAACATCTAAGTTCTAGCTCATTGGGTTTTTTAAAAGAAGATTTTTAAAGTTTTTACTATACACATATAGTTAAAAACAATGACACCCCTGGGGCAGGGCCAGTTTTGACCCCCGTGCTTTTATTTGAACAAACTTTGTAGATATTTACTTAAAGATGTTTCATGTTTAATATCTAAACTCTAGCTATTTGGGTTTTTTCAAAGAAGATTTTTAAGTTTTTGCTATACACATATAAGGAAAATCAATGACCCCCCCGGGCAGGGCCAGTTTTGACCCCAGGGCTTTTATTTGAACATACTTGGTAGACACCCATTAGAACATGTTTCATGCTAAATATCTTAGCTCTAGCTCTTTGAGTTCTTTAAAAGAAGATTTTTAAAGTTTTTGGGGCGGGGCCAATTTTGACCCCAGGGCTTTTATTTGAACAAACTAGGTAGACACTCATTAGAAAATGTTTCATGCTAAATATCTTAGCTCTAGCTCTTTGGGTTCTTTAAAAGAAGATTTTTTAAGTTTTTACTATATGCATATAGGGAAAATCTATGACCCCATGGGGTGGGGTCAATTTTGACCCCAGGGCTTTTATTTGAACAAACTTGGTAGACATTCACTAGAAGACGTTTCATGCCAAATATCTAAGCTCTAACTCTTATGGTTCTTTAAAAGAAGATTTTTTTAAGTTTTTACTATATGCATATAGGGAAAATCAATGACCCCCCCGAGGCGGGGCCAATTTTGACCCCAGGGCTTTAATTTGAACAAACTTGGTAGACACTCACTAGAAGATGTTTCATTCCAAATATCTTAGCTCTAGCTCTTTGGGTTCTTTAAAAGAAGATTTTTTTAAGTTTTTACTATATGCATATAGGGAAAATCAATGACCCCCGGGGCGGGGCCAATTTTGACCCCAGGGCTTTTATTTGAACAAACTTGGTAGACACTCACTAGAAGAAGTTTCATGCTAAATATCTTAGCTCTAGCTCTTACGGTTCTTTAAAAGAAGATTTTTTAAGTTTTTACTATATGCATATAGGGAAAATCTATGACCCCCTGGGGCGGGGTCAATTTTGACCCCAGGGCTTTTATTTGAACATACTTGGTAGACACCCATTAGAACATGTTTCATGCTTAATATCTTAGCTCTAGCTCTTATGGTTCTTTAAAAGAAGATTTTTTAAGTTTTTACCATATGCATATAGGGAAAATCAATGACCCCCGGGGCGGGGCCAATTTTGACCCAAGGGCTTTAATTTGAACAAACTTGGTAGACACTCACTAGAAGATGTTTCATGCTTAATATCTTAGCTCTAGCTCTTTGGGTTCTTTAAAAGAGATTTTTTTAAGTTTTTACTATATGCATATAGGGAAAATCTATGACCCCTTGGGGCGGGGTCAATTTTGACCCCAGGGCTTTTATTTGAACATACTTGGTAGACACCCATTAGAACATGTTTCATGCTAAATATCTTAGCTCAAGCTCTTATGGTTCTTTAAAAGAAGATTTTTTAAGTTTTTACCATATGCATATAGGGAAAATCAATGACCCCCGGGGCGGGGCCAATTTTGACCCCAGGGCTTTAATTTGAACAAACTTGGTAGACACTCACTAGAAGATGTTTCATGCTTAATATCTTAGCTCTAGCTCTTTGGGTTCTTTAAAAGAAGATTTTTTAAGTTTTTACTATATGCATATAGGGAAAATCAATGACCCCCTGGGTCGGGGCCAATTTTGACCCCAGGGCTTTTATTTGAACAAACTTGGTAGACATTCACTAGAAAATGTTTCATGCCAAATATCTAAGCTCTAGCTCTTACGGTTCTTTAAAAGAAGATTTTTTAAGTTTTTACTATATGCATATAGGGAAAATCAATGACCCCCAGGGGCGGGGCCAATTTTGACCCCAGGGCTTTTATTTGAACAAACTTGGTAGACACTCTCTAGAAGATGTTTCATGCCAAATATCTAAGCTCTAGCTCTTATGGTTTTTTAAAAGAAGATATTTAAAGTTTTTTCTTTTGATTGCCATGGCAACCAGAGTTCTGCATGGAATTAAATTCTTTGAACAATTTTTAAAGGTGACCACCAAAGGAACATTCCTGTGAAGTTTGGATGAAATTGGCTCAGTGGTTTATGAGGAGATGTCATTTAAAGCAAAAGTTTACGGACGGACGGACGGACGATGGACGGACGGACGCCGGACGAAAAGCGATCTCAAAAACTCACCCTGTCACTTTGTGACAGGTGAGCTAAAAAAAGACTGCCATACTCTTTTTTTTTTAAGAAAAAAAAAAACATGGATTTAGTGATTTTGGAACAGACTTTTCATGATAAGTATGACAGAAATAGAGTAATTTGCACTTATAGATTTCTTGTATTTTTACCTTGTCTCTTTTCTTCTTTTTCTTCTTCTTTGTCTCTTTCTCTACTCCACCATCACTACTTTCAATATGTTTCTGACTCTTTTCTGAAATACCGAAAATATTCTTTTCTTACTACACTGTAAATTTTGGGAACACTACACATGTTTTACCAGTGTTTCACACAAAAACACTGACGTTTTCATATAAAATGCCTATGTTTTGTATACGTTTCAGTGAAAACACATGTGTTTTCTCGATGCCCAGAAAACGGTGGTGTTTTCACAGGACAACCTAGAATATATAATTAAATAATTTTACATTATTGAATGAGTTGAAGTCACGCAAGTGTTGTGAATAGGCCACATGTAAAATAAGAATGAGACAAAAACATCATTTGTGTCGGAAAATTCGTATATACTTGTCATCCAGAAATCTGAAAACACGTGTTTTGGCCGAAAACACTAAGAGCAGCTGAGGTTTAATCTGGCAGCGGTTACTTCCCCTTAGCACAAAAAACATGACATATGATTTGATATTTCTACGGTAAAAAAATGGTTAAATTATTATTTGTTAAAAGTAAAAGAAAACTCCACCTTTTTTTAACTGAATTCAGGCAAATGACCCCATAATCCTCACTTTATTACCACGTACATGTAATTCATCACCTTAGTGCATTAACAGGTAAACCCCTTATATAATTCAATAGGAGTTAACAGGTTACTGCACTAAGGTTAGGTTGTGATGACTTTCAATTAACTTTCACTTGGTATAGAAGGTCCTCACATATCAATGTATGTTTTACTTTATTTTTTTCATTGGGTTTTATGTCACACCATCGCTGTAAAGGTTATATGGCACCTTTCAAGCATTACTGGTTGTTGAAGACTTCAGGTGTCCCATCCATGCATTATTTCAATCACAAACAGGCACCCACATAGAATGTTTTATCTAAGGCTCAAGCTGGTGGGATTTTATGTCACACAAACATAGTATAGGTCTTATGGCAGAGGTTCAAGCTGGTGCCTGGGTAGAATATGGTTTAATTTTCTGCCAGTTAGCCTGACAGCTAAATTAAATGAAAGATTTCATGAAAATAACAATGGTGGTATTTACACAACACCTTCCTGATATACAGACTTCTGTCATTAAAGTAATATACAATTATAACTTATTTTGCATAATATGGATTCTTAACAAAATGATTTTCAATCAAAATTAGTATTTAACAAAGCCTAAGATATACAGGGTGAAGCCTGTTAACAAAAAGTTAATGAAATTAATTTCATCTTTTTCCATATTTTACTGTGACTAAGATTAAAGCAGTCTTCAGTTTTTCTTAAGATTAAATATGTTAACTTTTTAAACATATGTTAATAATGTAATAGGTTTAGATAAATCTTTTAACATAATCGTCAAATCGAGAGAATTAAGGTGGAAAATAAAATTTCTTGATACATCTAATCTACCAGCCTGCTCAATAGATGTAAATAAGAAAAGTGGACTATTTATTTCCCAGATCTTCTATATTAAGAAACATCGCTGTCACTTTATTAATAGCTCTCTGGAAGCTTTGATATTAACAGTGATATGATTCACTTTTCCAAGATAAAATTACAGAAATACTTAGTTTGTAACAACACAGAACTTTTTTTCCAACAAAAATAAAAACTGCAGGCTGCTTTATCACAGCTGAGTACAAAGATAAAGAGTATAACAATACTTTTTGTTTTCTTTTTCTCTTGACTGTCCCCAGCATCTGCTACTATGGAAGGTTTTTCTTTCTTAACTGTCTGAAATAACCATAAATAAATTCAATAATTACTACTTGGGTTTAATCACTGTCATTATTGTAATTGTTCAAAGTTAAAAAATGAGATGAATAAATCTAAAGCCCTTATAATAAGTAATTTTTCAAATGTGTCATTTGATATACTAGAAAATGAAAAAGAAGGAAAATACCTCTACATTTATATTTAATTATTAGACATGCAACAATATATCATTCTGTCACAGTACAATAGCAACTGGTGCATATTGTGGTCTAAAACCCTCACACCACGATATTTTCAATTTCTTTCATATTTTTCTTATATTGATCACTTATTTTTAAGACTATTTCCAGCACTGCAACCTTGCAAAATGTAATGTACATCCCCATTTTTTTTATTGTCTGGCAAAGACTTAACAGCATGTCAACATGGCTGAAGATAAATCAGCCAATGACTCTTATGTATAAATATTAATGATGAGCTCAGAGCTAAAGTTCCCAGTCAATACTTAGAATACCAAACATGAAAAAATATTATACAGAAGAATTCATTTTGTATCATTTTTATTCAGGACACCTTAATTATTCATTGAGAGAATTTAGACTACCGTATTACCTTTAATTCCCAAATGTTCTAATTCAAGAATGAGAGAGAATTAACTTGGCCTATAGGAAAAAAGTTTTTACCTCTTGTTTGTTCAGCCAATCATTAAACACATCGGCACCACCAAAATCTTCGGGATTAATGTCCGCATCCTGAAGCACGGTTATTTGGTCATCGGACTCGGAATCAGAATCTTGATTGGACGATTTCTCTTCTGTCTTATGATTGGTGGAATTTGTCACATGATCGGATCTACTTGAATCAGACGAGATTTTCCTAGAATGAGAATTACCTGTCTGTTTATTTAAACTATTGCTGATATTATTAGATATATTTTTTTCTGTGTCACTTGTAGCATTAGATGACAAAGATCCTGTTCTACTATGTGTCTTTGTGCTATTTATAGAATCAATTCCTAGATGTGACCCAGATTTCACAACCGCTTCTTTATCACTTCCGGATGACACAGAGTTTGATTTCGGTTTTTTTTCCAAGTCATGCATATCGGAACTATTTTTTTTGGCACTATTTTCATCACTAACACTTTTTTTAGTTTTTGCATTGTTGTAAGCAGCTTTTACAGTTTTCTTATTGTCATCAGACGACAGATAATCTTCATCATATTTCACAGTTTGTGTATTGGAATGCGTAGTGTCTTCATCGTCACTTGATAAATCTATGTCTTGTGTAATTTTAGGCCGACTGGTTCCCTGTTGGGAGGATTTACTTGCTTCTATTTCATCCTCAGAATCAAGTTCATCCTGGAAACCAGCTACCATTGGATTACCACCATCTTCATCCTCACTAGAATTACATAAAATAAAAAAAATAACTAGAAATGTGTCATCATGCCACGGATGCCCCCGCATGCAGCCAAAATTTCAGATGGTGCTTTAATTATTTTTTTCATTTTAAGTTCAAAGCCCTTAAAACTTTTCAATGTTAACACAAACCATTTTCATACAATGTTCAAGGCACTGAAATTATTCAGTCTAAACCTTTTAAAAATAGCATATTGCATATTTGTAGCCAAAATAATGGCTAAAAGTAAGAGTGCTGAAAGTGAAAGTTCAAAATTTTTCCAACATTCAGGAAAGATAAGTTTGTCTTAAATCATTGAACTACAACCATATTCAAACTTAAACTGCTTATTCCTAAGATGTATCTATATTATTTTCAAAGTGAAAGGGACATAAATCATCAAACCATGACCAAATTCTAACTTGACCTGCCCATTCCTTTGACATATCCATATGTCAAATTTAAGTTGAATATGTAACACTGTTGGGTAGATAATGAACAGAAACTGTAAATTTCATATTATTTTCAAAGTGAAAGGGGCATTACTCTGCCAAAAATCATTGAATCATGACCAAACTCGAACTTGGCCTGGGCATTACAAAAACATATCCATATGTCAAATTTGAGTTGAATGTGTTGTACCATTGGGGAGATAATAAACGGAAACTGAAAATTTCATATTACTTTCAAAGTGAAAGGGGCATAACTCTGCCAAAAATCATTGAACCATGACCAAATTTGAACTTGACCTGCACATTCCTTTGACACATCCATATGTAAAGTTTAAGTTGAATGTGTTGTACCTTTGGGGAGATAATGAACGGAAACTGAAAATTTCATATTATTTTCAAAGTAAAAGGGGCATAACTCTGCCAAAAATCATCGAACCACAACCAAATTCGAACTTGACCTGTATTTTCTCATGACATATCCATATGTCAAGTTTGAGTTGAATGTGTTGTACCTTTGGGGAGATAATGAACGGAAACTGAAAATTTCATATTATTTTCAAAGTAAAAGGGGCATAACTCTGCCAAAAATCATCGAACCATGACCAAATTCGAACTTGACCTGTATTTTCTCATGACATATCCATATGTCAAGTTTGAGTTGAATGTGTTGTACCGTTGGGGAGATAATGAACGGAAACTGAAATTTCATATTATTTTCAAAGTAAAAGGGGCATAACTCTGCCAAAAATCATCGAACCATGACCAAATTCGAACTTGACCTGTATTTTCTCATGACATATCCATATGTCAAATTTGAGTTGAATGTGTGCAACCGTTCTTAAGATAATGAACGGAAACTGATGATGACGGAATGACAGAATGACGGAAGGACGGAAGGATGGAAGGACGGAAGGACGGAAGGATGGAAGGACGGAAGGACGGAATGACGGAACAGGGTAACACTATATGCCCCGGCCATTACATGGCGGGGGCATAATAAAAATCAAATTTTGAGTATTTGGTAATTATTTTGAGTTTGTATTCAGTTACCTAACATTTTTCTAATGACCTTCAACGCGTATCACCAAAATATTGATGCACCTTGAGGTCAACTTTTGTTTTCTGTTTAAACTTTGCTCAAAACTGGCTTTTATAAAAAGAATTGCAATGTGGAAATTAACATTGATTTCAGTGCAACAACGTTTAATTTGAATGCAATAAATGACTTTAATCTAATGCAATTAAATATAAAAGTTCATTAATAGTTTACCAGACAGCTAACGGCAACAAACCGTTGAATAATTAAATGTCAAAAACAATCTTAAGAATATAAAGGAACAAAGCTGTTGTCTGTTATATATACCTGCAAATAAGCTGATAGTCTCCTTAACAATGTTAATTTACTTGATTATCTGTAATGTGTCACAGGTTAAATGCTTCTTAAATTTGGACACAAACTTGGAAAAAACATTTGTAAATTAAGTTAAAAGCGATACTAACCTATCACTATTTTGCTCTTTACTACTGCCCCTAGAAACGTCCTTCACCTCTTTGGTATCGTCAAGGAAACTATCATCAAGCTCTCCAGTATCTGGGACAAAATCTTCAACACTCTTCACAGGTGTAGTTGGCTCTTCAACAGCCTCTGGTTTTACTTCAGCAGACGGCCCTTGTGCTTGTGTGTTTTGTTTACCAAACAACCTAGAGAAAAATCCTGACTTCTGCTCCGCAGGTTTGACAGTTTCTTTTTGTTGTGTTGGCTTATTCTGTTCTTGAGATTGAGGCTCAGGTTCTGGAACTTCTGTGATTGGTGTATTTGACACAGGAGAAGGTGTGGCCAATGAAGAAGTAGGAGTGGTTACACTGTGATTGGCATCTGGAGTGACAGCTGACTTCTGAATGGCAGGAGCTGATACTGAGCGTGGAACTGTGCCAAATAAATAAAGCATTGATAAACATGAAATAAGAATTTTACAACAGGGTTTACTTTTGTTACTTCAAATCACTATTGTATAGCCAAAGAATATTTTTTAATACAAGCATATGTTAACAGTAGGTCAAATTTTTCTGTATCCAGGATAAAACTAACTAATTTATGAACTTTATTTTCAAATGTAAATACATTTTGTATCAATTCTAGAAAAAGTTGATAAAAACTTAAAATGTACTGCAAAATGATGAAACTATAGAAGAAGATAGTGGGGAAAATATCATTTTCAGGAATTAATTAAATTGTTTTTTCTGTAAATTTTTTTATAAAGGCTGAGAAATTAACAACATGATAAAATATAAGGACAATAAGTGGCGGCATGGCCGAGAGGTAAAGGTGTCAGACTATTAGTCTAAGGATTGCTGACAACATAGGTTCCAACCCTGTCAGGGACAAGCCAATAAGAAACTTTACATTCATTGTAATAAAAGAACTCGGAACGTAATGTCAACTCACCATTAGACAAGGTACTAGGTTTAACTGGTAGTGAATGTGGTGGTGGGGCAGTCATCATCCCCTGAACACCCTTAGAGTCTTGCTGATCACGCCTCTTCTTTGCCAGCTGATCAATAAACCTGTAATGTATACAAATATATTTCAATACTTTTTCTGTATGTATATTCCATACATTAATTCTATGACATTGAAAACTCTTTAAAGGCTCTTTTATTTTGGTGAGAATATCACAACTAACATTTTTTGAAGTTAAGATCGTCAGATACCCATGGTTTATTAATATGTACCACAACATGTAATCAACTGTGTGTAAAATGAATCAAATTTCCTCGATATTCAGCAATATTCAGCAAGAGGTGCTTAAATTATCTATCAATGAAATCGTGTTTAGCAAAATTTATATTCTTTGACAGCAATGGTAAGCAACTATCAGAAACAAAATAGCAGCGCCAACGATGTAAACCTGTTTCACGTGTGTTGCCAAAATGAAAGGCAAAACTATTCCCAAACTAAATTATTCCACAAGCAGATAGCAAAATAGTAATTTTTTTTCTAGAATTAACATTTTACCGAACGCTGTTTAGAACGAGCGTTTTGATTGGTTTAAATGAAAAATCGCCTCAATAAATCTTGAGGCAACTAAATAAAAAGCTGTTTTTGACACAGCTCTTATCAACTGGATATCTGTGAAAAATCCCAAGGCTGATAAATGTTAATGGTTCAGCCATGGGTATCTGACGATGGTTAAAATTATTAATTAAAAATTTATTAAAAACTTATATGATTTAATATTTCAAATTTTAAAACATTTTCAAAACTTTCAAAAGCTTTATTATCCTACAAACATACACGTCATAATTCTGTTCCTCAGATTCCTCGTGTATATCCAGCTCTTCTTCCGTACATCGTATATCTTCGGAGTTTATCTCTAACTGTTTTAACAATGTTTCTCTCTGCAAACAGTTATATCAACATACATGTCCTCTGCTATATAGAATTCACATTAACACTAACAGTATGGTTGTATTTGAATAACCTTCATCATCCTCAATATCTTAAATTGACATGTCCATTTTTCAATGTGGACAAAACTATTAATCGCTTTTATGACAAAATTCAAAATATTTACTGACTGTCTAAAAAAACAGTGCAGACCATTATCAGAGGGCACCTGAATGTACCAGACTATCTACTGGTTCCATGGGCATATTCAGTTGTCAACACTGGGATAAATGTTAAAGGATTTTGAACAAGTGATTACAAGTCAGGAAGGTTAACCACTCTGCCTGGATTGCATTGTTTCATAAAGTAAAACCTCTGTTATTTATTTTACCTTAAAGTGTTAGTAAGGCATATAGCAACCTCCAACTTAAATGTTGGACTGAAATCCCAGGGTATTTAATTTGAGGCAGTAGAATTTCTGTATAGCTTATTTTGTCATATGAAAGGCCTCTTAATAAACATAATTTGAAAGGGGAAGTTATAATAACCACTTTCCCATCATAGTTTTAGATGTACAATATAAAATAGTTAATACAGGCAAACCTGTATTTAAGACCACCTCTGAATAATAATCACCTTGTGTATGTGCTAAAAAGCCACTCTGAGATAACCCTTCATTGATTATAAAAATAAAATAAACCTCCAAATAAAGACCACATGTCTATAAAGGACATGTTCAGTCTCTCCCTTAGATGGCCCTATTGGGTTTGACTGTATCCCAATACCCTTTCATGGAAAAACTACTTAACATACATTTACATGTATTCTACAAAAATATATGCAAGAATAAATAAACATATCCAGTATGCATCTAATCAAACAATTGTTATTGTACTATGAAAAGAAAGTAAACTTACTTGAAGTTGAAGAAATGGCAGATTAAAGAATTTATGAATATATTTGAGACCAAATCCATTTCTCATTGAAGCCTCAGCATAGCGTATCTGGCCAGATCCCTTTGGTCTGTAATTATTGAAATGTTGATATTAATAAGATAACTCAATAAATCAAAGATAACAAATTCATTACAGTAACTATAAAAGGAGCTCCAAAGAGGTCCGAGAGATAAAATATATAAAAAATTTTACTTATTACATAGATCAACTGGAGCATTTAAAATGAAAAAAGAAATTAATATGCAAAAGATTATACCTAAATACAGAAACTTCAGTTAGTGTGACTCTTTGCTACAATTGAGTTAATAGTTTAAAATGCTTTGATTTTTTAAAAGGCATTTTGCAAAATTAAAATGATTATTCTGCAAAAACGGAATGAGCAAATGATCTGAAATTTTGCAAACAACTTATTGATCCAGGCCTACAGCAAATGATATACAAATCTCAAAAAAGTATTTCCAGTCCTGTCATGACAAAAGACTTAGTGGAGTCCTTACTGTACAACATCTCAAGAGGTTAATGACATTAATAATGTACAACTTTAAATTTGAAACTGCCTATTTTTAAATTCAAAGAATTCAATAACAAAAGTCCTGTTAAGTACATGTACCTTAAGTAATAGATATATAAACTAAGTGATTTTTCTAGATGCATTGACAGAAATTACTTTTTACTGGCCGTTCACTATGACTACCAGCATCTACAAAATAAATTTCTTACAAAAATATTTTATTTCACACTATTCCTGTGATTTTTTGTTACCTACATAAATGTCTTATCTGAATTGAAATGAATCTTTCACAAAAATACAGTAACCATTTGACACATCCAGCCTAAAAAATTCATTAGCATGGGGAAAAACTGATAGATAATGACAATAAAATATTCAAGTTACCTATTCAGACTTTCAACAAAGTATCTAGCTTTATCCTCCAGGACTGTTCTATGATGTCCCATATCTCTATGGTTACCAAGTATCAACACTGGAATACTGGGAGGAATTCTCTCCATCTCTTTCTCAACATAATCATATGTCCTGTAATGTAAAATTTACTGAGCAAGTCTCTTACTGCCTTAAAAATATAATAAGTCATATTGGAGATATGTCGGGTTATATAAAATTTATCATCTGTATTTATAAACTTGACAATCAAAACAAAGCTGAATTCTTACTCTACAAATGATGGAGTACCTAAGTAAAACAATCATTTTTTTTTCTTCTAAATTTTATTAAAATTAAGGAGTTTACAAGATATTAGGTAATATTGACAAACTCAATCTCTTAAAGCAACTTTCGAGCATGAACAAGCTTCTCGTTAATTAACTATATACAGCATAATGCATGTTGATAAAATGGTCTATAAATTAAGTTTTTGTTGGGAATACGCTCATATGCATGTGCCCTTAAATGATGCCAAAGTATGCATGATGTTAGAGAACATCACTTTCTATGTTTTGTAGTATGAAACTTTAGTAGTTTTGAACAAATGTATCAACCAGACACTACGTGTTGAGCATTGTTTTCTATAGTATATTACACTTACCGATATTGGTGCCGTGACCAGGAAATATAAACCCATGTTTAAATATCTAGTCATTCATTTACAAGATTTATCTATCAGACTACTCGTGTAAATTATAACACAATGCACATATCTAGTGATAAATCAATAAGGAAAACTAAACAAGTGCCAATTATTGTTCCCTTACCATTGTTTTGTTATATCATACATGAGGACAGCCCCATTTGTTCCCTTATATACATCTACAAAATCAGCATCCAGACACGGCTCTGCATCATTCTGCTCATCCTGAAAGTATGATCATGGAAATATTTTCAGTAATGAAAACAATTTTGACATGTAAAAAATTAAAGAAAAAGATGATGATTGTTAAATGAATGCAAGCTGTGCAACTTGTAATGGTTGAAGCTAAAAAATTGATACATGGAATTTCAATTACAAATATACATGTATTGTCGGGTGCTGTAAATTCATCCCTGTTAGAGTCATTATAGAACACTTGGATCATTAGGAAATATAGTGTATCATACAAACAGTGTGAAATGCTTAGAGTGACTAATCATGGCCACATGTGGATAAATATTGACGTTCTTCAAATATTCTTGCTTCATTTAAATATTCACATCATCTTGTAAAGGTCATTTGCATAGCACATTACTATATCTTATATACATAGTAAAATATTTTGTGAATAAAACAAAAACAAGAAAAATTTTCAAAACCTCGTCTGTTGCTAATTTTAACCCTTCTTTTTTCTTCTTCTTCCTTCCTTTATCAACAACATCCCACACCTCTACCTTCACAACATCATCTGTTGCTTTGTAGTTCCACTGTATGCTAGCAACCTGAAGATATATACAAAGGGAACAATGCAAATAAACCATATAAATATTTAATTGGTGCCTTATTAACCTCATTCCCTTTTCAAATAGTATAATAATTTTTCATCAATGTCCGAGAAAAAAATCCCCTTCACAAGTCAATTTTTTTATTAAATATTTGAAAAGAAAGGGACATATCTTAATAATTAGAAACCACTGACGTCCCGTAAGCTGGCTGGATAGCTTCCTCACATGAAGGATATGTGATAAATAAAATATTATATTCTATATTTATATATAAACAGGGGATATTGAATGAGTGTAGATTCAGTACTATATTTAAGAACTTGTTGAATAAAATAATATTAGTTAATTACGCTAGCCAGAGGCTCTCATAATATAATTTTTTTGAACTTGTTCAATAAATTCAGTATCCCATTCATTCAATATACTCTGTGTTAAAATTAAAAGTCTTACAATTTCAACAGGCAAATGCTTTATTAAATTTTGACTGTGGGTTGCAAACTTTTTTAACCCTGTAATAGAAAATAATCACCTGTATTTCATCTGTAGGTATATACTCCTCTGTAAATTTTTGACCCTGTAGTCTGTGAAACAAACAAGTCTTTCCTACATTTCTGTCTCCCCTAATTACCACTTTCACTGTAACAGTAATTAATTAAACTATGTATGTGTTACCAGTACATGACAGCTATAAAATTATCTTTAGTCTCCTTCAAAATTTAATAAAAAACTGATTTATTTTAACAGATAATTTTCATTGTATTGTAGTGTTCTTTTACTTGTATACCACATGTTATTTGTTTGTAAACCAATTTTAGCTTGATTGAATTGGGCTTTAATGAGTGATATTATGTAAGCTCCAAAATAGTCCACTGCAAAAGATATTTGGGTAGCAGATTCTTTGAAGTCACTTTATCATATACTTTAGATGGCATTTTTAAAAACACATTTTAATGATTTTCTACAGGAAATCACTTTAAACAATTTGAATATGTTGATTGAGAAGGAAATGTTGGTCAAAGTTTGAATAAACATTATATTCCATCATCTATGATTATAAGAATGTTTCAATTCCAAAAAAAAGACAATTATGCTAATTCTTTCCAATAAATAAATGTAACTAACTAGATATCTCTGATGATTGATTAATGATTAATATAGTAGACTGCATAAATATGATTAGAACATTATCTGTTACCTAAATCACTATACATAGCTAGCCTATTAAGGTAATAAGTATATTACAGACTTTACTTTACAGTATAGCTATCTTTTATCTTTAAGTACCAAAATTGCAATGTTTAAACATCTTTAGGTTCATTCCTATAAAAAGCTGATATCTTTTTTTGCAAAAAGAACAATCAACACAACAATGCAAACTTATGATCACCTCAGTCATTGTATTTTTGTTGCATTTTCATTTTTGTTGTATCATGTAGTATTTTGGGTCTGAGTCCTATATGTTACAAGAATAAACTTTTATTATTATTATTACTATTATAATTACAATACAACAACAAAATCTGATACTTACTGTTATACTGTACCCCTTTAGCAAACTTGCGCTGTAAATTTGCTCCCATTGTTTGAAGTCCTGGTGGAGTTACAGCTCCCCTCCCTTTACCAGTTACATCATCTGAACTTCCTAAGAACTTTTTGAAAAACGGCATTCTGTCTTTTTTAGGGACTTCACTTGTGCTTATTCACCAATACTTGAAGGTCTGAAATTGAAATTTAAAATTTTAACATGATAACAATATCTCAGCAAAGAAAGAATGCTTTTTACTGGAACAATATCTAACTTTTGCTGTTGAGGACAATTAAAAGATAAAATAAAGTAAAATAAAGATAAAATAAAACATGTTGTACAAGTTGAACTATATTGAGCAAATTTAAGGCCCCAAATGACCAGAAATTCTTTTTCTTTTACTTTTATTTCTCAAAAGCTTTTTATTTTTGTAGTCCTGTAAGTTACTTATACCATAGCCTCAAGTTATAGGCCAACTTAACCTAAACATTATTTTGCTTCTGTTACATTTTGCCAATAATAAGCACTGTTACGGAGTATAAAATTCTTAATCTTACACCCACTACCAGTATAGACCGTAATATCTAGTTTGATGATAGCTGTTTAAGGTGGTAACGAGGCTCTGCCAAGTTTCTGCTAAACAGTTACCAGAGAGCTAAATATTCCAACATGTGTTTGATTCTTTTTCTTTCATATCAAATATTAATCATATTCTGGAAGTTTCATGTAGCACCTTTTATTATAGTAGCATATTAATTTACAAAGTCTTCATTCATAACGGAAACATCACATACATCATCCTATGATTGAAATTTATTCATAAAAGGCACACGGAATGACATGCAAGAATGTATTATATTTAAATATTTTGCTGGAAAGTCAAAATACCACTATGTTTACATTTTCCAATTTTTAACTTTTTTTATAAAATGTTAATCTGAGATTCTGACCTACAACACATCTATCTTCCAATAATGTCAAACCCCTTGCAGGGACATAGAGTTGTCTTAGAATCAAAATTGCAAGAAAGTTAAAAAAATATATATTTAAAAGAGCATAAAGAATATTAAAAAATATTAAAATCAGGGAGCTTTAAAATTAGGGTGAGAAATGTTCAATGCCAGCTATGGCTGCACTGTAGAAATGCTCTGGGGTAATAATAACAATAATAACAAGAGGGCCATGATGACTGTGAGATCGCTAACCTGTATATAGGCCCCCGGAGCGGGGCCAGTTTAAACCCCAGGGCTTTTATTTGAACAAACTTGGAAGACACCCATTAGAAGATGTTTTATGATGTTAAGTTGTTAAGTTTTTACTACACACATATAATGGAAAAAAAAGTTTTTACTATATGCATATAGGGAAAAATCAATGACCCCCTGGGGCGGGGCCAATTTTGACCACAGGGCTTTTATTTGAACAACTTGGTAGACACTCATTAGAAGATGTTTCATGCTAAATATCTAAGCTCTAGCTCTTTGGGTTCTTTAAAAGAAGATTTTTTAAGCTTTTACTATATGCATATAGGGAAAATCAATGACCCCCTGGGGCGGGGCCAATTTTGACCCCATGGCTTTTATTTGAACAAACTTGGTCAGGGCCAAAAAACCCTTCTTTGTAGAGGCCAAATATAGGCTGCTTCCCCAAACAATCTAGCCTCTTTTTTTCCCCAGTTTGGTCCTTAAAATTCCCCAGTCTTTAAATTTCCCATAGAATTTAGAACAAAATTAAATGATGGTGTTGAATTCAGGTCTTTTACTGCCTTATTAGTAATTTCCCAGTGCTTTTTGCTTTTCTAGTTGGAAGAACTTTTAAAAGTTTTTGTTAAATTTGAGACCCCTTTTCCTTAAGTATGCCAAAATCACCCATATTTTCCCCAAGAAAAAGGCTGAGGCCCCTTCCCCAAAAATGGTGTTTGGGCCCTGTTGGTAGACACTCACTAGAAGATGTTTCATGCCAAATATCTAAGCTCTAGCTCTTTGGATTTTTTAATAGAAGATATTTAAAGTTTTTTCTTTCGGTTGCCATGGCAACCAGAGTTTTGCATGGAATTAATTTCTTTGAACAATTTTTAAAGGTGACCACCAAAGGAACATTCCTGTGAAGTTTGGATGAAATTGGCTTAGTGGTTTATGAGGAGATGTCATTTTAAGTAAAAGTTTACGGACGGACGTCCAGACGGACACCAGACGAAAAGCGATCACAAAAGCTCAACCTGTCACTTTGTAACAGGTGAGCCAATATTAATAATTAAATAATTATAATAAAGACTTTATTTAAAGAGGCAACTTTGTTAGGCAAGCCCAGACTTCCCTGCAGGGGTAGGTGGTACCAATGGTGTTCAATCCTGGGAAAGGAGGAGAATTTATAAGGCTGAAGCTTTTCGTGAAAAACCTATAACACTGGTGTTGTTCATGGTGTGTCACATTCTTCAATGGGGATAGCAGCCATACCATGGTGAATCTTTTAGAAAAGAGATTTATAACCTTGCATCTAAATGTCTTAGTTCTAGTTTTTAAAGCTTAAGGAAGTGAAGCATGTCCGTGACACTAGAGGTCTGACCACAATCAAGCTACTCTCCTTTGGACATTTTCAATTTGATCTATTTGAATTTTGGTGTAAGGAGTAGATGGTAAGGAGACCATACTTCAAAGATCAAAACCATATTCAGGCCTTGACAAATCCACTTGCCAGATCACATTTGTGAGTGAAAGTTCGGTTCGGGCGAAAAAAAGTAGATCAAACTCGGCCGGCTAGGCGAGGACGATTTTCCCAATCCAAAAGATATTTCTCTAAACATTTATACGGGGAAGTCAAAGACCCGGCCCGCGAAGCGGGTCCGGGCTTTGGCTTGCCCGGCTATTGACTACACGTGTATATTTAAAAGAAAATCAAATAAAAACCAATTCAAAAATATATAGAATTCTATACCTATCAATGAAATTTTCAGTGTCAATTCCAGTCGGGCGCCGCCATTTACAATGTAACTCTTTGATAATAGGCGGGTATTCCGATAACGGAACAAATCTCAACTTTTCGGATAAATGATAATCGTCGAGTGTTCCGAGTGAAAACGGAAGCAGTGCATGTAAAACCGAATGACACCTTTAAAACGGAAAGAATGAAAGGAATTTTTAACGACTTCCCCGTTCATAGGCTTTGCCTAATTTCATATTATAAATGAAGTTATTTGGTAAAAAATCAAGCTGCAGAAGCCTTTCAACCGTAATACCGTTCAAACAAAACCCGGAAATTGATCTCATTGCGAATTATAAAACTTTACCGAACACAAATGATGACTCGATTAACACCTCCTTCTTCTTCTGTAATGACAGCAGCATTTGACAATGTTTTAAAACTTTTATACATGTAAATGCGTTCGGTAAAGTTTTAACTTTTATACTTAGCCAAAAGACTCATTCCGTAGCCTAGTGCATTAGAAAATGAATGAAAAAAGTATACATGTCACAGGGTGAGAAAAATGTGCAGCCTGACCGGGACTCGAACCCGGGACCCTCAAAATACCGTATCGCGGCTCTACCAACTGAGCTATCCGGCCGCTTACACATCATCTCCCCTAAATAGAGAACAGTTCTGAACCTTGACATACAGCCTACATAAAAAGAGTATATATTAAAAGTATAAAAAGTATTATAAACAACAAGTAATTGAATTAAGCCAGTTATACCGATATAGACCGATAAATAGTAGATTTGAGTCATGTATTTTTGATTTAATTATTTTTGTCCCTCAAAATGCACGAAAAGTATATTTTGTGAAGAGCAAGGAATTTATTGGATCAAAATAAAGAGCGAGTGACATTATAAAAATTCTTCAAGGCCTGATATTCAAGCTGGGGTCCGTGTAGTCTCAATTTTTCGACGGCAAGACAGACTGATTTTATAATCCAGGGTTCTCACTAGGACTTTAAAACATGGAGTCCATGGACTCCCAACCCTGAAAAAGTTGGAGTCCAAAAGCGCGTCGCAATTAATATGTTTACAGATTAGTTATTAAATGCTCACAATAGCATTGCTGATATTTTGAATCTTCAAGAGACTTTCAAAGTTTATAGTTATTCACAACAAACTCTGAACTACATAGTAAATTTATTGTTTTGTTGTTAATATTTATTTTGAAATTATTTCATTATAATGCATCAACACATGGAACTCGTTTTTTATTTTTCACTTTCATACCAAATCAAATTTTATTCTGGTAAAATAAGTCCACTCTAAAGACAAAAAGTTTACATTTGTAAAAAAAACGTAAATGTATATAGGAAGCGTTTAGCGGAATGAATAGGAAAATCGTGTACAGCTTCACACAGTGTGTAAGAGATTCATCCGATCGATAATTATTTTAGCAAATATCTTCAAAAGGGGGCAAATTGAAGATCGATATTTAAAGATTTAATGTTGATTGAATAATAAAGGAACAATTCATTCACATGTTTGGCTTGGAAACTGAGAATTTTTGCGAAATTTTAGGGTTTCTGGCGAAGTGAAATTGCCGATGTTCGGGATCAATTTTCTAATAAAATCTAAATATCAAAGAAAAGCGTATGTGTATTTTGGTTTGTTGCCCTGGAATTTCGGCACAATATCTCAAATTCTTAATACTCTTATAAAACGTTTTTGCAGGCATGAAACGAAAGCAAAATTTTGCCTAGAAAATGCCGAAAATATTCGACAATAATTCAAAATTACACTCATTTGTAATTTGAGAAAACAGTCTTTAAACTTGCGGCGTAAATAGTCAATATTTTTATCGTTTTGTCGGTAAAATTTGCTAATTTCCAATTAACTGTTGATCAAATTTATCTCGTGTTATATCTGTTAATTACACCTACAGCGCGTGTACATACATTAGTCTGATCTCTATTGCGTGATAATGATCGAAAGCGTTATCGCTGATTGGTTAATAGCTTCACGGGTCGATGTGCATAGGACCGCCTACCTATAGACTGACACGCGCTGACGAATTTGTGTATTAGTGGTTGTAAACAATCGGCAATGTTTATGCGTCCCCAGGCTAAATTAAGCGTACGTGGAATCCTTACTCTGAAATATTTGCGTCCAGCTGTAATAAACATGCGTACCGGGACGCCGAAATAAGCGTCCCCGAGAACCCTGTAATCTGATATTTCATAGATGTCTGTCTTTGCGAAGGGCGACCATCGTATATATAAAAAAAGCCCTAAAGCGCACAATACACCGATAAACACTTTCAGAACTAGCAGACGACAGGCTATTCATATCAGTAGAATTTCGAGTAAAGATAACAGATTGCGTATCTCACTGTATAAATCGTATGTAAAATGGTCTGCCATATGGTAGGTTTAACAGTTAATTAAAATACTTTTGAAGTCCAAAGATGTGTTGAATTTTATACTGTGACGAAGCTAAGATCCAAAGCTTTCTATTGGTGTAATACATTTTAAAATCGGACATGTAATCACAACAAACTAGCGGTTTAAAAACAGCTATTTTGTATTGTTTTAGCATAGGCGATATTGATTTTACTCGAAGATAAGGGAAGCAACTCGTATTTTTTCACTCGATATACCTCGGTTATTTACGTAGATCATATTGAAAGTGTTTATGGGTGTATTTGTTGGGCTAGGGTCCGTGCATCTTGCACAAGTGAAATTGCTATATCTTCACAAAATGAAGTATATGTTGACTATAATGGTGGTGAATTTTGTATAGTTGACATTTTTATGTAATGCTCTTAATGGCACTTTAAGAGAGTATGGATTTTTGACGTATGAAAGAATGTAGAAAAGCTTCAAAAAGACAACAAATTGTTTTTGAAAATGATGACAACAATTGAGAGTGTGTCACTTTAATAAGTAAACATTTTACTGTACGCAACCTTGTTTTCCAGCCTTTGTTGTTACAATAGTTAATTCAAAATCAAAGTAACAGACACCATCTTCATGCTGTCAATCTGTCAATTTTTGTGCATTTCAACCCGGAAGTGACCGAACAACACCCCAAATTTTACATAAATTAGTACATATTTTTCTACTATTTTAGCACGAACACGGCCATTAAACAATCAAGAATGAAGATATTTTTGAAACTGCTATGTTAAGAAATCCAAAATTAGTTTATATTATTTTTCAGCTGGTATAATATTTTTAAGAACTTTGCGCGAATCTCCTTAAAGTACTATTTGCGGAAGATGCACGAGTTACGTCCCTTGATAGAAAATTTGAATAACGCATGCGCAGCTGCCACGCACCTTGGAAACGAACAAACAACTAGCACAGGATTTGGAGCCATAAGCAACAGTATTTTGTGTGGAGTTTTTGTAATTTAGGAAAGTCAAGATGCCTGCAGGTGGCACAGTTATGAATCGACCGATTCAGGAACATATTGATGAGCTCAAGGCAAAGATCGCCCTCTTAGGTGAGTAGAATTCTATGGTAAAAATTATAGATCTAACATTTTTGTTAAAATTTTTTGAAAAAATAAAGAGTGATCACATCTAATGATCTATTTTAGTAGATGCAGGAAGATAAACTACATACAGAGATAGGCATGTTTGCTTATTATTGACTGTCACATACACACTTTATGTAACTTTTAGTGTGAAGTCAACTATAATTGCAGTTTAAAAAAGTCTGTTGCTTATTAAAAAAATTAAGTCTGTTCAGACTGTTGCAAAATTCCAAATTTCAGGCATCTCATTCTCTAGTCCTATAAATATGACGTCGCTTTGAGATATTTTTTCTTATGGGCAAAGCAACGTCATATCGAAATTGCTCAAAAACCCATAGCATGTTCCGCCAGAAAATCAGGCGGAACAAAAAACAATGAAGACAGCGTGTATTTACATAAGTTTTGACCTATTTATGAACAAAACTAAAAAATAAATACCTTTTGTCAAAATAATTAAACTGTCACATCCAAAAAATCATGATTAAATCCTCTCATGTATTTCAATTCTTTTTACAGCCGATAAACAAGTGGTGGCCATAAAGTGCGCGAAATCTGATTGGCTAATTCAAATGCAAGTGTTTAACTGAGTCAGAACAATCTAATGGAATATTTTTTTAACGAAATAATTGCCCATGCACCGTCAGTGTTCGAATATATTTTTCCGTTCAAAAATTTGGAATCAATCTGTAAAGCACCTTGCTTAACCTGATGCAGTATGGCTGATAGACAAAAATAGATTGATGTTTATATTTTATTTTAAATTGATAAGTACATTGTTTGAGAGTTTTTGTGTATGATTGAGCATGAAATTGAAAGAAAAGAAGATAAGCTTTTGAATAAAGCTTGAAAGGCAAGACAATAGACATTTTTTGAATTTTTTATGATGCTATGCGTTTTTGAGCAATAACTTATTAACTATTAGACGTCAGGCTTGACCGACATAAACTTTAACAAGCCTGTAACGTCTAATATATTGGACTACTCATTCTCAGGCAAAACATTTCTTATTGTTTTTTTTGTCAGGCATGAAACAAGTGAATGGAAGTAAATGCTCCTTCAGACTAAGCATTTATTGATGAGTGGAATCTGTATTATCGCAGTCTGAAATAATTGTGTAGTACTTCATCAGTATATGTACTTCCAATAAAATTTTCATAATGCATGTATGTCAATCATTGATGCATAATCTATATTATCATCTACAGCTATTGGTTAGTGTAAATTATTATATGGACAATGCTCGAGTATAATCAGAAGTGTCCGTGGGTTAAAGAATTTTCTGTTGAAGAATAAATTTATTTTTAGATTAATCCATTTAGACATGGATCGGCTAATTTAAATCTGAAGTGAAATATGTGATTGGTTGTGTTTAGTTAATGAATATGTTCATTGAGTCAAATGCTTCCTTTGTTGATATTTGTTTTCATATCTTAAACTAATAAAGTGGAAAGCAGTAGATTGACGAGTAATGTTGAGTATATATAAGAAAAGAAAATGAAAATTTTATTGAAAGGTGACTGACTGATTTTCCAAGAATAGATTGAACCTTAATGATGTGAATAAAACATAAAATAAACTGTTGTTTCTTCTTTTTTTTTTGCATAATAAATGTTTTGGGCCTGTGATATTCTGTCTGGGCCTATACTTCTGCCTGGGTTCAGAAGGCACATGATCTAAAAAAGTTTATCGCAGACTGTTATCGCATTTTATATTTAATGATCATTTTGAAGTTGCCTTTAATGTCATATTTTCTGACCATGATGTTTAATTTTTAGATGGCGACAGGAAGGCCTACTTCGAAACCTCCCAGTTTGCTATGAAAAAGAACAGAGAGGGTATTCTTAAACTGAGGAAAGAAAACAAAGAACTAAGGAAAAAGCTTAGTGACTCACTCTCTGTAAGTAACAGGCTGTTCACAATGCCCCCTTATTTGTACCTGTATTAAAAATAGAGTATAGTACATAGAAGTACTACCATTTCAATCGTATGGTTTCGGTTTTTAGCAATTGTGTAAACATTTACAAAAAATTATGAACGTGGGAGCCTTTATGAACGTGGGAGCCTTTATTAAATACTGATGAATATTTAAGAGATAGTTGACATCTATGTGTATCTAAAAGATGATAAGGCATATTCATGTGAAAGTATCTTGTATTTTGTCAGAATTATGTAAAGAAACATCTTCGTTAAGGCTATTTGACTTTAAGTGCAAAATGTTTAAAAAAGCAGAATATCTCATATTTTTTCAGCAAGATGAACATGTTATCAACAAAGCTTTTCAGGATCATCCAGTTGAAAGAGCCGCCATGAAGAATAAAACTGGGAGGGTAAAGTTTTATCAGTTTGTTGTTGTTTTTTTTCATAGAAAGTCATAACCGCTTATAAATTTGCTAAATTGTTATTGTCAGAGTATACTTATTTATAATGGTATTTTGTTGCATTTCCTAAAAACTTGTAAAAGTTACTATCTCAAGTATTTTGATCCTCTTTAGATCCTCCATTACTTCAAGAACAGAGAAGGGAGGAAATTAAAAAAAACAGATCTAGATAATTTAAGAATTAAACTCTACAACTATTAATAAATCTTTCAGCAAGCTATCACTGTAATGGATCATAAAGTTTGTGATACTGTGAAAAGATTGAACGCTCTTCGTCACCAGACTGCAACAAAACAGAAACGACTGGAAGACTTACAGACACAGTATGGTCAGATGCAGAAAGATGCTAGTGAAGCTGTTAACACAGACAAAGGTCAATCAGCAGATGCACAGGTAATGATACATTATGTGACAATAATTCTTTTTTAGTTAACTTTTAGTCTACTAGCTTCCTGCAACAGATTGTACCCATGCGTCCAGTGCACAGACTAAAATTAGCCAGGGAGTCTTTGCTATCTGATCATTGTTTGCAATTTTTGTTATTCAGTCTTTTGAAATTTATCACTAAAAATGGGTTTTGCCCAGATTGAAAGATGGACAAGTCCATTGAAGATGTTTTGCTTGGTAAGGATTAATCAAATTAATTAATTAAAACTGAAATAGTTAACTGTTATATTACTACTTAAATGTAACTATGTCGTTTTGATGATCTATTTCAAAATTCAATGTTGTATTATTCATTGAGTTTATTGTGTTTAATGAAAAAGCCTTTTTATATACATGTTTATATTTATGTTTTGTTTTGAAAATTTAGCAAATGAGATACCTTGAGAACAGTTATGACAAAACCAAGCTAAAAATTGATGAAGCTACTCACTTGAGAAGAATCTATGAAGATATCAAGAAGAAACTAGAAGTGGTGAGAAAAAAATTAACATCAGTTATAACAATACCTTCTTGTTTTAATCATCATTTTAAAATCCTATATTCTGTGAAAGATCTTTGTAGAAATAAATGATGACAAGTAATCACCTATTTGTATTTAGGAAGTTTGTGATGGAGCTGAAACATATGTGTATTAAACCAACAGAATAGCTTACTTTAAATTGTGTTCAGTTGGTAGCAATAATTCTTGAAGAAATGAGAAGTAATATTAAGGTGTATGATATTTTTGTATTTCAAATATTCCTCTCCTTTTCCTTTGTGAGCCAAGAAAATATTTTTTTCGAAGCAGTAGTGACCATTACTGATTTTTCAATTTTTAATATGTATACTGTTGTGTAATTCTTAGAAAATGGAACATTTTGTTTCTTATTCATCATAACTTTTTATTTTTTAGGAAGCTGAAAAGTTCCCATGTATACTGGATGCTATGGAGGCTGAGATTCAGTCTACTCGTACTGAACTAAAGGAACTCAAAGCCATGCACGATGATGCCCAGATCTCCAAAGAAGCGGCCCAGTCCGAACTGTCGAAACATGAGAAAGTTGTTTATGCCGAGAGAAAGCAGCGTGAGATAGAGCTCGCCAAGATGAAGAAAGAGGCAGAAGAGAAAAAGATTCAGCATGAGAGAATTGAAAGAAGAATTGTGAGTGGTTTCATTCATTTTTTTAAAACTTTAAAGGCCCATTATGTCCCAGATATGCTTTTATTTTTATTTCTCAAAAGCTTTTTATTTTGGGTGCCCTGTAATAGCAGTCTAAGTTGTCAAAAAATACTCATTGCCTAACTTTCAGAGCTATATTTTGCTTCTATTGCTTTTTGGCAATAAATCAGTTACAGTTGTTAAGTATTTTGTATGGAATTGAAATACTACTTTGATGACATTTTGTTACTTTTATGACAAATGATTTCACATTCAGAACAATTTTCTTCAGGTAATAAGCATCTAACATGTCTAAAACAATTATTCTAATGTTATCAAATTCATGTTTGCTATTTAAAAAGAAGGAAAAATTAAATAATTTCAGAGGCATTATGTGCCTTTAAAGTCAAGAGATTAGCATTAAGATGTTGCAAATATATGCCAGTGCTGCCAAATAATGTCTTGTTAATAAAGTCAGTCATTTAAAATAATTAGAAAAAAATCCAATAAATAGGATATCATTAGTCCATTAATGCAAAGGTAAATAAAAGAAAAAAAAGTATTGTTACGAATGATAAGAATAATATACATTATATGAAACTTATTTACAATGTTAAACTTTTTATATATCATAACCTCTTGTAAATAAAATCAGGTGTAACATATCCAGTTATCCATTTATTTTAATTTCATAAATGTCGCACCACATCCTAATATTTTTTTTCCGTTTTAAAGGTCACCCTGTTTACTGTAAGTTATTATCACTGTAGGCACAGAGAAGTTCAATTCAACAAGATGACATTGCTGGCCAGGAGAAACAAGCTATACAAGGTGAAGAGCAACAACAGAAGATTACAACCTATGAAGAGGCCTTTAAAGAGATCAAAGAAGCTACAGGTGTCTCTGAAACTATGGTAGGAATTTCTGATTTTTTTTGTGTGTGAAAAATAAGGGACCTTTCCTTAAGTTTGATGTAAAACTTACTTAATTCATCTTGCCTCTTGCAGTTCTAGATTTGAAATTCTTTAAGTGACATTGATTTATTTCTTGTTTGGCAGTTGACTTGCCAGCATTTAGAGTACCATCGTCTCTTAAATTTACTAATGTTGTTAGAAACTTAAAGTGATACACACTGGGAAATCCATTACTTCCCAGAACTCCCAGTCAAGAATAAGGATTGCAAAGTCTATTCAATATCCTATACCCAACCTGCGTACAAAACGTTTTAGTCTGTGTTCACCCCTGTTGTTTTTGTCGTTGTTTTTACAGCAAAGCTTTATTTTGAAGCTGTTCTCAAAGATCTTTTAATGAGAACTCTTAAAGTAATCTGTATCTGTTAAAAAATCAATCAAGAGCTGGAAAAGGATGATGATTTCTGAATCAATTAGAAGTACTCATCATGTTCCAAAATTTTGTAGTAATTGCCACTTTGAAATTTTCAGTTCAGCTGTATTGTAAGACATTTTCCTAATCCTTTTATTTTTAATTTTTTAGAAATTTTAAGGTTGTTTTAAAGAACAATAGGAGCAGTGATCAATTTATTATTAGAAATATAATTTTATGGTTAGATTTTTTTACTTGGCTTAAATTGGTCATTTTAATACTATAATGGTTACTAAGATAGCTTAGTATAAACTTTGGATACTGGGTTAGTTTTATATTAAATAATCAAGAAATGTTTTGTCATTACTTACTAGTAGCACAACTGCCCTCATCGCTTATTTAAACTTCCAGCTAGACAAAATTTCTCTGTAAAATTTGATCATGTACATTGACTCTAAGAATATTTGTTTTTCACTGCTGATTCTGAAATCATGTGGTATAAACAGTTGGTCCAGTCATTGAATTAAAAGATTTTTAATTTACTGGCCCGAATTCCAGTTTTGAATTTATTCTACTATACAATATGTTTAACTTAATTTTCTTAAAATTTACAATGACCGGAACTAATTTTCACCGGCCATTGGCCACCTGGCCAGTGCTTAATTTGATGACTGTTGGTCACTTGTTGAAAAAATGGTAAATATTAGTTAGATTTGCAGGAAAGTAGTTTAGGCAGACCAACCGCCAAGATAAGACCAAAAATGCGTTGAAATTGGCATAAAAACATCTAACTTAGAATCATATTATGCATTCTAAATATATTGTAAAGGGAATGGTTTCTAATTGTAATTTTTTGTCTTCCCTTTTTATTTGGGTTATGGTGTAGTTTTTTTTTAAATTGATAGTGAATGATCATGATTTATATAATTATGAGACTTATGAATGAAATAAATAGCAGTAAAATAAGCAGTTGATCGGGTTATCATTAACCTTTTTGCAGAAGGTTTGTTTTGAATTTGAGGCAGTTTTTTTTTTTCATCATATATAACTTCACTTTGACGCGTCTCAGAATGCATTTGAGACAGTCATTTTGGCCTCCTGCCACCCCTTAATCACAACCCTGATCGATATATGTTATTTTGTAATTAAGATAATTCTGGTTAAATAAAAAAATATATAGAAATTCATATTAACATCATATATAGAAAGTCTCAAAAATTTTTGTTGATAATGGCAGTACAAGCTAGAAGGAGACGGAAACAAAACAAAAATAGCCAAAGGAAAATATAAGTGTTTTGCATACAGTATGGTACTGCAAAATGAACTGTCAACATTGTCAGTGTTACGGTGCCATACATCATCGAGTGTTTTGACCCGTTATACCTAGGACATTCTAATATGGTGGGGCCACAGTTGGAATCAAACCACTGTGTGTTGACAGCACCAGCTCTTTTCATCTCTTCTGAGCCACGTAACCATCAAGCTGCCTTTTCAGCTGCACTACAGACTGAGTGGATGGCCGGCAGACTTATTCTCAAATTGTTATTGATGATATTTGTCTTACAGGAAGTTGTTCACAGATTTGAGAATCAGAAAGAGACAAAGATCCACCTTGAAGAATTGAAGAAAGACAATGAAAAACAGATCACACGATTGACCGAGGAGAAAGTGAAATTGAGGAACGAATTTGAGGAGATGAAATACTCTGGGGATGCAAAACTTTCAGGGTATGAATAATTTATGAACGATACTATCAATTAACTGATATCTCAAAAATGTATCTTGTATAGTTTAATCAATTACTGGGCTTTTATCCTTTCTATAGCAGGGGCCATTTGAGAGTGGCTTCTCTTAAGAAAAATAAATTCTTTAACATCATGCAGTTTTCCCCAAAAAGTGAATTGTCATTAAGTTTTTTCTTCCCCTTTTACAAAATTACCATATTATTTTGTCCAAAAATGAGAGGAAAGGCTGCTTCCGCAAATTTCATCTTAGCTTTACTGTGCATAGTCTTTCTAGAAGAAGAATGGAGTACAAAATGCTCCATACCCTGTATTTGAGGATAAATTTTGAAAAGGTCAGTATTAGTTTAAACCAAATGGGAATTGGTTATTTTCATTTGTTAGGGAAAGGATTTTAGCTTTTATAATTAGGGTTTGGAGATTGATTCATCTGATAAATTGGTAAAAAAATAATAGATGAAACGTAAAAACATTTTTTTGGGGAAGCAGAAATGACAAGAACAAAATTTCAAAGACAACGCAACCCTTAGATTAAGGTTACCTGAGGCAGCAAAGTGTATTTATTCAGAACGAAAAATCATTTTATGATCACAGATTAACATAATTTTTACTTTTTAGATTACTTCTTTTTTCCTAATTCCAGCAGTGATAAAAATTGGCTTAAATTCTAAATTCTTTGATTTTAAATCCATTGACACACATTCAGCAGTGTTAATGTTAAATATTGACTTACACTTAAGCACCATTATATACAGAGTTAAGATACCGCTTGAATTATTGACGTAACATTTTTAAAAAAATTTCAGAAATTTAAATATTAAAGTACCCAGATATTATATGAATGGTAGTAGGTATGAATATGTTAAAGGAATAGTTTGTGTTACTATTAGATTGGTATTATACACTTGGGCTATTTTCAAAATAATGGCTAGTAGAGGTTTTCTTTAAATAAAAGAAGTATTCAACAGTGATTTATAACTGTTTTTTTCTCCAAACATGTAAAGCTATGTTATTAAGAAGTGTGTGAAGTTTTGTGGACTTTGCTTCAGATATAAAAAAGTTATGCTGAAAAAAACAGGCCAAAAATGTCAGGAGTGTAACAAAATAGCGTGACACTTTGCAAAATTTGCCATTTTCAAAACACTTCTAAGAAAAACATTGACAATGCTGATAATTATAACTGTTTTTAAGATAAAGTAAAATATATGTCCTTCAAGTAAGTATATAACTTTATAATGAATTACTTATCAGAACATAAAAAATAAGTTTTTTTATAAATAAGGGGCTAAAATATTTTTCACTTATTTTTTTAAAAAAAAATCTGTTTTGGTGTACACTTTTAATAGCGCTTATAAAATTTTCAGTTTTTGATATTCAAAATTATGATATATATCTCATAACAACAGATAGGTAAAATACTTTTGATAAATTACTACTATTTCTATAGTTTTTCCTCATCTAAATAAACTGGCTTAATTTTGTCAGGAGTGTAACATTTGGTATATAAATAGTAACAGTGATGTCATAAGTTGACACATATACATATAATGTATTTTTCCTGAAAGTCTGAGACTGGGAGTGATCATAAGTGACAATCATGAATGAAGATCATGGTTATATATTGCGTGCATAGATGACATGCAATTGTCAGGAGTGTAACATATTTTGGTGAAATTTCCGCGTATTCTTTTATCCCTTTTTTCGAATGCATTATTGTTTTGCTGTGCAGAGTTTTTGACTTATAGTGCAGTTCTGGGAATAAATATTCTATCTGGTGCATATAAGGTAAGTAAAGAATTATTTAAACTTCTAACTTTTGTCTAGAAAGATCGAATTTTAACATTTAAATCAAGATAAATGCTTTTTTTTTATTTCAAGTAACCAAGATTTTTTTTTTACATTTATGCTTAAATAAAGTTAGCAATAACCATTTATATGTAAAAATAAATATAGAATAGGGCAGGTTGTGTTGCTATCATAACTTATTAACATGTATGTGTATTTGTTACACTCCTGACCAAAAATGGTATTATTCCTTTTCTACAGAACAAATAGTAAAATAAGCATGGACAAATTAATAGTCAGTCTTCCAGCTGTAAGAAGGTCAATAAAAAAGATCAAATACAGAGCAGAATAAGGCATCTTCATCAAAAGAAAGAGTAAGAAAGTATGAATGGTACATATGCTGACCATCTGTGTATCAGTGTTGCAAGTAAAGTCAAGGTCACACTTAGATGTCAAAAATTAACATAGTCTGTTATAGGGTATATTTTGTGTCGGATCTAGAACTTCTTCATAGTTCAAGGGATTTTGAAATAACTTGGCACAAATAGTCACAATAATAAGACAATATGTCAAGTACAACACCTGCACCCCTACCTCCAAGGTCAAGGTCACACTTACAGGTCAAAGGTTAACAGAGTCTGTTATTTGGTATATTTTGTGTCCCGTCCATTACTTCTTCATAGATAAAGGGATTTTGAAAATACTTGGCTCAAATAGTCACAATGATTAGATGATATGTCATGTGTAACATCTGTGTCCCTACCTCCAAGGTCAAGGTCACACTTAGAGGTCAAAGATTTACATAGTCTTTTATAGGGTATATTTTGTGTCCAATCTATAACTTCTTCATAGTTCAAGGGATTTTGAAAATACTTGGCACAAATAGTCTCAATAATAAGACGTTATGTCATGCACAACACCTGCTCCCCTACCTCCAAGGTCAAGGTCACACTTAGAGGTCAAAGCTTAACATGATAGATTTTTAAATTCCGTGTTTCATTTTATATTTTTTAACAAATTTATTATTACATTTGCAGATCTAGTATTGATCATAATTTTGGACTGAATGTCCTGAGATCCATACCACAATCTTTTGAAATAGCACAATTTTATCCTCATATAAAACTTCCCGAGGCGGGGGACGTTGGTTACTCTGTTACAAATTCTTGTTAAGATATAAACAAATTCAAGTGATCTTCGAATATCCAATTTGTAAATGACAGTTTTCAAATCAAATTAACAATACTATATTGGTAAAGTAACTTCTAATTAAAAAGCATACTTGCTATCTTCAGATATGTACCAGATGATTATGTAGCTGTTGGTCTGACCTCACGCAGAAAGAAAAAGTTTCTTTATGTAGCCAAGGTAAATCTTTTATTTAACATTTGGTTCAACTAAAATACAGTTTTCTCATAAATGTTTGGATTTATTAAAAAAAAATAGAATAAACTATCTTAAAACATATCTTTATAAGATCTTCTTTTTGACAGGTTTTGCAGGTAGATGGGGATGTTCAGCTTAGATTCTTAGAGATTCTCGGGGGATCAACACATGGCCCAAGGCAGACGACATATCATGGCAGTCTCCAGATGACATATTACGAAAATTATCACATCCTACATTATTGGTTAAAAATCATGTTTGATATTACAGAACTTGAATTGTCGGAAAAACAGCTAACAGCTTGAGATGCACTTTTTGTCAGGAGTGTAACAGTATATGGAACATATTTGTAACACATTTTATTATACAATCTAGTCATAAGACCAATTTCAGGAGATCATATTTGAACTGTTTCAGTGTTCTATTGTTTATTATGACAGACACTAATTTTTTCTTCATGTTGTGAGCCACTAGTATACATAATCATTTGTGATGGTACGGATTTGGGTGACTTTATTAAAAGTATGTCTAAAATTGGAGACATCTTTTTCAAATTTGTTCAGGAATGTTTAAATGTCCATTAGTTACAATATTTAAACAGTTTAGTTAATTGATATTGTTCATTTGTTTTCAGAATCTTGTTAATGATAAGCAGCTATACATGTCAGGAGTGTAACAATTTGTTACAAAAATGCTCATGTTTTCATGCTGATCCTGTGAAATAAAATCATTATTTCTGCCATCATTTATTTTACTGTGTTGCTTGTTACTGTCCAAAGTCCAAGAATAGATCTATGTTCATAATAATGATGCACCATTTTATCAGCAAATAAAACTTTCATTTTGTAAATTTGAATTTCAATGGGGGAAAATGCAAAGAAAATCCAATTTGAAAAATATTTTATATTTATCGAGCTCTTTAATACTTTTTTTTTAGTATGACAACATTACAGCTATGAAAAATAGGCTTTGAAGCTATGCTTAATTTTTTTTTTGCAAAATAATAGACTTTGAAAAAGATCATGTATTGTTGTTCTTTTTTGCCCATACAGCTTAATAAAATCTTGATAAGAATTTTAATATTCATTTTTAGCTTTACACCTAGTTGAATTTGTACACTGTAATGGTTGGTCTTGGAAAGAAAACAAACATTTTTGTACTTCATGAAGTTTTCAATTCTAACATTTTTTCAACTTTTCTAACCATAATTTTGAAATTAGCCCACTTCGAGTTGTTTTCTGTTCTTGTTTTTCATTTAGTTATTTAATGATTAATGATGGAATAGCGACTGTCAATCTATGCAGACCAAGATCAGCAGCCACATCAGTGCATTCTGGTCATGGTCTGCACTGTTTACTTTACAATCAAGGTCCGCACAGTTCAATATTTTAGTCAGTAAATATTTTGAAAAATTTCCTATGAAAGAGTGACAAGTGTATTTAAGCTATTTAGTGTAATAATTTAAGGGTTAAATTCTTTCTTAATTATTTGCGTATATTTTTGAATTATTGATAGAATGTAAGCCTCATGTGATTTAATGTATATATTTGAAATTCTTATTTTAAGTTATGAGATTGAAGTTGAGTACAGTTTCATATTTTATATCATTATATGTTTTAAATTTTTAAATTTGAAGTCATTTAATATGACACTGTTTCAATTTTTCAGTTTGAACATTAGCATTGTAAAATGATTTGTTAATTGGCATCTTATCTTTACATACTTTGTTTTGCCACATATAAATAAAGAAATGTTTCATTTTTACAATTGAAAATGATACACTGCAACCTTTGTTTAATAATTGAAAACAAAGGATTGCATTAATATAAATGTCAAAAATTCAATTTTGTAATGTTCCAAATTTTTCACCTGAACATTTATAACATTTAATTCCCTACAAAGCAGCATGTACCGCCTCCTTGGTCGAGGGGTTAGAGTCGATGACTTCTAATCCAGTTACCTCTCTGGCATGGGTTCGATCCCCGGGAGATGCTTTGGTAGTTTAGCACGGAGGAAGGTAGTCTAGTACTGGTGTAACTCTCCAGGAACGATGGTTAGGAAACTACCCGCCTATATGACTGAAATACTGTTGGGAAAAGGCGTAAAATGAAACAAACAAACAATAAACGAAGCAGCATGTACCTGTGATTTGTTTTATTTGAATGTTATCCTGAATTAAACAATGTTTTAAAACATTAATAAATAAGATGACTTTAAGTATTGTTGTCCACTTAATTGTTTTTTGTTGTTTTTTTCTCGTTTTTTCTCGTTTCATTTATTCACATCTCTCATTTATATTTTTTAGAGGAGAACGTATGTTGGAAGAATTCCAGAATCATCTGGACAAGGAGGAGGAGAGGCGTGACACTGCTGAAGAACAGTTACACAAAGCTAGCAAGAATTTGGTGTATGTTAAAGCAGGTGTAGAGCATTTAGCTGATAAACTTTATCACCTTAAAGCTGTAAGTGTTTTCTCTCTTTTTTTTTCAGTAAGAACAAATATTGAATTTATTTAGTTGTATCGAACATTGAACAATGAATGTTTTATGTTTTAATTTCAACACAATCAAACATTTCATTACATATGAGGCATAAAAACTGTGATTTGTTTTTGTGGAGTATTGTTGCTATGATAATGAATAAGATGAATTTTAGTATTTTGTAGAGGTATTTTATCTGATGATTGAAAATGTACTAATATTACTAGATTAGTAAGGTCGTTGATGAAAATAACAACATGTTTATCTGTAAGGCAAAAAGTGAAAGATTCTGGTATAGGGCATGTGATAAAACTAGAATGTGTTGTAACTGATTCAAATATTGTAGTTAACGAAATAATTTCAAATTTATATTAGTGGTAAACTTGGCCGTTTAACCGCAAAGCAAGTAGCACATGTAAATGAACATTTTGGTTCAAGTTAACATCTTTTTGGGTAGATCAACATGACTTATTATAAGATCGACAAACATTTGTATATATTGAAAGTTAAGATTCTGATATTGCTTTGTAACTTTGTATATACATTAACTTACCATTTGTTTGACAGAAAAAAGGAACTGTAAGGAAATCTGTTCACATAGATTTATGAATTATAGAAATAGTTGACAAGTAAACCCTTAATCTGCTGTATCCTAATATATGATTAGCCTGTTTGCCACCAGTATAGAGTCAGCCCAGCCAATCATTACTGTCTCAGACCACAGGCTCTATACTGTTGGCTGGCTAACTTTAAAGTGACATTGTGCTTATTGTTTCATTGTAAAGTTGAGCTGAATTGACTTGTATACTTTTCAAAATATTGATTGTTATAAAATTGATTGACCAACAGTTGATATTGGAAAATGTTTAGGATAAAATATAAATCTGCCTAAAATCTAAAAATACTGCTCCACTGTTTTTATAAACTCAACGTTACAGGTAAATTCCGATGAATAATTACAGAAATTTTCATGGGTCACTGAAGAGTTATTTACCATTTATGCAAAGTAAAATATAAAACTGAAAGGAATTATGGCAAAACGTAAACTTATTTTGACTATTACCTGTTCACTGACTGAATGAGCAGGGCATAATGGGCCTTTTATGGGCATAATGTCACTTTAATATTCATCTTGATATCCCCGAAAATGATAAATGGCAGTTCCAGAAGTGAAAACTGGGCAAGTTCATTTTAGAAAATACAGCAGGTTCAGTGGTTTACCTGTTATAGTTATTTTCTTTTATTTTGTTTTACAATATATTGAGAATTTTGTTTGTTATTTCTGATTTTCTCGTCTTTGAATTGCCTATAGAACATTCATATTAGTATGATGTCAAGTTGAGAGGAGTTACTTAGATTCATGACAAATTGATAGTTGAATTATAATGTAATTATTCAGATTGAGTATAAATGCACTCAGTGAACAGTTTCTTCGATTTCTTGCATTTTTTTTCCCTGCCACGTTTACATTAGCATCAGTTTTGTGTGTGGATTTTTAATACACGTAGATTTAGCTAGAAAATTTTATTTTTTAGGGAGAACAAAATACAAAATATTCTAAACTTGGCATACTTGGTGTAATTGTATTCTGTTTTGATAAGCCATCTGGCTTTTACAATGATGTAGTAAATTTGTCCTTGAACTGTCATAGTTACATCATGTTGGATTTTCTATTTTTAGAGCAAAGGTCATGTGCCTCAGGCTCAGATAGCGCCATCATCAGATGAATATGTACTAGACCAGTTGTCAACATGTGAGGAAAAACTGCTGAAATTATTAGAGGAATTGGACGGAGAGGACATAAATGCTGTTGTAAAACAAATGGAGGAAGAGGAGGTAAGGGAGATAACTATGTATAACTTTACTATAACAAAATATTGCCTCTATGACTGAGTAGTTACAGATTTTTAAGTGTTACCACTAAATCAAGGGTTACTGGTTTTAATGAAATAGGCCTACAAATGACGTGTTTATTAAAATGACTTGTTTAAAATGACTTGTTTCAGAACTATCTAACACAAGTATGATTGAAATAGGGATGTATTAATGAAAAAAAGCAGTTTTTTTTTTTGCCAGAACAGAACATGTGGACACAATTAACAAATTAATATACAGCTAAAGTTTGTTTTTGATACTTATATTATGTTTTCTATATTTTCATCATTATTATGAGCAATCAGGAAATGGGAGTGAAATGTTAAATTATATTGTTTACTGTGTTTCAGTTCAATGCAGGAGGCGAGGGTAAATTACCACAATATAATACCAGAGTTAAACTTCCACAAACACAAAGAGATCTTGTTTATGCAGGTAAGTTAAAAGACTTGGTGTCGCTACTTGGCTGATTGGTCAAGGACACACATTTTGAAATTCTTTCTCTCTTACCAATGTGGTATTACTTTGGCAAAAATATGTAGTCATTGACACAAATTTTGTAATCCTTTCTCCCTAACCATTGTGGTGTTACATTGGCAAAAATGTTTGCTATTACACAAGTCTATGGAAAGGATCTGTCTTTTTCAAGAGACTTTTTCTAGAACCATTCTGCTGAAATGGGGCAGTATTTCAGGTTAAAACAACTCATTATAAAAAAAGTTATTAGTAATGTAATTGCATGCAGTGACACACTTGTGAACTTTGCTCTTTTTCAATTTTGTTGTACATGTATATATGAATAATAACCATCTTGTTGTTTATGTTTACAGAAGATTCAGATAGTGACCATGGCAACGATACAGAATGGCCCGACAGAGACAAGATTAAGAAACAATCACAACTTCTTGTTGACGCCAAAACTAAACGGCGAACCACCAAGAAAAAGAAGAAGACCAAATAAATGACTCGATCGCAGTTAAACATTGTGATGTCCATTTCAAACTGCTGTTAATATAAACTCTGCAAAGACAGTTATTAAACAAATGTGTGGTGACTATATAAATATATGAAACAGAATCAGCACCAAAGATAAATATATGAACATATCTTTCAACAAAGACGTAGGGAATTCTATAAAAAAAAGCTGCAGTCATTTTTTCTCCCCGGACTTGTAAATTGATTTCGGAGTTAAACGTCATTATTCAAGCTATATTTATGACACCCCATTCACTAAAGCTTATTAGCAAAGCACTAAACATTATAATATATACTAGTATGAATGTACTATGTCTTTAAATTAGCAAAATATCAATTTTTTGAGCTCCATATACATTTGTTTTCAGTTCTGACTTTACCATGTAAAATGTATATCTAAATTATCACAATAAATTTTTCCTGTTTGGATATTATTATACAATAATTAATTTCTTAATCAAAAAGCTGATATTTAAAGAAATTAATATGAACCTGTGTTAATGCCATTGGTACATTTAGAGTTATTATTGTTTGTAAATAACTTTAAAATCTGTAGAAATTTTAATGAAAAATAAAAAAGTATATTTGCGATAAAAATTATTAGAATGTATAAGAATGATCATTGGTTGAAATTGATTGTTTTGCAACAATTTTGTTGAATAAATTACAAACTTTATTGTCAAAAGTTGATACATTGTATTTTTAAAAGTAAAAGTTATTGGAATAGTATTGGTTACTTTTTTATTGATTTTTGAAACTTTTAAACATTACTTGTACCAATTTGTGAATATTTTGAAAACGATCATACAAATTTAAAATGATATTCATGCTAAAAATAAATTAAGTTATTTTGTTACCTTCATTTTTAGATTTTCTGCTAAACAAATTTTCTGTTCCATAAGAACTGAATGATTTGTTAAACATTTTTTTGCATGCATTCAGTACTGTTAAATAATTATATATAACTTAACTTCTATACAGAAAAATGACATTTTAAGATATTTCTTATGCAATGGGGTGGCATTGCTTATTCAAGGGTGGGGGAGGGGGAGGGTGGGCAGACACATAACATCTGACATACTTTCAGGACCATTTGACTTGTAAAGAAAAGCTTTCAAATCTTGTGAAACGTTTATCACATATCAGTGTCTTTCAATGACATTGAATAAAAAGTATATTAAAGGGAGATAATTTTACTATAACACTAACTATTGAACATTATATTTATCAGGATTTTCCCCACTTCCTTCTATTATGACCCACTTTAATATCTTGATGTGATGGGATTATATTCAGGTACTTTAAGGAAATAGAAGGTTAAAAATCGCATATTAAATGGCCACAAAAGTTTTCCTCTAATTTATACATGTGATTTTGAAGAAAAATGAGTTTTATGAGAAGTATATTTATAGCCAGTTACATTTATGAATCAGTTTAAATAAGTGCATTCTAGAGTGTTTATCCTTTTCCTGGTTTCATTAAGTGTTTAATCAAGTGTGTGTTTTTCCTAGACTTTAATACATACACTTATTACTATAAATAGAAGCTTTTTTCGGAATGCCCCGATTTACTAAAGTAAAATTGATGTAGTGGAAAGAAAAACAAGTCCTTTAAGAAAAATTCACTTCCTTATTTGGTATTGAGGTTAAACCAACGTAAGACTTTCAAGAATGTTTTAAATATTTTGCTAAAAGTCACTGTTATTCTTATCAAATAGGGAAAAAATATAATAACCGACTTGCTTAGGAATGATCAGGCAACATACAATATATAAATCAGGTTCATAAAATTCTTCATAAAATCAAGTAAAATGAGTAACTTTAGCTTTGAGGATTTTTTGTTGTTGTACATGATATGCATGATATATGATATAATACATGATATATGATATATTGCATGTGTTGTGGCCCTTTAGCATTTACTTTAACATCAAATTTTATCTTTAATTTATTCAACTGTGATGTTTTTTAATGTTGTGATTTTTTTAGTTAAATTCTATACATATTAGATTTTTATTTTATGCAATTGTTTTTTGAGCAAAAAGATATGTATACAAAAGAAAATAGAGAAGAAAAAAATAAATAAGAGAAAGACCAATTTTATTGTTCTTGTTTATTTCGAGTATATATATGTTATATACATGTATAAGTTTGTTTAGTTTAAATACATGCCAGATGATGACTATATTATACATTTCGGTGACGTGACAGCTGTTAAGGACGTGACATCTAACGCGGATGTGATCGCTAATACAGACGTGACAGGACGTGACATCTCCCGCGTACGTGACCGTTAATACAGAATATGGAAGACCATGCATGTACATGCCGATCTGTGAATCATAATATGACAAAAGGATGACCTGCAGTATATTCTATTTTTGGCTTTGAGGTCACATAAGTGACAAAGACGAATAGATTAACTCTGGAATTAAGAAGAATTGTTTTTTTCCCAGCTAATCCGTACAGTAGGTACAAAAGGTTGACTTATCTACTGTGACGGGTAGTGCACTGTTAAGTTATAACGGTAAAAGTTTGTACCAGAAGATTAGTATTTGCTGTCTATTGCACTCATAAAGTTACAGCTTGGAGTAAAATTTTGTCTAACGTTATTTATCTGGATACTGTGTTTATGTACATGTATATTTTTTATTTTGCCATCATGTCTGTTGTCCTTAAATCCAGTCCCATTTTCAGGGCTTTGATCCACGTGAAATGACCGCCGCCTTGTTCATTCCTGTCTGTAGTAATTGCACGTATGTGGATTAAGGACCTGTCACTAATAATGTGCACGTGCATCCGGTCGTCTGTAATGAAATCAGACAATATGGTAATATCGGTGTGTCACATTCAAATAGGCTGCAACAAACCAGTTTTCGTCAAAGTAAATAAGTGGATAAGGTCGGGCGTTTAATAAATTCGACCAAAGTTCATTGATATTGATGTCTGGAACAGAAAATAGGTGGATAAGGTCGAGAGCGTTTGATTACATTCGATCATAGTCCATTAAAATTGAAGTGTGGACCAAATATAAAAACAAAATCAAATACAGTGAAACCTGTGAACAAGGGAGAAACAAATACTGGTCTTAATAGACAAATGGTCTTTATCTGGAGGTAGCTTTATTCCATTTATCAATGAAGGGTTATCAAAACGTGGCCTTTAAAATTGAAGGGTTATCTTTATTCAGAGGTGATCGAGCCGTGTCACGACAAAACTAACATAGTGGGTTTGCGACCAGCATGGATCCAGACCAGGCTGTGCATCCGCGCAGTCTGATCAGGATCCATGCTGTTCGCTTACAAACCCTATATCAAGTAGAGAAACTGATGGATTCTGATCAGACTGCGCGGATGCGCAGGCTGGTCTGGATCCATGCTGGTCGCAAACCCATTATGTTGGTTTTGTCATGACGCGGCTTATATGTTTAACTGTATAAGTATTTCCTTTTCCTCTACATTCAATAAACCTTTGGAATGAAGTACAAACTTTTCTTTTAAAGACACGAGTCCAGTAAACGTTATAAAGATGCAGCGATGAAGAATACAGAAAGAATTATAAAATTGTTGTTCGACATGTCACTTTAACAGTTTATAGATTAAATTCATAGCTCATAATTTATTTAACCTACATGATTTATAAAATATTTATATTTACATTAGATGTACAAATGATCGACAAAATCTGTCACGAATACCATGTCATATCGATTATGTATGAAACACTGCACTTTGGACCTTACTTTTCATTTCAGAAAATATTTATTTATTAACTAGATGGTAAAAAAAAAACAACATTACATGACAAATATAGAACCTACAAATTTCTATTTCATCGAATGGAATACTACTTTAAGCTTATTATATTCTAAACATGAACAAGGATATTGATATATGAAATTTAGTATGACAACATAATATGCGTTGTTAGTTACTATACCGTAAGTCACATGTCAAGACATTAAGACTTGAAGTATGTTATATGTAAGTATTAGTTTTTAAAGTATGCATACATTTGCCGAGGAGACACTTTACATCCTAGTGTGCACACGGATATTACAGAGCTATATAGTGAGTGTGTAATAATTAATTTAAAGGGAAGAATGTATGTATATTTAGTGTTAGACGGAATTTGTAAAAAGACGGCACGAGTTTTTCTGGATTTAGAGAAATGCGTGCCGTGTGTCGGAACATACACAGAAAGCACAGTAGATCCCCCACTGTGGTACAAAGCTCTCGTTATGGATTCGATCCTCTTCGATTGTGACCACAAAACGGTTTACTGGAGTTTGGAGCCGTGTGACGTCAGTGGAGGCGTTATGACAGCAGACGAAACAATATATACTGAGAAAGTCAGGGCATTTTTCAAAACCAAAGGTACAAGTTTTTTTTAAAAGATTATAGAAGCTTTCAAAAACCTATCACTAAAGATTAAACATTTCACCGATATAACATTTGTTTACCAAATACAAACAAATACGCGGTGTGACTAAGGAACAAAATTCCCTTTATAATTATTTATCTTATGTTATATAATTAATAGTGAAACGATATACACACGCAAAAACAGTTATGATTAATTTGATCGTAATCTGAAGTGTTAAATTACTCAATCAGCTAAATTTATGTTCATATTTGGTAATATAACCTTTAAGAGCGGTATACAAATATTTGGTTTACTTTTGAGGTACAGTATGGTAGTTAATTGATTGACAGAAATGCAAACGTACAAGGCTGTGTAATAGATATTTGATATGTACATGTTCATACATATTTTACTTATAAAATACGCTGGTACGTATATAGTGATATAAATTATTTTCATGCAATTCATACCTAAAATCGGTTGTAAAAGAAAGACCCAAGTATGTAAATGTATAACAGATCATTGAAATATTGTTATAAAGCAATAAAAGAAATGATCCCCATGACGAAAATAAAAAAAAATATGGAAATGTTGACAATGAAAAAAAAACAAAAAAAACAACAAAAAACAAAAAACAAATCAACAAAAAATAACCCAACAACAAACAAACGGAATAACATAAACAACAACAAAACCAAAAACTGAAGTGTCGTTATTTATAATTTGTACCAATACCATATATAATGTTATTATACATAATACATTATAATTTAATAAATCTGTCAATGTTTGATATTTCAGAGCAAATGTTTAACGAGAAGATATGTGCCGAGCTAGACCCTTCTCAGGTTGAAATGTTTGAAACAGCCGAAGATGTATACAACAGTCTGAGCCCTGAGGTATTTGACAGAGATGGTAATGTACCAACTTACAAAGGTCTACTGAAAATTGTTCACGTTTATATCTTACCAAACATTAAGCTTCAACAGAAACATGAAATACACGTGCATGACGCTTTAAAAACTATCGAAAAGGAGTACGAGAATATCGAAATGCTTATCAAAATGAAAGTACAGTTGAAGAAAAACAGCGAAGAATCGCTGAAGAGAAAAAGACATAGTTTATTGAAAGATGATGGTTTTTGGAATACGCCGAACAGTAAGTTAAAGGATAATGAAATAGTACACCTTCTGCTGAAACACTGGGAGAAAGATATACGACAACTAGAGAACACCCTGTCAATGATGGCCGATCAAATAACGCCTTTAAGAAACGCAACAGACGAAACGAGTAAACAGTTACTTGCAGACAAACGTTCAGAGAGAGATAATGTGAACACGACGAAGGAAAGAATATTAAGGGCAAGGGAAGAGATTATCAATGCTCTTAAGTATAATCCAAGACGTTTACATGAGAAAAGCGACAAGGGGAAACGATCAAAGCCAGTAAAACACGAATGTTTTAGTGAAATGTTTGAAGAATACAAAAGAGAATCGGTAGAGATTGAAGATTTAAGCTTGGAAGTCAAGCAGCATATAAATATAAAGATAAGACTATCAAGTGTTCGCAACGCGACAAGTTTAACATTGACGGAGATTCACAGTGACAAGTCATCGTACGGGTATAATAGGAAGAAAGGATCTTTGGAAGTCGAGTCTGATTTATTTGACGCGACAAAGAAGCCGGAAGATTGGATGACGTTGAACGAACATGTTAAGGCATATTTGAATACAGACCAATCAAATCTGAAAACAAAGCACTTGGAATTTTGTACTAGGTTTAAAGAAAATTGTAAAGCTCTGCAAGAAAAGGCAAAACGTGATTTCTTTGTTAATTTTGGGACTCTCGAGCCGGGAAGACAAACGCTTCAGCTTGGAAACAGATTCTCAGACCAGAAGGAACAGATGCGTTTTTCTACTAGATGGCTTTTCGGGAGTGTTACCGAGAAAGACTGTCAAAATCTTTGTCAACAGATCTCCAATCATATTCTCACGATGTCTGACCAGATAGCTCTTGAAATTCAAGGAAATTCTGATATTTTGAATACATTTCATTCCAAAATTTACATTTGTTACGAGGAACTAGTATCAGAGGATCTAATGCCAGTTATATGCAAATTGTTAGAACAAAGTTACACGGCACAGTGTGAGAAGCTATCTGCGTGGATTGACAAATATTCTGATTTAGAGCTAGACTCTATAAATGCCACTTTGAAAAGTCTGTTTCCGGTCAATGCAAATCGGGAGAGAAATGGAAATCAAGTTGAAGTGAAAAGACAAAATGTAAAACGCTCCGCAAGTTTCATGGAATCTCTTGTTCGCACGCCAATGAAATTTTCAGCAACTATCGGCCGTCATTTGAACACCAGCTTTCGCCGAGAAAGAGGTGCCTGCAGCGATCCTATTCCCGAATCTACGTCAGTTGAACTAAGCAAACGTTTGAAGTCAACTTTTGAAGACTTTTATGCAAAATTGAAAGAAGAAGACGAAGCTGTTTCTATTTTTAGTAAGTTACGTAATCTTACCAGAGCAGTCCAGTCAGCACAAGGGACATTTTCAGAACTATGTCATAAGAACGGACAGGGCAGTGAAATGTGTGCAGACGACATTTTGGATATTCTTATACTTCTGATATGCAGACTAGATCGGAACAGCTTACTGAAACTGTACGCACACGTGAATTTGATTTATCATCTGAGCCCGTACTTTTTACAGGGAAGTATTAACGAATACTCAATTGTAACTCTAACAGGAGCGTTTCAACACTTGTTTGAAAGGCAAGAGATGCATGTAGGTTTAGATTCAAACTCCATTAAATCGCGTTAATCGTTTAAAAGAGATGATTCTTGCTAAGTTTAAATGTTTAGAGCTCGTGAAAAAAGAGGCCAAAGTACCAAGCAAGTGATAAATAAAGTCAAGAAATAAAAAATGTTGAAATAAAATTTTCATCCGTTGTGATAACCATTTAAAAATGTATTTATATCATTGACAATTATAAGCTGGAACAACGGGCATATAGCACATGTAATATTTTCATTAATGCCCATTTATCCGGTAACTTATTAAACCCTTAATAAATTACGGGTCCGAGGGCAACCTAACCTTTAAAAATTCACGCGCTGCATGAAATTATTTTGGTGGCAATTCAGCTGACCCTGAAGTTTAGGAACAGCCGGGTTGGACAGTCAGTGTTACATTTCTTTGGATAGAACACAATATAATTATTTATGTTTTTTTTTTCTATTGAACGTTAAACCTCTGAAATACAAGATACTTTCATTAAAGGGAATTTTGGCAATGGACATACCATATCTTACCCAATGATGTATTTTAAATTACAGATAAAATAGAATATATTTAATACACATACCAAAACTATAGTCGTACAGGAAGATATAATGTTCAACTTCCTACTTTTAAAAGAGAACAACAATACATATAGTTTACCTAAAGCTGTACTACTTTGAAAAGGCATTGTTAGGCAAAAGTATCGAGGAAGTAAATATTCGGAATACATGTACATCTAAGGCTATAATAGTATAATACATATGAAATAAGATAAAACCGTAAACATATTAAACTGCACGCCAATTCGGAGCACCTCTCAAATTATCCATAATCCTTATCCATGGCTTTTTCTCAGCTGGCGGTAACACCCCAGTTACACAGAGCCATCGGTGATTGATCGGTAGTTTTTTTAACCAAATTATGGAGTGAACCGATGACAACGTATCTAACACCGATATCACCTATTGGTCACCTGTTTTCCACCTATCAACTGCTATTGGGGAAAGATAAGTTTCATCGGTGAAAAATTACCGATTGGGATTTTTAAACACGTTTAAAATTCTCGATCGGTGAAAATATTTTAAAAATAACCGACGGCAACCTATATCACGAGATATGCAAGCTCTTAATCACCGATATCGCCGATCGGACATAGATAGCCAAATATGAATCACCGGCCATATCTGACGGAAAGTGTTTAACCACCGATGACTAGCTATCAAACACCGATTAATCAGCGTTACGCCCGATTTAGCTCCGATTTACAAACGATAAAAACCAAAAGTATTTCAGCATTTAATCATATACCCATTCCCGTTTGAGTTTGCTATCTGTCACCGATGGCCGTATAACACAGAAAACCAGAAATAAAATCACGCATGACAACCGATCATAACAGCGAGTAAATTTAAAATTAAATGACCGATTGGGGACCGACCGTCTGTGTAACTGGGCCCTTAACAGCTTCTGTTTCTATCCATTCGACAAGTGCGGACTAATCATGGTCCGCACATTTGCGGTCATATTTCCCTAAAAATTACGCGGATGATAGATGGGCAAATAGTAAAAAATAAATAAAGAATCGCTAAAGAACGCGCAAAACGGCAAAATTGAAAATGTTGCAGGCTCGGTTTGAATGAGCCTTTTGATGGACGGTAATGGAAAGTGCAAGTTACAGTGCACGCCCCCTAGCACCGGTTTAAGCAGAATTCAACATTTAATTATGGTAATGGCAAGTCTGTTTAAGAAATTAAGAGTTACAAGGATTAAGTTATAAGATATCTACTTTACCATACAAAATGCTTAATCACTATATACATGTGCATGTAACTTAAATAATGTCCCCTAGTTGAATAATGTATACACTGTATGACAAGTTCATGAAGTTATTAAATTGTCTTCCGGGTTTAAAATGCGGTCTTTGACGTTAAAATAGTATTCGAATAAGATGATGTTGTAGAAAGTGTAGGTATGATAAAAAAGTGATATAACATCCGATTAAATAATGCAAGGAATGCAAAATATTTACATGTTCACGTATGATATACATGCAGAGACATCTACATCTCTAATACATGTACAACATGTAGTCTGAATTGAGTTTAAGTTCGGGTCATAACGAAAGTAGCTGATTAAAATCAGACTGCCTATATTTTTAAACAAAATAAAAATAAAAACACAGAGAATAATTTAAAATGCTATAAATAATTTGTAAAACCAGGAAAGTACCTGCGTAGTATATGAGTGCTATAGGCTCTCATAATAGGACTATATGCATTTTATATTATATACAGTCATGTATTTAAGAAACGCATGCGTTTTTATATTCATGCATCGCCTATGTAACTCAACAGAGAAACTAGTACGACTGGTAAGTGCAGATCACACATTGTACAATGTACGTCCATACCTCATACGAATGACGATGTTTTAACAATGGGAACTCAAATCACATATTGTACACTCATATTTCAAGGATTGTATAATAACCTCATAATACAATAACGCATATACTAATTACGTTTTTGGTATTTAATATATATGTATACCCGAGAGGGCTGAGACACTAGGCATATTACTCGTGCAATAAGCAATTGAAATGAATCGTGCACTAAACTGAATCACATTTAATCTGCTTCCATTTGAATGTTATATGACTCAAGTATATGGTATGCCGAAAATTAGAAACAATATGTTGTATTATGTGTTATTATGCTAATAAATAACGATGTAGCAGCAAAGTTGTCTTCAATGCAGTATGAAGGTTGCCATTATTACTAATTACTTTCCTGGAAATATTTCGTTATGTAGGTTATATTATAAAGTCTCAGCAACCGTATCATCCATGCGCAATTCGTTTATTTCATTTTGATCTACTTTGTTTGTTTGTTTGTTTCATTTTACGCCTTTTTCCAACAGTAATCCAGTCATATAGGCGGGTAGTTTCTTAACCATCGTTCCTGGAGAGTTACACCAGTACTAGACTACCTTCCTCCGCGCTAAACTACCAAAGCATCTCCCGGGGATCGAACCCACACCAGAGAGGTAACTGGATTAGAAGTCATCGACTCTAACCCCTCGACCACGGAGGCGGTCTTTGATCTACTTTAACATAATTATAGTGGATATTCAAATTTTTTCTTTAAAACCCGGATTCATTTTCGTCGAGTGGCGGGAGCCGCAAATAAAATATCATAATTTTCATAGCACAAAATGATAAGAAATCCTGTATTTATAGGACAAAACTTGAATATCCTGTTTATTATATACATTTTTTCTCTTTTTTTCTACATATCAGTCTGAAAAACGTTCCCTAAATCTTGTATATTGGATGAATTTAGCAAAAAGTAGTCCGGCAAGAGACCAGTGAAGATACGGAAAATACGCTTCACTGCAGTGAAGATACGGAATGTACGCGTTTTATTTCATCAATATTTCTATCTATAAGTATATAATAAACATGTATATGTGTCCTTTACTGCAAAACTTAAGTGCGTAACTATTGCAAGATACCTGCGTTGTTTTCACATTCCTTTGTTACGGCATGCACACGGTACTCCTGGATATTTGGGCGTTCCCTGTGGGAATCTGTTTTTCCCTATTTTGTTAAAATACCTTAATTTGGTTTACGCTTTTACATAGATAAGTCATGTGACCTCTTTAATCCTACCGACTTCTTCCCTAAGATCACAGAAACTCAATTGATATCACGGCAACATTCTAAGGAAATCAGGAAACCTTTTACTTGGCCCTCTATTCAAGAGCAATATGCTATTTCTATTGTTAGAGTTTATAAATTGTATAAAATAAGCTTGTTATCTCCCTTACTCTGAACTAAATGACTGTTGAAATTAACTTACAAGTAGTGAAAGTAAATCAAAACAATCAAACAATCGGCCGCTATAAAATCAGTGACTATGATATATAAACGTTTCAAATATCTTTATTTCCTTTGTTAAAACATACTTGTAACAGCAAACAAAGCCAAGTTTTGATTACGAGAAAACATGTTTACACAGAAAACAATGGTTTTAAACATATACATATATCTATAAAATGCATGATGAAAATAATTTTATGGTTCGTGTTTCAAACAGCAATAATGACTTTTAAATGATTTATTATTGAGAATTTTTTTTTAATAAATTATGCTTAAAATAGACTAGAAAAGAACACTTTTTAAAGGGACTCCACTGAGGTTTTACAGCCTAAAAACATAACATGTGAATTTCTTACATAAATGAGCTGGGTCACTTTAAACAGAAATAATATACTTTGAACTTTAAATTGAAAATCGTAATTTTTATGCTTTACTTAGCCTGATATAAGTGAAAAGTGTTTAAACGCTTTTTATTTTGGGTCATTTTTTTACAATTTGAATAAGTATTCTGAAAAACGAAGTGGGCGAATAATCTGAAAATTTGCACAAAGATTAGTGTGCTAAACCTACATCAAACGGTACATTTATCTGGAAAAAATATTTTCAGTCCTATCATGACAAAAAAAACCTCAGTGGAGCCCCTTTAAACTATGACTATATGCCATCTACAATATGATGAAAAATCTTGTCTGCAAACAACTGTATAACACGCTATCTGTCTCAACTACCAAACTTTAAATTCATTCGTTTGTACTTTCACATATTTACATGTATTAAATGTAATCTTAAAATTTTGTATAGTTATTCATTATCACCAAGGATAAAGATTATATAATGTACATGCATGTTTATCAATGTCACCAGTATTACATATAAAACTTCTCACAACTTTCTATTTTGTATTTAAAATGATAAATAAACATGTATTTCCTTTTTATGAATGCTTTAAAATTTGAAACAATTAACAAGCAAACTAAACATTTATTTGGCCAACATAAATTTTGGTAAATTGCATTTGTAAGAACACAATGTATTTAAAAAAGAAATAGAGCACCCTAATATTTCTCCTATCAAAAATAAATCCAAATGAAAAAAAATATAACGCTGAATGTATGAGCCCCTAATATTTATATTTTCTTGAATTTTCATTGTTCAAAAAATCAAATGAGATCACAGTAATCTTAAACTGATGAAGTTTGATACAAAATATTAGACTGTTGGTTATTATTTCCGATGCATCATTCTGTCTGTGACCCCACAAAACTTTCATTGATGTTTGCACCACACATAACTGTAACAATTGTAAGGCCTGCAGATATTATAACAAATCATTATGTCAAAGGAATTATCAAATCAGCAAAGCAATGAAGCTTTCAATTAAGCTATTATTTAACAATGAAAGTTTTCTACATAATAATACTACTGGCATAGTACTAAAAGAGGCATTATACATTGTACTTATAAACAAGAACATGAACATATCAATTTCTTTCTCGTAACTCTGACAAAGATTAAAATTGAGCCGGCATGCTATAAGGGAAAGTAGGTACATCCCGACCCCCGATTGTCATTACTTCTTTGTACATGCTTTAGCCTTTAAGTGACTATGTTCATACTTTAGCCTTTAAGTGACTTTGTACATGCTTTAGCTTTTAAGTGCCTATGTACATGCTTTAGCCTTTAAGTGCCTATGTACATGCTTTAGCATTTAAGTGACTATGTACATACTTTAGCCTTTAAGTGACTGTGTACATGTTTTAGCCTTTAAGTGACTGTGTACATACTTTAGCCTTTAAGTGACTATGTACATGTTTTAGCCTTTAAGTGACTATGTTCATACTTTAGCCTT